ATTAAGCATCAGCACCCTTTTGGGCAATGATGTTTTTCATCTCAGGCTCTCTTGGCTTCTCTTTACTTGGTCCCTTGATAAATATATTGTCCCAGCCAAATCCTGGCCATTGCAAAACACCTGTGCCATTGTTTCCATCTTTGTTCTTTGTCTCCCATTGTCTCCCCCTGTCTGGCCCAGCAGTGGAACACATTACAGAGGTACCAGGCTCAAGCCAAGGCATGCTATCCCTAAATCAGTGTGGTCAAGCCTTGTGATTGGCCAGCTGAGCTTATCCTGGTTGTGTCCTTAGGAATCCACATCCCTTTCTTTTGTCTCCAAAGCAGTAAGGAGAAGATGGAAATGACGGTTGTGGTGGCGGGCATATGATCTCAGGTGGTGCACCCTTGCATGGCTCCCTGGGATTTGGAACCAACCAGGGCATTGAGAATGAAGAGATGCAAAACATACTTATAGTCAGTATGCTGGGATGAAGTGGGCTGGGCTGTCTTCTAGAGAAACGATGGCACCCAGCACAGCAAGCATGCTTATTATATAGAGTTGCACAGAGAGGCAGGGCTATTGAATACAGCTGGACAATGAGGTGGGGTCATTGCATACAGATAGGCGAGGAGGCAGGGATTATGGTATACAGCTGAATCAAGGAGACAGGTTCAGTTAATCTCAGAAGAAGCAATCTCTGCAGGGAAGCAGTCTTGAGGCTGGACGCATCTGGGGCAGGGGGAGAGAAAGCTAAGAGGAACCTTTCTGCACACTGTTGGAGTTTGCACTAGCCCATCCCTCCCACCCCCAGAAAGGCTTTGGCATCCCCCTGAGCCCGAGACTATGGCATACTTGACATGGCCATGCCTGTGTGAACGACACACGTTCACTCAGGACTCTACTCATTTGTGGGTTTCTTGCTCCCTAAATCTGTAGGAAAGTAGAGGGCTCAGCTAACCTTGATTGGGTGGTGGTAGGCTTGCTCTGAAGACACCCTGCTTGACTGGTGCACGGCGAGTCAAAGGATAAAGTGCTCTATGAGAAGTTCTGCTCCTTCGACCTACATGACTTTGGACAAGCCAGGCTCTTCTTTCCTGGCTTCCTGCCCTCACCTTTTCAATGGGAGCCTGACACCCTATGCCCTTAATTCAAGGGATTAGGATGGTTATGAAGCATGGTAGGTGTGTTTAAATCCTATGATCCACGTGCGGGTCCTGGGAATTCCCTGGATTGCAATATTAGACTGGAGTGTTCAGCTTTGTCTGGGTTGTCCTGGTTGGAGTGGTGACCCTTAAAATTCCATGAAGTCGAACTCCTTTTACTATGCAGATGGAGGTGCCCAGCCTTTCTATAGGAGAGGAGGAAGGGAGAGGGAGACTTGGGCTGGTGGCTGTGGGATTTGGAGTTGTGGGGAGTGCAGCCATTGCCTTTTAAAAGCACACACTCCCCAGTTGTAAAGGCAAGAATGTCTGGGTGAAGAAGACAGGGTGTACAGCTGAAGAATTCTTGCCAAGAACACAGTGGCCTGGCCCTCAGGGAGTCCTAGTCTGAGGCAGAGGCTAACGTGGCCCGGAGGGGAGGGGGCTGCACTGCCTGTGTACTGGCGGCAGCTGAGCTCTCCCCCAGGCGTATTTCCTTCAGTGTCTTAGCCACATCATCTTGGAATAGGTTGTTCCCTTATGAGGTGATGCAGAACTTTGTCCCTAACAGCAAATGAAAATAGATTGTCGGTTTCATCCTGTGGTCAAAGTGTCACCCAGACTGAGCGCTTGCCCCTCTCCCACTGTGCTCATGTGACCACCCCTTATCTCCTCCATCGAGTGCTTCCAGGAAGGATGAAGGGACAAGGATCTGAGTGGACACAATGAGAAAGCTGAGCTGACTGGCCTAGGCTTGAGGCCGTCATTGCTGACTCCATGATAATCTGCTCTCTGCCTCGAGATTTGTACCTCTGTCATTTGTAGCCCTAGCTGTCTTTATGGAAAGATTGTGCCATTGTGCATTTGAACTAAAGAATAAAGTTTCAGCAGAAATGTGGAAGAGGAATAAGCCTAGGACTACTGGCCTTAGCTTTGTGAGGCCTCTTCCTGTGGTACTTGAGTGATGGACAGGTCTAGTTTGGGGCATAGAAGCCCATTCAGTGGCTCTTTAGAGCACAGGATCAGATGAGGACTGTGAGTTCCTCTGGATGATGGTAGACACTGGATCACAGGTAGATGGAAGGGTCATTTGAGATAATCCCATCCAAAGCTTAGAGAGAGCCAAGGGATCCCAGGGGGAAAGTACCCTACTGGGAAACTCCGGGATAGTAGACTTGAGACAGAATTCAGATCTCTGGATTCCTAGATGAGGTGGAGGTCAGCCATTACCTTTGAATTCTGAGAGTCTAGATCTTTACCATTCCCTGGTCACATGACCCATGGTTATACTATGATGCTTCTTGTAGACTTGTACACTCATTACATCCATGAGTCTGTAGAATCTCTTATCATGTAGTTTCCAGGTAACATATTCCTATATTAACATTCCACTTATGTGCTCCAAAGCTTCACATTTCCTTCCAAATGTGTTTTTCCTCATGAGAATTTTTAGTTTCTATAAAAGAAAAAAAAAAGAGAGAGAGAAATATTTGTTTGGAGTTGTATGTGTTTTACAACATCTCAGAGATCCAGATAAAAGTAATAATACATGAAGAATGCAGTCATAGATTGATATATAGTAAAACATAAGCAACAGGAATACCAGGCTAACTTGAGTGTTTGTGTCTTCATTGTTCAAACTTGTGCTATATTACCAAAATACCTATTGAAGCCGATTTCACAACAAACCATAACAGGAACTAAGTAATTTCCTTTAATTCACTAAAAAATGAAGGGGTGTATTGGTTTGTTGATATACATGGCAGAACATTATAACTGGTAGAATCTGTGAATTGACGTCAGCTTCCTAAGTTTAAAATGCTGACCGAACATGTTTGTGTTTATGTGAGAGGTAGTTGGAAGCAAATACAAAAGTTATTTCCACCTGCTTTGTTAATCACAAAAAGAATAAAGGGCATTTGGTTGTTAGGGTCCTTAAGGTTATAACTCATTCCAGACCCTTCTGTGTTTGAGGAAACACTTGTATTAAGTTCCCATTTTAACCTCAGTTCATTCACCAGAGTAGCCTATGTTTCTGCCTGCTCCTTAAAAATTTTCATTATTTACACACCTCAAACACAGGTTACATTTTAGTTTTTATTTTCAAAGTAAGTTGAATCTACTTGCTTTTGAAGTTTTTCCTGCTTTTTATTCGCTGTGTTTTTGTCTGTATCTTTTGTGACATGGTCTGACTGGGTAGCCCAGACTGCCCTAGGATTCTCAGTGATCCAATCTCAGTATCCCAAGTGCTGGTATTGGCAGGTGTGAACTGCCATGCCCGACAATTACCAGGTATTTTCTGAGCCCTTAGTGCATGCAGATAGAAGGTGCCAGGGACACAGGATTGAAGAGTAAGGCTCTGCCTTACTAGGCCTTGCTTTCTAGAGAGTCAGTACTGGAAGAGGAATGTAGCTGATGAGGTTCTTTATACTTTCCTTCACCCTCGACTTCACTGTGAAAGAGCTCTGTTCTGGATAACTAGTCTATGAGTCTAATTACATCTCTGCCATTACATGATAGGTAAGGGAGACACTTTGGGGGGTGGTGCCATTCTGCATTTTGTGAAGCCATTTTTGTTGACAACAAAAATCTTTTTCCAGTGTACATGTCTGCCCGTGGGATAACTCCTGAACATGGAACAAGTGTAATCATGGTGGCATTCAGCTGTGTTGCTAGGATAGTTGATCCTCTACAGGAATTTGGAAAATATCTTATTTACTCATTTTGACAGTTAGTTATCCAAGGTGCGGGGAATGCCAGGATGGCTTGGAGGCTGGGTGACAGAGTAGTACTCAGTTAAGTCTGGAGAAACAGAATGCCCATCCCTAAACACTGACAGCTACTCTCTGGCATCTTTGGCCAGAGGCCTAACACAAATCATGAACCATAATAGTCCAAGTGGTTTTGGTTCTGTTACTTGTCTGGGAGGACAGTAAGTTCTTTGTCCATTTTGATTACTTCCAGTCAAGTAGATGTAGTGGGGAGACAAGGCATACAGACTGTGGTAGTTTTGGATTTTGTTGTTTTGTTTTTGCATGTACTGTCTCATTTGACTCCAAGAAGCGTCAAGATAAGAACTTACCTAGTAATTGTGTCTGTATGTATTTGAACCTAACACCTATATGATCCCCATAGCTTCTCCTTCTCCTCCTTCTTTTCTCTTCCTTTTCCTTCTCCTCCTCCCTCTTCTTCATTCTTCTCTGTGTAGGCCTGGCTGTCCTGGAACTTGCCCTGTAGACCAGGCTGGCCTCAAACTCACAGAGATCAACCTGCTTCTGCCTCCTAAGTATTGGGGTTAAAGGTGTGCCACCAATGCCAGGCTATCTTTCATCTTTTTCTATAATTGAGACTTCTCTGTTTATTATCAATTGATGGACTCATGTTTCTCCCACTTTTAGTCATATAGAATTCTTTGTTAAGTTTTTATTGCCTGTTGGCTTATGAAAATGAGTCTTGGTGGGGTACTTATTTGTTAAGAATTTTCTATTCCAGTGGTTTTGGGAGGGGAGGCAGTGGCTCCTAAGAAGTCTAAGCCAGTCTATGATGGAGAGTGTCTGCTGTGTTTAGTCATATATTTCAGGCTTGTTTAGATTCTGCTTATGTGTTAAATTTCAGTTGCTCCAGTGAGTGTCTCTGTATCCTGGATGATTTATGTTTCTGGGGAATCACTTAGAGTATGTGTTCTTTAAAACAAGTGGTCTTCATAAAGACTGGGGCCCAGGGATATATATCACATTCATTCAGACATCTGGAGGAGACTGGGTAGTTCTGTTTGATGTTAGTTATAGAAATGGCACCTTCAAATTCTAACAACTGTTTTATTTGGATCTTAACATCATGTTTGAAACATTCCTTTCTTTTCTTTTTTCCCCTCTCCAGCTTAGTGTTACTCTGCTGATTGGCAGAGCAGGGAGAAGTAGATGTCCACACCCACAGACCCAGCTGCAATGCCCCATCCTGGGCCCTCCCCGGGGCCTGGACCTTCTCCTGGACCAATTCTGGGGCCTAGTCCAGGACCAGGACCATCCCCAGGTTCAGTCCACAGCATGATGGGGCCCAGTCCTGGACCCCCCAGTGTCTCACATCCTATGTCAACAATGGGCTCTGCAGACTTCCCACAGGAAGGCATGCACCAGATGCATAAGGTAAGATTTTGTGCAGTTTCTCCCACTTGACTGGTCTTCCCAAGCATGGCCTGGTAGCATCTTGTTGTTAACATGAGGACCTAGCTAGAAATCTGTGTTAATTTGCATGGTGTTAAAAACATTACTATAATCCCAGTACTTGGGAGAATGAAGCAAGAGGATCATGTATTCTAAGGCCAACCTTGACTATGTAAGGAGATTCTGTCTCAGGAAGCAAAAACAACCATCCCCAAACTAATGTAAAACACACTGCCATTGCTATACTCTCCCTGTTACAGATGGCCTAGTAATAAAGATGTTGTCTTTCTAAAATACAAGGGTCTAACATACCATGTAAGCAAGTTTGGGGCTAAAGGTATTTTGACTTAGTGAATAAGTACCTTAGTTAATGAGACCCCCACCGATCTCCTAATATAATGTAATCATCCATAAATCAATATACTGAAAATTATTCTTCCTTAAAAATGTTGAAATTTATTTGACAAAATTAAATCTTTAAGAGGTGAAAGTTCAAAGTCTTTTTTTTTTTTTTTTTCTGAAGGTATTTCAGGGTCTGGAGAGATGGATTACTGGTTAAGATTACTTGCTGTTCTTGCAGTACTGACATTTTACACACACACACACACACACACACACACCCTACCCCATACATACACACCCCTACACAACCCCCCCACACCCCCACCCCATACATACACGCCCCTACACAACCCCCCACACACCCCTAACCCATACATACACACCCCTATACAAACCCCCCCACACACCCCACACACACCCCATACACACACACCCCTACACCCACACAAATACACACTAAATAAATAATAAATAAATTAGAAAGTATATTTTCAAAAGACTCTATTAAAATTAGTTTCTAGGAAATTCTTCCTTTATTGGTTTATTGAGATTCGAAGATAGCTCAGGTTGGCCCCCGAGTCTCAGTAGTCTTGCTCAGTCTCCATTGTGGTGAGTGAACCACAGTGGGGAAACTTGGTCCCTGTGAAGCAGACTTACTCTCATTCAGAAGATCTGTCTGTTCATTTCTAGAATAGTTTCTAGTGATTCTCTCTTTATGAGATATTTGCTGTGAAGATGATCACAGTGGTACCGTTTAGCTTTGAGCCCTTGTAGGAGATGCTAAAGACAGCCTTTTTGAGAAAGACAGTTCCTCTTTGACTATTTGCTTTGAACGTTAGCAAATCAAAGAAAATCTGTAAGGGCATCATGTGTTACCCGAAGGTCTTGCCTCGTGAGACAAATGCAGGCTTTACACCCTGTCTGTGGATGATATCACATGTGGGCCTACCACTTACATGTGCAACACATACATCCAGGCCCTCTGGAGAAACAGAGCCAATGACATATAAGAGATTCTCCTGAGGAATTGGCCTCTAGAGAGGTCACACAGTTTGTAGTGAGCAGGCTGGAGACCTGGAGGAGCCAGTGGGAATCCGGAAGGTCAGGAGACCAGTGCCCAACTTAGGTCAGGAGCAGACAGACCTGCTGCTCCCCGACCTGCACCCTTTCCTGTCTTCAGGCTCTGAGTGAATTTGGGCTAATGTCTGCTGCCTAGGCCAGTATACTATGCTTTCTTCAGTTTACATTCACATGCTGACCGTATCTGGAAGCCCCTTGAAGACACACCCAGATGTAATGCTTACCAAGTATGTGGATACCTGTGGTCTAGTCGAGATGGCACGTAAAGTTAACCATCCCAGTAGACAAGTGCTAGAAGACACTTACTTGAAACCAAAGAGTCTTCAGGGAAATGGGTGGGTCTTCCCTCACTTTATAGGACTTCAGGTCATTTTCCAGGTAGGGCATTAGAACCCCAAAGGGAAGGTCTACTAAAAAAAAAAAAAAAATAATCCAAAAATCAAAAAGTTATTTGATGACTTCCAAATCAGAAAAGTAATATGTGTTTATTGCAAAAAGTGGAACAGTACCAAGATAAATGAGCTAATTACCCAAGGAAACAAGTGTCCATGCATTTGGCACTTCACTTTTTCCATATTCAGTAAAAGTACAGTGTCAGCATGGACAGGTGTGGATTTTTTCCCCAGTCACAGAACAGTACTGTCATGATTTATTACTCAAAAACATCGTCTTTTATTACTGATGCATTTCTATAGGATCCCCACGTTTGCGAGCCTCTTTTTTCTTGTTTGTTTGTGATAGTGTCCCATGTAACTCATGGTGGTCTTGACATAACTACATAACCTAGAATGGTGTGGATTCCTGTTCTCCTTCTGTCCCTGGCCTGCTAGGATTACAAGTCTGTGTCACCATGCCTGGCTGCCCTCTTTTAAAAAACAAAAACAAAAACAAAACAAAACACGTTTCTTGTCAAATATCTAAGAACCAACGCCTCTTGTTTTCCATGGCACATTCTGGGGTGACATTTTGACATGCTGAAGTCATTGCATCATCTCATGTTCACTTTGAGATGTAATCCAGATCAGCCCTGCCTTTATAAACTCTGTCCCTGAGTTACAGAACCTTGGGATGACCTGAGGATGAAGGCCTCACCTTTCAAACGAAGGAGAAAATGTGGAGGACATGTTTAGTTAACCTTTGTGATTGAAACATTTAAAAATTAAATGTGTGGAAGAGGGTTGGTCCTGCCCTGGTTTTCTATTGGGCAGTTTTATTGATTGCCATCTCTTCTGACCTGTGGCTTTTGTCCCACGATCTCTCCTACTCTCTCTCCTGGGTACTCGGTTTTGCTTTGTGTTTCTCTTGCCTGTGAGCTCTGCAGATTTTCCTTTTGAGCTTTGCTGTTTTGCCACCATGCTCTCCCTGTCTTGCTGCCCCTCAGATATCCCTCAGTGTGAGGACCTGGGTGAACCCATGGAGCACACACCTGCTGGCCAGATGCCTTCACTTTCTTCCTTCTTTTTTCAGGAGGCTGTGTTTCCTTGTCTTCCTCCTCCATCTCCCTCTGAGCCTCAGCTTTCTGCTTTTCAACATCACTGAAAATAAGTAAACAAGTGGTCTAAATACATCTGCTGGATGGCTTTGATTTCCTCTTTATTATCACTACTTAACAGACTCAGTGACACTCTTTATACCAGATTCTTCCCATTTTTTCCCTCTGAACATCCTCTTTATGGTAAAATTTCCCTCTTTTCAAGTGCATGCTTTTGACTCTGCAGAAATTAACTTTCTTTTCTCCAAAACTGCAAACACTCATACTTTCTTGCTTGAAGTCATTTGGTTTTTATAAACTCTTGGAAATGTTCCTTTCAGGCTGTTTTGAAAATTGCTATTACAGTTTGAGGAAGAATAGACTTTTCCTTTTCCAAACACATGCCCCATTGCCTGATTCTGGATTGGATTAACATCAGTTCAATAGCCATTTATTGTATGTCTATCACGTTCTGGGCCTCAGGTCCAATGTCCAGCCCCTGTGCTTATTAATTTCCAGCTTGCGCCTTTAGCCTTTTCGGTTTCCCTCCCTCTACAGCATATGCCCCTCCTTCTCTGCCTTTACTCCCCCCTCTTCAATACTCACCCCCCTTTGCTTCTCTGCCCTGTATGTTCTTCTCCTTCCCAACTGCCATGGAACCTTCTGGTTCAACTTTTTAACTTTCCTTGGTTCATTCATCCAGTGAAGAAAAATTACCAGGAAAATAGGTCACCTCAGATGTTTAACATAGCCTTCATTTGGACTCCAGAATAAGTTCAATATGTAAGGAGTTTCAAGGCTATTTACAGAGGTATGAGAGAATAATATTGGTCTACCCTAGGAATGGTACTTTCTTTTTTAATTGGCAAGTTAAAAACAGATTGTAACATTGGCGAAAGAATGAAACTCAACAGTTTTTAAAGCCTTACTTTTTGTTAGAGATGGTTTTGCTGATCCTATTGGTGTAATCTTTCTTCCTATTGTTTTTACTTATGAAGTATATAAACATGGGACTATGGAATAAATAGTAAATGGGTGTGTCATATCTTTAAACCCTGGAGATATCTCTTGATAGTCTTATTAGAAGTACTCTACCTTAAAGAGGTGTCTAATGGATGCTGTTTACATGTTTCAGCCCATGGACGGGATACACGACAAGGGGGCTGTAGACGATGTCCACTGTGGATCCATGAAGGGCACCAGCATGCGCCCACCACACCCAGGAATGGGCCCTCCACAGAGCCCGATGGATCAGCACAGCCAAGGTTTGTGTCCTCTGCACATTGGATTTTGTCTTCATACCCTACTATTTCAGTCTTTCCTGGTGGTAATCTAATTACGGCTCTAACCTATGTATCTAATCTAATGTTGGTAAATCCAGTTAGCTTTCTTTCTCTGGAGAAATCTGCCACCCTTTTCATCCACCAAAAAAATTATCATTCCTCTGGGTAATTTTATTTCCAAAATCCTAGTAATTTTTATCAACCCAATGTATCCAAGTATGCTATAGGGAGATTCATGTCATTTACTGAGAATCTTTACTGTGATCTTGTAGGGTAAATGATGTCACTCCCAACTAATTTGGGAAGCTAAAGTTTAGGGAATTTCCTTATTTCTCTGAGTATACATAGCCAGTATTGATAAGGGCAAAAAGGAATCTAGATCTCTCTGTCAACAACAGCATAAATGTAAAAGTAAGACGAACCAAACCCCTGTGTTCCTTGAGTTGACACTTACACACTGGGTCAAAGGTGGTGTTTTCTGTCAGCAAAACCATCTGCCATTTCTGTTCAGTGACTCTGTAGGTCTCCTAGGCTTTCTGAAGCAAATAACTGTGAACCTAGTGGCCCAAAACAAATCTATCCTCTTCTTTTAGATTTAGGGGCTAAACGTTCATGGTTGAGCTGTCAGGGAAGACTACTATCACTTAAGGCCAGAGATGAATCCTCTCCTGGTCCTGCTGATTGCATAGACTTGGAATCCATAGACTTACACATGAAACACTCCAGTCTCTACCTTCATCACCAAAAGGCATTTTCAATGTCTGACCCTGTGTCCACCTCTTCTTCTTTCATATTTGGGTCAAGTTGGACCCTAATCTAGTATAAGTTCATCTTATTTGGTGACATCCACATTAACACTATTTCCAGATGAGGTAGCATTCGTAGGTGCAGAGGACAGGATGTCTGTGTATTTTGTATTTTTTTTACCTTAGCTAATCAATGTGAATTTCTTTTCTCCTTCATATCATTTATGTCATGTTTTCTTCCTTCTCTATTTAAGGGATATTAATATGCTTCTGAGCCATTAAAATATACCATAGCCTAATTTCAGAATCATAACTTGATCGCTTTTACACATGAAGGCCATGCATTAATCTAGTGCCAGTTGACACTGGTATGTGGGTTTTCCTCTAGGACACCTATGGTTTATATGTCATACATACTTCCCTGTCATTAAGTGCCTAAGTTTTACTCTGCTGACAGTCAGACCCACCGTGGAAAATACATGGCTGTGAGGGTTTAGAAAAACATGTTCACAGTTATTTTCTTTCTGAAATATAAATAAGTGGTCATGGAGGCCAACATTAGGCTGTCCCTCTGCTATTACCTGCTATTACCTTGACCATCCCAGGGTCTGATGTGGGTTGTTATGCCAAGCATAGTCATCACAGGAGACCCATGAGGTGTCGCCCTTGTAGAACATTAATCTGAAGGACTGGCACCTTTTACAGGACAGGAAGGAGAAGTTTGATTCAGGAGCACTGGTGGTGATGCCTCTAGGTTCATGGTTTAAATTCGAAGGGGCCATGTGTGAGACCTCCATTTTAGTCCCTGGAACTCCATGCAGTAACTTACAGCCAGATGCTTGAGCTTTTTCTGCTCCTGGTATTGTCCTATATCTAGAAATGATGCTGTGTGCAAGCTCCTCAACAAACATTCGAAGATACTTGATTGCTATTATTGAGAACTGTTTCACATGTATTTCTCCTGAAAATTCTCTGGTAGCATGGTTCCTTTTCTCACCTTAAGAGTATCTTATTTACCTCTGAATTTCCAGTGCTTGGCAGGAGAGCATATACACACACACATATATATGTCACATAAAATTGTTACTTAAAAAGTTTGAGGTTATTAATAGAAGAGAGCTTATTGCTTCTCTCTGAGGCAAAGTAAAACTGGAGACGTAGTAACTCTTGAAGACTAGTGAAGGAAAACTGTCATTTTTGTGACACTTTTGAATGAGTAAAATCAAATAAAACTTCTAAAAGAGTGACATCAGCATCCATAGTGTCATCTTCATGCAAATGTATCATCACTTGGAGACAATTTCTTCCCTCTGTTTTCTCAACGAAGGATAATTACAAAATATGTTATGCCAATGCATCGTTTAGGTTCTGTTCTTCCTCAAGTTTATGAGATGCTACTCATGTAGAAAATAATCCTTTTCTATAGCCCAGCCAGTGTTACATTTTTAAATTCACAGTGACAGAATGATTCTATTAACATCTTCTGTAAATTCTGGGAAATAATTCCTTTCCACCCCCAGTTTCTTTTTTATCAAATTTGAGGTAAAATTGGTTGATTCAGCAATATGAATTTTATCCTGTCAGTTTCCTTCTTGTCAAACTTATCAATACTTTTCTGTGTTGATTTCTCAGCAGCCAGGTATGTTAGTCTGCTTTCCATCATTGTCACAACATACTCCAGACAATCTACTTAGAAGGAGAGAAAGTTTATTTTGGTTCAATTACAAATATTTCAGTCCACCCTGGCTCTGTGAACTTAGGCCTGAGGTGGCAAAGTACATTATAAAATGATCGGAGGTGGGGTAGAGGAAGCCTGCTTACATCATAGCACCCCAGAAGAGAGACAGGAAGGAATTGGGGTCCTAATATCCCTGTTAGTGGCATACCCCCGATTACTTGACTTCCTTCTAATAGACACCACCTCTTTAAAGTTCTACAACTCCCAGGTGTCCCAAGCTGAGGCCAAACCTGCATCCAACATACAGACCTTTGGAGTACATTCTAGATACAAACTGTCAGTTGCAGGTTTTTTATTTTCTGAGTTGTGAGTTCATTTGTTTGGTGCAATTGTCTCATCCTTGCATCATTGTCTTGCAAAGCCTTGTTCATGATTTAAAAGAATGATTTGATAAGCTACACTATGCTGTTAAGTTTCTATGGGTTTGCCCAGGATTTTGGTTCCTTGTATCAGGCATGCTTTGACCTGTGGATGAGAGATTATTCTTAGGAAATAGGAAAGGCTGGAGGGGGGAGGGGCAGCAGGAGACTCATCTTAACCCCCAGCATCATACCTTCCTACTGTGAGAATGTAAGTTTTTGTGGTAAAGTTTTCCTTCTTGTAGCAGACTTGGCGTTGGCAAGAAAGGTGTGTAGTGAACAAACAACCATATTCTATCAGGATACCTTCAAGGGGTGAATGTCAGCTTCCTTAACGAGGAAAGGTATTCATAGCAACAGTTAAGAATCTTATTGATACCCTATTCCTGTTACAAATAGCAACATGTTGGAATATTTCTGCTTGTCTAATAGGCTGGCTTCAGGGAGATTTCTGTGACTCACATAGACAACTAACTAGAACCCCAGTCCTGGTGTTGAATGCTCCCTCATGAAGTAGGGATTTGGGTATTGAGACCTAGCAGTCTTTCTCCAAAATAGCAGTTCCCCAACATGGCATTCCGGTTCTTAGCAATCAATAGAAGAACATGAGTTCTTATCAGGAGATCATGTTAAATCTCATCACTCTCCAAATGGCAAAGCCACCAATAAAAGTAACTGTATCATTTATTTTCTCTGGGATTTCAGAAAAGGGGGTGGTGTGTGAGGGTCACCCATCTGTGGACTTTTGTGGCTGTGCAGCTCTTTTATTCTGCCCAGACATGGGTTCAAACACACAGCCTTTTATCTCATAACCAGGCCTGTGGTGACCTTTATGGTAACGTTCAAATGCACACATTCATCGAAGGATCAAGTCTTTTCATGTGTGTTTGTCCTGTTCTGCCTGGGGACTCTTCTTACTTTATTAAAATTGGTACTTTGTTTAACTGAGGCAGCTGTTTGATTACAGTAGCCCCTTGGTTCCTTTCTCCATCTTGAATCTCCCTCCCACAACGCCTAGTCATATGCCGTGGGTATTGTTTAGCTCAGCTGCTCCCACCGCCTTCTGAAATAACTCCTTTGAAATGTCTGTGTGTTTTAATTTTTCTTCCATAAGAGAAAACACTCTTCATTTCCTCAGTTTGGTATTTTAAAACCCAAACTGGTGGCTTCCATTTGTATGTGATATCCTAAGTGTTACGCCTGGAGATTTTTGAAATTTTAAATACTTGACTTATTTTGACATAACAAAATGTAGATTAGATTATTGAATGTATGCATCAGAGCCAGACAGGCTTGGTTTAAACCTGAGCTGTGAACATTTACTTGTGTGACATTGAGTAACTCATTGTCTGAGCCTTCACAGCCTTGCCTTAGCAAGTAAGGTAACAGTATTTGACTTCAAAGGGATGTGATATAGCAGTGTAAGCTTTTCCTTATATGCTTCGTGTCTTCTACCATTTCTATGCCTACACTTGCCTGCTGTCCATTAGCTGGCATCATTATGTTGATTCTCCTCTGCCAGGTGACACCTGCCTTACCTATAGTGGACTAGTCCTCTGAACGCAGATGGCCCCCAGAGTATTAGTGATAACTAGTGACTTAATCAGTGACTGATACTGTAGGAGTTTAAATACCCTGGCTTCTTCACTCCTTCCCTGAATAATTGTAGTTAGTTTATTTATCTTGTGTCCCAAAGCTTCTGCAGTGGCTTAATCTTTCAAGACATGCTGCAACAGCTGGCTTGGTAATGCATTTTTTATTGGCTACCTTCCCTTCCATATATCTCCTCTCCATACTCCTCGAAGTGTCCCTGCACCTCCCATATAAATATCCTGCATTCAGTCCTTGGCTCAGCCTGTTTCTGGACAAACTCAGTTGAGATGCTGTGTATAGTCATGGCATACATAGTAACTGCAGCACTAGGCCCTCGGTAATTGCCTGTTAGTCACAGCTTGCATGATAATCAAGCGAATAATATTTGATTTCTTCATAAGACACTGTTTATTCTGCACTGAGCCACTTTAGACCTCTTCATGTTTTGCTGAGTAGCTTAGAGCTACCTCTGATGTAGAATACTGCCCCAACATCGTCATCCCTGCAGGTGTACAACCACCATGAACAGTTTGCTTTCTAGGGTACAAGTGGCTATTGATCACCAGAAACGCGGCTAGAGAAATCAAGATGTTCTATGAGCATGAAATGCTGGGTTTCAAAGACCTATGATGAAAAAAAAAATATAAGTCTCTTTTTGAAGTGCTAATCTTGTGGGTGTTAAATAAACTGTTACGAAATTACCATTACCTGTTTCTTTGACCTTTTAAATGTACTTACTAGATAATTTTCAATTGCAGATAAGCTATATTAAAGATTAAACTTCTAAGCTATGTAGCTATGTGCAATTGTTAACTTATCCATACCTAAAATTTCTATCATGTAGTGTTGCACTAGTAAATTATTCGAGTATTCAGGGCTACCTCTGTCTCTTCAGGGTCATCTGCTGCAGCCTGTGATCTTGTGTTTTATTTTAGGTTATATGTCACCACATCTCTCTCCTTTGGGAGCCCCAGAGCACGTCTCCAGCCCTATATCTGGAGGAGGTCCAACCCCACCTCAGATGCCACCGAGCCAGCCAGGGCCACTCATCCCAGGAGATCTGCAGGCCATGAACCAGCCTAACAGAGGTCCCTCGCCTTTCAGTCCTGTCCAGCTGCATCAGCTTCGAGCTCAGATTTTAGCTTACAAAATGTTGGCCAGGGGCCAGCCCCTCCCTGAAACACTGCAGCTTGCAGTCCAGGGGAAAAGGACCTTGCCTGGCATGCAGCAGCAGCAGCAGCAGCAGCAGCAACAGCAACAGCAGCCTCAGCAGCAACAGCAGCAGCCCCAGCAGCCTCAGCAGCAACAGCAGCAGCCTCAGCAGCAGCAGCCAGCCCTTGTTAGCTACAACAGACCATCTGGTAGGTTAACACGCAACCAAATGCCTATCACTGCGGTCCAGCTTGGATAAGCAGTGTCTAGCACACAGACGCACTAGGTTGGTAGAATGCTGGGTTGACTGAACCCTTTTCTGTACCTCTTTCTGTTCTGCTGAGATTGGCTGAAATTCTTGGTTCCTGATATAAAGGATGCTAGAGCAACATTTCTTAATCAGGGACCCTCCAGCAAGCTAGGAACCGAGGGAGAAAGCACAAAAGCACATTTCCCCATGATTTTGCATTCTCTTTTAAGAGGTACAAGGTTGCCTGGAAGCCCATCAGTATACTGCATGTTAGGAACCCCTGTTTCCTCTTCGTCTGTCTGTAGAACTTCCCATTCCAATTGGCCCCCAACTGAGTCTTAGAATATTTGTTCATTTATTTATTTCTTATCCTTTTTGTTGGGAAAAAAAATTTGTGCATTTCATGAGACCTGTTGTAAAAAAATTATCAAGTAAAGAGGCAGAAACATGGGAGCAAGAATCCAGGTCATGGATGGGGAGCCCAGAAGAGCCCCCCACAGTTGCTGTGGCTGAGCTTCAAAGATGACTTGCGTTTTCTGACAGAGCCACAAGGAGATGGGGTCGTGTATCTAATTCTCACCATTCAGAAGGGAGTTGCTTCCCAATTTCTCAGAGGGACACAAAGCCTTTTCTGGCATGAGAATATAAAGTACATCTCCCAGGTGTGATTATCCTTCAAATTACAGTCATTCCTTGTGTCTGAAGCAGATTGCTTCTAGGACCCCAGCGGATCAAGTCCCTCATATGAAATGTGCTGTAGCATTTGCATTTCAGCTATGCATATCCTTTGGTGTGCTTCATCATCTGCAGGTTATTTATGAGAAATATTGACTATACCGTGAATGCTATCTGAATAGTTGATATACTGGGTTGTTTAAGGAATAATGACAAGAAAAGGAAGTCTATATCCCCTCAGTACAGACACATTTTTTTTTAAAGTATTTTCTTCCTGTGGTTAAATTCACAGAGTTGGAAACCTGACCATCATTCATTAGTATTAGCATTTGTTCATGGCAAGGTAACAGATTCACATGACCTGTTAGATTTTCTGGGATAAGAATGAGAAACTATGATTTCACAACAGGTGAGGATGATGTAGTCCCTTGCACAGCCGTCTGGAGACATGACCTTTTCAGGTTGATAAGAACCTGGAGGTACAAGGGGCTTTAGACTGCTCCTCTATGAAGGCTGCATCTCTAGCAAGCATCTCAAGATAGCTTTCAGTAAAGCTGCTTACCCCGCAAGCCTCATGGACCGTAAAGTTCTATTCCCAGAACCTACTTAAAGGTAGAAGGAGAGAAATAACTCCATAAGATGTCCCTTGACCTTCACATGCATGCTGTGTCATACATGACCCCTCCATGCTGTGTCATACGTGACCTCTCCCATGTCCCCGTGCTGTGTCATACATGAACCCCCCCATGCTATGGCATACATGACCTCCCCCATGCCCCCATGCTGTAGCATTCATGACTCCCTCTGTGCTGTGTCATACATGAACCCCCCCATGCTATGGCATACATGACCTCTCCCATGCCCCCATGCTGTGGCATACATGACCTCTCCCATGCCCCCATGCTGTGGCATACATGACCTCTCCCATTCCCCCATGCTGTAGCATACATGATCCCCCCCATGCTATAGCATACATGACCCCCCATGCTGTAGCATACATGACCCCCCATGCTGCAGCATACATGACCTCCCCCACCCCCCCATGCTGTAGCATACATGACCTCTCCCATCCCCCCATGCTGTAGCATACATTATCCCCCATGCTGTGGCATACATGACCTCTCCCATGCCCCCATGCTGTGGCATACATGACCTCCCCCACCCCCCCATGCTGTAGCATACATGACTTCTCCCATCCCCCCATGCTGTAGCATACATGACCTCTCCCATTCCCCCATGCTGTAGCATACATGACCTCTCCCATTCCCCAATGCTGTGGCATACATTATCCCCCATGCTGTGGCATATGTGACCCCTTCTCTAACCAATCAATCAATTAATTAAAACGTTGAAAGAACTAGATAAACAGAGCTATGGTTTAGCTCTGAGTGCTTTAGGTTGTGGGAAGTGTAATGCTCCCCCCGACACTCATGCTATCTCCCATGAATCAGTCATTTGGGCAAACTGACAAGCTAATCGCTGTGAGAACAGTGAATTTGGGATATTTGTCTTAGGTTTAGGAACTCGGGTGAGGAGAAAGGAACTGATTGGTATCTTTTTTTGTTTTGCTTTTTTTTTTTTTTTTTTTTTTTTTGTCCTAAATGTTCTGATTTTTGAGTTTATGTTTCTTTTCTGATAGATTTAGTTTCAAACAGAGTGATTGGGAGGATGAACTCTTGTTGTTAGTTGTAGATGTAGCATTAGGAATGAGTCTCTTGGCTGAGGAGATGCCTCAATGGGGAAGAGTGCTTGCTGGGTAAGCAGAAAACCCTGAGTTCAAGTCCCTAGAACCCCTGTGAAGATCAGCTGTGGTTGTGTGTACCTATCGCGGTAAATAAGGATCAGGATGGTAAATAAGGATCTGGATAAACAAATAGGCCGAATAGATGTTTATTCAGGGAGAAATAACTTACAACCTAGACAGATGAACACCAGGAAATTCAACCCGATCCTCTCCTGTCCGAGTCACGCCAGCAAGAGAGCACCTTTCCTGGCCCCCTCCGACCTCCTTCCACAGGTCACCTCCGCCCATCGCTCCACCCCCCAATGGGCGTGGTCAGTGCCACAGAACTATCTCACTACGTGTACCTGTAATCTGGGTGCTGTAGGGGAGAGATTGGCAGGGAGACAGGAAGATTGTTGGTGCTTGCTGGCTGCCAGCTGAGCTCTGTATTTAGTTGGAGATCTCAGGGGAGCGAGGCAGAGGATTCCTCCATGCCCTCACTCACACATATACTTATATAGTTCTCATATACACACAGAAAATAAGTAATTTTATTTGTATTATTAAAACGTGTGTTTTAAGCCGGCTGTGGCATGTACCTATTGGGAGGTAGATGCAGGAAGGTCAAAAGGCCACTGTCATCCTCAGTTATATAGTGAATTTGAATCCCAGCTTGGGATGCCTGAGACCCTATAGCAAAACAAAACCCCAAAACAAAGCCAGCAGAAATTTGGGTCTCATAGTTCTGAAGGCTAGGACTTCCAACCTTTGGGTGTCAGCAGATTTAGCATGTAGAGGGTCCCTGCTTTCTGAGTGTTAGGAGGCACCTGTGCTGTACCTCCTGTATGCAGGGTGAGGGGGCTCTCTGTGGCTTCTCGCATGGTCACTGGTCTCACCCATGAGATCTTTGCCTCATGGCTTAATTCCTTCCACCTCCTAATACCATCTATTCGAGGATTTGGATTCCAGCCTAGGAATTTGGGGGAGAGACAAGCATTTAGAATTTAGCAATGTGGTTGGTTTTGTTCGTTTGTTGTTGTTGTTTGTGTGAGTTTGTGTTACTTTTAAGACAAGGTTTTCCTCTGAAGGCCAGGCTGGCCTTGGCATCCCTAACAGTCATTCTTTCTCTGTCTGAGATCTGGGGTCACAGGATACACCGGCACTATCAGTTTAACAGTTGAGTTTTTAAAGAAAAAAAAAATTATTTCATACCCAGATTTCTATGTACCTAGTAGGGGGGATAATATGGGACCGAACCCTCTGACTGGAAAGGGCTCATCAAACTCCATGCAAGGAAATGACAGTTTGAACCCTCCGTAGATTTTTAAACTGTAAAACTAAAGCTCTAGAGAATTTGGCCAAATACAAGGAACACCTTTATGCGTATGTGGCTTTGTCTCACTGAGGACCTGCATGCTTGCCTGAGCTCTGGAATGTCCTTGAGACATGGCATCTTTGCCACATGGAGGGCGCCTAGGTCCAGAGCCTAGCAGTTGTGACTTGCAAGCTCATGTTCTTGACTATTTCCCCCAAGGGGTGCCTTCTTGACCCCATTTCCCAAGGCCAGGGAAAGCATCTGCAAAGTGTGGGTGCCTCGCCTCTTTACTCTTGTGCATTAAGAGTGAGGAGCGAGGTGACGTGTCATGGCTTCTTTTCACTCTTACTATGAACACGCTCTTAACGGAATTGGTCATTTTTGTTTCCCACATCTTAGTGCATCAGCCGTTTTAAAAATCGTGTTTAACGCAGAGGCCAGCTGCTTACAGCAAGATAGCTGGCAGCTGGGCAAAGAAGAGGGAACAAAGTGAAGTCCCCAAGAGATAACATTATGGGATCTTGTCATATGAGCATAATCCATGGTGCATGAAGCCTGTCTTGGGGTGTCACCTGCCATGTCATAGGCCTCCAAAGGCATTAGGAGCCTTTCAGTGACCTCAACTCAGCAGTAAAGAATTCCACAGAAGGTAGGATGCTGAGTTCTTCATCTGAGAAGCCTTTCCACCCAAGGGCCTAATAGTGTGGATGAATGAAGCAGTTAAATTTAAAGGGTGGAGTTTCTATTATATGAGTACATCCATAGAAGGATACTTCATGTCTACTGAACCCAAATGTGCATACATTTTGGACCATTTCCAGAAGAGGGGACCTTCTTAATTACCTACCTCTTTGTCCCTGCCTGTCATGTCACATCCCTATCAACAAAGGGGTTTGATTTTATTACCCACTGCTCATGTCTTTTGCGTTTTCCAGCTGTCATAGTTAGTAAGAAGTGGAAATATTTGGGTAGATATTGTTTTCTGACCAAGTGGGCAAGGAGCCAGGGGTCCCAATAGAATGAAATATCCCTGTCGCTGTCCGGAGTGTCCATACTGCAAAGCTCATGCAGAAAACTGATATAGGACAGACAACCTTATTGGATGAAGACATTTGTGTTTATTGGCATTTACAATAAGCCTAAATAATACAAGGACTTTTAAAGTCAATATTAAATTTGACTAATGTTTTATACCCCTCCCCTCTTAAAAAAAAAAAAAAAAAAAAAAAAAAGCTCATTTCCTCATAAATGCCCTGTCAATCTTTCAAGAAGAAGAAAAAGTATTTTAGTACATGCACTCCTCTGGAGGTTCTTAAGTTTCCACCCTATTTCTTAGCATACTTAATTCCAGAAGAGAATGTATCACAGTGCTGGGTTGGTCTTCTCCAAATCTACCTCAGTGCAGACCTCACAGGAAGTGGCATTGTTCCCTAGCAGGATGCCCTGGACTCTGAGCCAGTGAGCTGGAGAAGGCTCCAGCTTGGAGGGGTGGGGCGGTTGACCACTTCTCGAGCAGAGCCACGTCCGTCCTTGCTCTTGTGGACAGAGCTCCAGACCAAGGCACATTTCTCTTTTCGTTTTGATTCTCTTTTCCTTTTAGGGATTAAAGCGGAATAAAAAGGAGAACTGAAAAAGTTATGTTTGGAGAAGTGAGGGAACAATCTTATGGTGGTAAAAGAAAGTGGTCCCATCCCCCATCTTGAATGCTTGCCCTCCCCCACCCCCACCCCTACCCACCTTGGCATCTGAAACTTTTTGATATACTTCATGTAAATATTCTTTGCTCCATTTATTTATTTATTTTTTCCGACCTGAAGAAATCACTCACATACCTACTTAGTGCAGAGTGGTGATTTGCATAACTAGCCTGTGTGCTGGCTGAGTGGCCTCAGAAGGTACAGAGATGCTGATGCTGTGCGGGTGAGCCTTAGCTATTTCAGTGAGTGTGTCATGTCGCCCTATTACTTCCTATTAGCTGTGATGGGATGGGGCATATCTACTGAAGGCCTACTCCCAGCACTGTTGGGACCACATTCTGGAAAGCCAGACAGTACAGCCACCATTTTGGCTCCTTAAGGTAAGGGCTGAGTCAGAAGGCATTTTGCATACTGACCATAAGCCTGAATTGCTCAAACCAGAGAGAGAATGGAAGAGATGAGCTAAAAATGCAATTTTTGTTCAGTTTGAAGGTGTGGCAGAAGGCCTTAGGTAGCCAACCACAGGTTGTCTGGTGTACGGTAGGTGGTTTCTGTGGCCAGAGTCCAGTGCTGTCTGTGAATCTCTTGCAGGACAGGCACAGAACCTAGGAGAGGGGGCTTGCATCCTGAATATAAGTGCAGGAAGCTACATTGAGTTTCCTCCTGGTCCCTGTCAATGAAAGTATTTATACAGTCAGTCAGAGAGAGGAGAAAGCAGACCTAGGCAGTAAATGGATTTCTGTTTAGCTAGGAAATAGAGTTTGCTTGTAAGTGGCCCTGACAGCAGCTGGCAGGATGCACATGACAAGTCCACTGACCTCAGGAGTGTCTGTGCTGAGGTGTAGGAAACTGGAGAAATGTTTTGAAACTTGGTCCAGAAAAGAATACTCCGCAAGTTGCCAGCTCATGTGGCACCCAAATTCCGGAAGTGTTTCCCTATGTCATGGGGTTAGATTTTCCTCCCCATGGCTTCGATCAATAAGGATGAAAAGTTGAGCATAGAGTCAGGTATCTTTCTGGCCTTCATGACCACTGGATGAGAGAGGGTATTATTATTGCTCCCACTCTGCAGATGAGGAAGCAGACATAGGGCTTGGTGACTTGATCACCTTCAAACCGCCAGTGGCTGCTAGAGCTAAGACAATTTATTATTATTTTTTAACTTTTGGTAACTGTATGTTATTTTTGAGAGTTATTTTATGTGTAGGAGTGTTTGGCCTCTGTGTATGGTATGTTAGTTGTATATATGCCTGGTGCCTGAAGAATTCAGAAGAGGTGTCAGGTCCCTTGGAACTGGAGTTAGAGATAGTTGTGAGATGCCATGTGTGTGTGCTGAGAATCGAACCTGGATCCTCTGCAGAAGCAAGTGGTCTCTAGCTCCTCCTAGTGCTGTTTAATTAGACACTGGAATACACAAGCCCGTGGTTGGGTTTCTCTTTCTCAATGTTAAGGATGAATCCACCAGATTGCATTGTCTTTATACGTAGTAATTGCATAAGGCTGACCAGGGATACACCAGACCTGTCTTGGAGATATGCAGGCTAAAAATGGCCAGCTGATAACACCTTTCTTGGATTAAATACAGTTTTTAAAACTGAGACTTAAATGTGCTTCCAGGTCACTTAGACTTCTGCATTCCGCCTCTGAATTTCCGGGTAGTCAGGCTATGGAAAGGGGTTGGAAGTAATGATGAGGACCGGAACGTGTGAGTGTCAACTGTTGTACTCTTTGATTGTTTCAATTTATTTGAAGAGGGAAAAGGCTTTGATAGTGGACTTTAATTATTGTGAAACTATTTTTACCAATAACAACCAAATTCTCTTCTCATGAAAAAGAAATGGTATTTTGAGACTCTAAAAGTAGTAAACTCACCATCACTATACCTAAACCCTGGCTTTTAATCGATTTGATTCTGCTGGCACAGTGGGTAAGAGCTCTTGCCACCAAGTCTGAAGACCGGCTTAATTCTCAGAACACACATGGTGAAAGGAGGGAACGGATTCCTGCAAGCTGTCTACTGACCTCCGTGTGTGCACTGCTGGATGCATGCCCCCGCCTCCATAAATACATCATTGTAACGGAAAAGTAAAGATACGTGTCAGAGATCCACATCTCTTGTTATTTGACTAATCATACATAAAACAGTACAAAGGGAAAACATGCCCTAATACCTCTAGGGATTTGTAATTTAGAAATTGGTTTCTTAAATATGTTTGAAAAAAAATTCTAAATAAAACATGTAATGAAGATATATGCATTTTGTAAAAGATCTTCCATTCAGAAAACAAAAATTCAAGAATTTAGTTAAAAAAAACAAATAAAACCCACTTTATATGATGGTACATCCTGGACATAAAAATAAAGAGCCATCCATTCCACTCCAGAACTTCTTTTTAATCTACCGCAAGAAGACCAAGACTGCAAATTAGTTTAAGAAAAAAAAAAAAAAGTATCTAGCTCTTTATTGTTTGGGAAATTTTACCTAATTCTTGGATGGGAAAGAAAACCAGCCTATACTAGCTGTTGGGATGGAGGTACCTACACACATGCGCGCGCACACACACCACACACATGCGCACACACCACACACACGCACTCAGGCATATACATACATGCACACTCATACTTCCCTGAACAGTTTTTTACTATTCTTCACTTTCCTTATGTCACAATGTTTGCTTATGGCTTTCTCTGAATTGTCATTCAAGTCCTTTTCTAAATGGCAATTGTCAGAAATTAAGAAATGTGTTCCATTTTTCATAATGTATACCTTTGTATGGTTAATTGTTGTAGCTTTCTGAAGTCTTAGACTGATTTGGCTTTATTTTTTTTTTCCCCTTAGGAAGACTATAGGAAATACTTGGATGAATGCCTGTTTGTGGTTTTAGCATCTGCTGAGTCTTCATTTTTATTTATTTTTAAGTTTTAAAATTTTGCTAACTCATCTGGTAGCTTTAGCAATCTTACTTAATTGTAAGGAAACTGAGAACTCACCTGGAGGAAAGTTGAAGCTTTTCTTATTTTAGATCTATATCTAGCAGGTAATTGACATTCCCAAAGCTTAATGCAGAAAAATAGCTGAAATTGAATTCAACTGTACCTAAAGATTTGTTTTATTTTTGAGAGGGACAAACTCTCCTGTGTAGCCCAGGTTGGCCACCAAATCTTGGTTCCCCTGCCTCTATACCTCTCAAGTTCTGGAATTACAGGTCTGTGCCACTACACCAAGCTTTCAAGATAGGTTAGAGATCACATTGCATGCTATTGTCTTATAATATGAGGGGGGAAAGGCCTTTAATATTTTACTAATTTTAATTTGGGGGAATGTGCAAATTTTACTTCAAGTGTTGAATAGTTTTAGAAATACTTTGCTACTCTGTAATTAAAGTAAAATTTAGTTCCTGGGATTCACTAAAATAAGCCTGAAGTAGGCTTTCAGAGTCACTAAGGGAAAGTGTGAGTCTCTCACTTCCCAGCTGGCCAGTGAGCTCCATAGCCCTAGTCACTGGATCCTGTAGCCAGCATTGGATCCTGAATCCCATAGCAGCACCAGTACCAGATCCTGGACCCCATAGCCAGCACCAGATCGCACAGTCAGCACCAGATCCCATAGCCAGCCCTGGATCCCTTAGTCAGCACCTGATCATAGCCAGCACCAGATTCTGGAAACCACACTCAGTACCGGATGCCATAGCCTGGAGCAGCAGTTTGGGCAGAGGCTTGCCTTGTAGGGATTTAGTAGCAGTTCGCAAAGTGAGACTTTAGGGCCACACCCTTTGCATCTGATTGTTGTAGAACTCTCTTTTCTAAAGTTTGAATCCACCTGTAGTTCTTTAAAAACAAAAAAATAACAACAACAAAAAAAAAAAAAAACCTTGCAGAATGTAGCATTAGAAACCAGCTTGTCATTTCCTTGATTTATTACAACCAGGAGTCATTTTTTGGATGTTTTTGACAATATTCATTAGTGCATGCCCTTTCCCTGTGGGGTACACACTAGATTACTTTTTCTCTTTCACCTCTGCCCTTCATTCCCTTTCCTCCGTTGTACCCTCCATTAGTCAGCTCTCTGGTGTTTAAGACATTGGTGTTCTCCATCCCTAGGTAGTGGTTGAGGGGTAGAGGAGCTGGGCATGGTCAGCAGGTGTCCTTCCTTCTGTCCTGTCCTGCTCATGTCCCTCTTGTCTCACAGGCCCTGGGCAGGAGCTGCTGCTGAGTGGCCAGAGCACCCCGCAGAAGCTGTCAGCACCAGCACCCAGCGGCCGGCCGTCGCCTGCACCCCCAACCACTGCCCAGCCCACGGCCACAGCTGTGCCCGGGCCTTCAGTGCAGCAGCCTGCCCCAGGGCAGCCGTCTCCGGTCCTGCAGTTACAGCAGAAGCAGAGCCGTATCAGCCCAATCCAGAAACCGCAAGGCCTCGACCCCGTGGAGATCCTGCAGGAGCGAGAGTACAGGTACTGCTGGCGACCAAGCCACATGGTCATCAGGGCCAGGGGCTGACTGACAGACATGCCCCATGGGGCAGTGTCCTAGTAGCAGTGGACACCAGGAGGGCTGAAGAGACAATGGAGAGGACTCATGCTTTGACAGTGGCTTCAGATCTCTGAATTCCCATCCACTTGCCAGGTGCTGGGAATTCAGAGATCAAAAGGCCAGTCTGGATTTCCTTAATTTCAGGGTGAGCTATCTCAGGCTTGAATCATGAAATATCTTGTCCGTGATTGTCAGTGTGTTCTTGAATAACTGATGACCAAGATAGTCATGTCTGAGTCCATCCTTTAGAATACTGGCCCAGCTCATGGTACTAAAAAGCATATTGTATAGACTGGTATAATGTGTTCTGTGTTTTAATTCACTCTTGTTTTAGCCTAGAGGTTGGCCCAGCTTTAGGGACTCTGTCTTCAAATGGGATCCTTAGTTAAACTCCTAATCCAAACACTTGTCACCTGATTTGACACAGTTGTATCTAAATTAGGGACTGGCAAACTTTTCCTGTAAAAGGACCAGATGGAAAACATGTAATGTTTTGCAGGACCATATGTCTTAGACACAGTCAGCTCTGCCCTTTTTGTGGGAAAACGCCCATAGACTGGGGTGTCTTGGCTTTGTTCCAATAAAACTTTATTTGGAAAAGCAACTGGACAAGATTTGGCCCACAGACTTTATATTGCAGACCACTCAAGCAAATGGCTAACAACCATGCAAAACTGAGTCCAGTAAGTATTAAGCTGAAGCGAGGCTCAGATTTTGGGTTCTGCATCCTGTCTGGAAGCACACTCTGTCACAAACATCTCTGTTGTCTTTGTCAGATTGCATTACTCTTCTGTGACTTTAACCTGCTAAAAAACATTGTAGTACTTTTCATCGAGGCGGCAAAGGTAATATGTCTTGGAAGCTTTCAGTAAAATTGGTATCAATTGTTTTCCGAGAATTAGTTGGATTAAAATAAAATTAGATGTTAAAAATTGTAGAACGTTAGCCGGTAAGCAGCACTTGGGTTCTCTTTAAGAGCACTATCTGTCTATATCTACCTATCAATATATCTATCTATAAAACAGGTTTGGAGAGTTCTTTTGGAGGCATCCCGGGAACTAGGTATTAGACGTGGGCCCCCTTTTGGAGTGGGACTGAGCTTATTTTCTCACTTTTGTTACTCATAGGGAGCATTTCTGTTGTCACTACCAGCTTGTCACATTCACCTGCCTGAGTATCAGGGCCAGGCAGAGGCTGTTGGGTGAATGCTTGTGTATCAGAAAGTCAAACATAACGACACCCGGGGCAGAAAAGCCCCTCAGATGCCATATCTTCTTCACGTTGCTGAGTAAAGGAAGTAATAGGTAATTGCCAGGGTATGGTCAGTTATAAGAAAGGTCAGGGTTGCGTAGTTATCCTGAAATTCCACCTTGCCTGAAATCTACCATGCTTTTGCCCTGCCCAGAAGTTGCAAAGATGCTGGGAGCTTTGTTGGCTTCCTGGCAGGTACCCTCAAAAGACATTCTCTGTGCCTAGCCATTTTTTTTAACACTTGACTTTTTCTTTCTTACTCAGCCTTTGTGTGTGTGTGTGTGTGTGTGTGTGCGTATGTATTATTTGTATATGTATGTGTGCATATGTGTGCATGTAAACTGCTTTGGGGACTCCTAAATTTTTTGTCAGGGCTTTCCTATAATCTCATTTTAGAGCCATTTGTAGAAGTGTGAGCTTAATGGATTATCTTCCAAAGTACTTAGTGCTTTTTTTAAAAGCCTATTTCAATGTATTAAAAAAATTGTAACCTATATATCATCTTCCTATAATAAATTTTTATTGGATTTATTCACTATTTATTTGTTTACTTATTTATTTATGGCCCATCTGTGCCACTTCAAAAGTATGGAGCTGTGAGAGTTGGTTCTTTTCCTTCCCACCATGTGTTTTCTGGAGATTAAGCTCACAGTCAAGTGCCTTTCCCACTTTGGGTTATCATCTCACCTACCACATTCTCCTATGTTAATAAAAATTGTATCTACAATTTTCTTTGTAAACTGTGGTACATGGTGCTGCATGCCTAGAATCTCAGCGCATGGAATGTTCTGGCAGAGGAATCACAAGAGCAAGGTCAGCCTAGAGTATGAAGTGAAACCCTATCTATAAATAAAAAAGAAATCATTCAATAAATAAACAATTAAAAACCATGTGCATTTCAGAATGTGGCGAATAGTCATTTTTCATGTCATTATTATTTGATAAACACATCCACTTTTGTAAAGCCGGAGCTTCAAGGTGTTGGGGTTGCCAAAAGCCTGGTGGGACCTTTGGCCTGAGTGTCCCTATGGCCATCTGGAGAAGAATGAGCTTGTGCTGGCAGCATAACAGGGACATGCCTTATCTTGTTTAGTCATGGAACAATAGCTGGCTTCTGTCTCTATAAAGACATTGTTCAACCGCAGAGATTAAGTTTATCATCAGAGGGGTTACATTAAGTCTCTCACACAATTACACCAGAAGGGTATTTGATTCATTTCTCTCCTGCCCACTGTGATGGGCTAGCCCACTCCTTGCTATGGGCTAACCCAGCTGACTTTCCCCTGGTCACTAGACTCTGTCTGGCTAATGCACCTTTGTTACCTGGGCAAAGATTTGAGTAAGGTCCTAACAGATCTCTTTTGGGATTTCGTAGGCTTTGATAGAGCAAACCATGCAACAGAAATCCTGAAACACCTTCATTTCTTTGGCTACGGTCCTTGTCTATAAAAATGGAAAGAAACTATTAGGGTGTTATATTTCGTTAAGCCCATTGGCTGCCCTTTCTGATTTGTCCTAAACTCAGAATTTTAACACATCAACCTTTTTTTTGAGGGGGGAGGGATTGTAGCTTAAGTGAGTTTCTGCCCGTGTATACACTGACCTCAATCTATACAACCCTGGGATTGAAAACATTTACCTCCCTTTTAGATTGGGTGCTGTCCTTTTGACTCACTTTTTTCTTTTTTTTTCTTAATGGAAATTTATTCTTCTTTCTCTGATGTCAGTTTTGTGTGCTCCACTCACCCCTCCCCCCACCCCCACCCCCATCTTTGGGTGTCAGTCCCAATGTCATTTCCTTCCATGTCAGTCAAAGAGCACTTCAGGAACTTACACACTGACATGGAAGCTAGTTCCATGTCAACAATGCCATGTAAACATGGATGATGCATTTTACACTTAGAAGGGTTTATTTGAGAAAGGCATCTTTGAATTACATCAGACCTTGGGTCTCAAACCAGAATTATTGAATGTGGAAGTAGAAATGGGTTTAAGAGGCATGTATGCGTAGCTTCTCTCTCTCTCTCTCTCTCTCTCTCTCTCTCTCTCTCTCTCTCTCTCTGTGTGTGTGTGTGTGTGTGTGTGTGTGTGTGTGTGTGTGTGTGTGTGTGTGTGGTTTCTTTGTCTTGCCCTTGTCACCATCACAACCCTGGAAATTCCTTCTCAAAAATTACCCATAGCCGCTCTGCCAGAAGAGTCACCCAAGTCACACATGCTCCCTCTCTCTCTCTCTCTCTCCTTGCTCTTTAAAGTGTCACTCAGCTCCTTGAAGGAACAAAATGTACCAGTGTCATTTTCTGTTCAAATAACTCTCCTACAGGAATCATAAACTTCTCTCCTGGACCTGAACAAATATCTGTTGCCTTTAATGGAACTCTTTTCCTTGCCAGAACAGAAACCTCTCTTGATTCACTCTTCAGTCTGTATGAAAAACCAGAGTGACCTAATTCTGCTTCAATTTTCTGTGCTCGTGAGGACACTAAATGAGTCTCCCACAGTCAGGCAGGATTACATCTTGCTGCTGTTTGGGGAAGTTTAGAATTCTGACTCTCTTTATCGGACTTCCTGCTGAATCCCATCATTGTCTGGAGAGGAGCATTATTTAAAATGAAGATTTCTATTAAACACAAGAACAACAGAGATCGTGTTTTCTGTTAACACTCTCCCAACCCTCCTTCCCCCACCCCATAACTTTGCCACCCACCCCATGTGCCACATCAAGTGCATGTCATTTCCCTTTAAATTCTCCTTCTCTTTCCTTGAGTTTGCACTTTGTACTTCCTGCCTCTCTTCCATAGCTGGGCGGGGGAGAGGTTCTTCTCTGTTGGGAACTCTTGAGATGCACTGATAAACCACTTCTCTTTGGAGAAGCAGTGTTGATAGGGAGAAGTGCAGCCTTGCCTCCTTCCTGCTGCAGTGGCCCAGGTACCCAAACATCATTACTAGCAGCCCCATTCCTGGCCCCTCACTTCCTTCTGTACCTCCAACTTCCCACCCAGTTCCGTGTGGGTTAGTCCTAGTACTGTCAGCCCAGTTCTTCTATAGTCATTTTTTTTCATCCTAGAAACTGTCCTTTGGAAGGTGGACTCAGAAGCCGCCATTCCTAGAGCTTAGTACTGGACTCATTGTGTCATACTGAACCAAAATAATGCACAGAGGGAGTTTAGGCTCTAGGATATCCAACTAACAGAAGGACATATGGCGTCTAGAACCAAGAATGTAAGTAACATAATGAAATTGTGGGTGACACCATCTTCCATCACTTTAATACCTAAGCCCCTTTAGTGTGATCTTGATAAGAAGATTACAACGTGGTTTTAAAGGTGTAATCTTCTTTCAGTTTTACTTTTTTTTCTTTAAGCACCCACACATTTGTGTGTGTGTGTGTGTGTGTGTGTGTGTGTGTGTGTTCTTTTTTCTCTCTTCATACTTTCAATTCTCTTGCCTGTTTGGGCATTTGGAGCTCCATAGATAGATGGGGGGAAACCAGTTGGATAATAAGCCATATAAAGTAGGTTTTGATTTTGGATCCCTCCATTTCTAGCTCTGTGGTGTTGTCTTAGTTAGGGTTTCTATTGCTGTGATGAAACACTATGACCAAAGTGAAAGTTGGGAGAAAAAGGTTTGTTTGGCTTACACTTCAGCCTTGCTGTTTATCACTGAAGTAAGTCAGGACAGGACCTCACACAGGCCAGGATCCTGGAGGCAGGAGCTGATGCAGTGGCCATGGAGGGGAGCTGCTTATTGGCTGGCTTCCCCTGGTCAGCTCAGCACACCTTCCTTATGGGGCCCGGGACCTCCTGTTCAGGGATGACACTACCCATCAGGAGCTGGGCTCTCCCCTGTTGATCACTAAATGAGAAAATGCCTTAGAGCTGGATCTCATGGAGGCATTTCTTCAGCTGAGGCTCCTTCCTCTCTGGTGATTCTAGCTTGTGTCAGGTTGACACACAAAACCAGCCAGTACAGGTGTCAACAGTCTCTTCAGTTTTCTCTTTAGTAAGATGGGGCCACTCCAGCATGTATTTCTGTGTGCCTGTGTGCCTGTGTGTGTGTATGTGTGTGTGTGTGTGTGTGTTTGTGTGTGTGTGTGTGTGTGTTTGTGTGTGTTTGTGTGTGTGTGTGTTGTGTATATTTAGAATCTTTAGATGCATTTAGTGAAGTGAGTATTTACTGGGTTAACTTATTACTAACTTTTCTTACCATTTCTTTCTTTTTGATTCTATCTCAAACAGTTTTGTCCCAAAGCTGGGGGCAGGAGTTTATTCTAAAACCAGATTTCAGTGATGTATATTTATAAAAGGAAGCCTTGAAACCAGTTTATATGTGTTAGAGCTTAAGCAGCCAGGAGCTAGAGGGAGATGTGTTTTATTTTCTAGTCTGCCTTCATTAGGAGGAAGTACGTGCGATTATATTTTTGATGGTGTCTAAAATGAGAACCCTCAGCATCCTTTTCAGGAAATGCTATTCACTGCTGCCCCTGATTTTTGCAGATGCCCAGTTCGCTGTCTTCTCTCAAACAAGCACTGCACACAGGAAGTGGATGTGGTTGGCAGGGCTCTCTCGGAATGTCTCGAGCAGGCTTGCTTCTGTGGCCTCAGCTCCTGAAGCTTCAGTTGCTACTCTGCTTTAGCTACTGTAGTCACTGTCACCTCAGAACAGAAGGAAGAACTGTGGCTGAGCTTTGCATGCCATGGCAGGCTGGGAGTTGGGCAGCTAGCCAGACCGCCTCTGTGTTCTGTCTACGCTGAGAGTAAGCAAGGACTCCTAATCACCTCTTGTCCCCTCCATGTAGCATGAAGTTCCTTTCCAGGCCTTAGAGAGAGGCTACATAGAGGTTCAAAGTGTTGAGAGTATGAAGTGTCTTTCTTCAGGAATTCAAAGGTAGATTTTTTTTTTTTTTTTGTGGATAACGTTAGAAATCCTGTTGGGGCCCAGTAAGACAGCTGAGCAGGTTAAAGACATCTGTTGCCTTGTCTCTCAGAATGTATGTGAGAACCTGACACATTCACAAGCTCTTCTCTTACGTGCACTGTGGCATGTTCATCCCCTACCCCATCCCCTGTAAGTAAACAAATGTAAACTTTTTTCTTTAAAAAAAAGAAAAGAAAAGAAAAGAAAACCCAGTTGGATGTCTCAAATTGACTGTCATCGTATGGAATATATGAACCTAAACCTAAAGTTGTTGTTGATCATTGAAGATGAAATCATAACGTCGATCTCTGCCTGCTCCCATCCCCCTCTTTCTTATTTCCTTCTAGACTGCAGGCTCGCATAGCTCATAGGATACAAGAACTGGAAAGTCTGCCTGGCTCTTTGCCACCAGATTTACGAACCAAAGCAACTGTGGAACTAAAAGCACTTCGCTTACTCAATTTCCAACGTCAGGTAATACCTTTTCCCCAGTGAATCCATGATGTAGGAAATCAATGTAATTGTTCCTAAAGTGTGATCTGCGAGCTTCCTCCATTCTGCTTGATATTGTTATGAAGCCAGGAACTTAGTAAAATAGCATGTCTTTAGACTGACAGCTCATAGCCGAAAGTAATGAGTATGAACTACTTATTATTCTTTCCTCCTTCTGTATATCAGAAACAGTTTTTGCTCCTGTACTATAGTGAACAAAATCAGTTATTGCATTTTGGTACTGTGGATGAAAACCATGACAACAGAGTGTGGAGAGCTGTGACTTGCTTTCATGGCTCCAAGGAAAACCAAAGGAGGCGGTAGATAGATAGTGTTCCTCCTGGTAAACCCAAATGTGCAAAGTAAGCCATGACCCCAGAAAGAGAAGATACAATAGTCTCTTTCCTAATCACTAGCCTGTGTTTATAGAAACACACACACACACACACAGTATCATGTACCTTACTTAATTATTCATCAAAACCTAACGGGGGCACTTGGTCACGTCAGACTCATTCACACGTTGACTAATTAGTGAGATACTGTCTCCTAGAACTCACTATTGAGTTCTGGAGTAATGCTCTATTTTCTGATTTCTAAATCTGTAGGCATATAGAGGAATGAAGAGAACTAATTTTCCCTTGGCTGAGTTTTGTCAAAGTGGACTGGTCCCCATCCACATATTGCCTGTCTAAACCAAAGCATCTTCTGTCTGTCTAGATGGGCCATGCTAAAGTGTGGGGCATGCAGAATGGGTTGTTAATGAGTCAGCATAGTCTGGAAGTGTTGAGTTTGGTCTGTCGGATGATCTGACTGAAACCACAAGGCCGCCTTCTATGAACTTGACTACACATTTGACTTACTGGGTGGCATGTGATAGAAAGACATCTGGTGTCTGGATGCTGCTTGTTTAGAGGTTCCAGAGAGCAGATTTCAGATTAAATTTAAAAAGAAGAAGAAATAGAATGGTTCCTTTCATCTTAATTACAGGAAGCTTCATCATAGGAACGAACAGACTTGTCAGATACATATTAGAGGCATGTGTTAGCTAGTATGAGACGTGATTCCCTGTCCTGGAGTCCTGCTTCTCCTGAGTGGGTTTTTGTTTTTTGTTTTTTTTTTTTTTTGGGGTTTTTTTTTGTTGTTGTTTTTTGTTTGTTTGTTTGTTTGTTTGTTTTTTGATGTTACTGAAAAATCTGTTCATCCATGAAGTTTCCTGAGTGGATGGGACTGATACCAATTTCAGGTTCAACTGAATTATTGTAGTGTGGACCCCCAAGTTTCCTCCTACTGCCATATGATATGTAGTGTGGTTACATTGTTTATGATGAGAATCTAAAACAAGTCCGTGTCATAATATAAAAGTTAAATACTCAAGAACCTCATTGTCAGAGAGGGAGGAAACCCGGACTGGTATGTCCCATTGCATATTTGTTGTTATGAATTTACATCGCTGGAGTTACTGCTGCTACTTTGAATATGAATAGACAGTAACCCTCTTGTTCTTACTGTAGAGCAGCAGGAGAATGATACTATGACAGTTAAAGAAGTTTAAAAGGCTTATCAACTAAGTAACATCATTACTACAATTAAGTGAAATGAATAACTCTATTTCAAACCCAGCACAGCATCCTCATTTTTTTTTCTAGTTACAGTAATAAAATTGTTTTTGATGTGAATTATGAGTAAAGAAGATTTATATCGTCTTTAAGTTTACCATGGAAATTTGCCACAGTTGCAACCCTTGCTTTTAGTAATAACCAACTGCAATTGGATTGAGAAAAGTGCATTGAGTCACCTTTCTGTTCCACTGAGTTGAGGCCCGGGGCCCAGGACCTGGCTTCACTTGGGGGGCTTTGCTAACTGCCCTTCTCCTGCTAGCTGAGACAGGAGGTGGTGGCCTGCATGCGGAGGGACACCACCCTGGAGACGGCTCTCAACTCCAAAGCATACAAGCGGAGCAAGCGCCAGACCCTGCGGGAGGCGCGTATGACAGAGAAACTGGAAAAGCAGCAGAAGATAGAACAGGAGAGGAAACGACGGCAGAAGCACCAGGTCTGTAAACCTTTGCAGACCCTTCGTGGCCAGAGATGGCCCGTGGGGTCAGTGGTCGGGTTCAGGATGTTTGCCAAGTGGGGATGGGGTAGGTGGGGGTCATAGAACAGAAATGTAACATGGAATTTCTATAACACAGAGCCATCATTTTAGAGATGGGAGAGTGCCCTGCTTTGCTTTGAGCTGCTGGGATAAAACACTGACAGAACAACCTGGGGAGGAAAGGGTTTATTTGACTTTCAGCTTACAGTCCATCATGAAGGGAAGCCAAGGTAGGAACTCATGGCAGGGACTGAAGCAGGGACCATGGAGGGAGCACTGCTTACTGGCCCTCTCTCTCCTCCCTCTCCCTCCCTGCACATATGGCCACGAGGCAGCTTTGAATTCCCCTGGAACTGGAGTTACAGATGGTTTTTGAGCAACAGTGTGGGTGCTGGGAATCGAACCTGTACCTCCTATAAGATGAACCAGTGCCATTTATTGCTCAGCCATCTCTCTAGGCCACAGCAAGAAGTTATCTTTCTATAGTGTTCTGGTATCTTTGAAGGGCCCAGCTGGAGGATTCCCAGAGACAGATCTTCAAAAGCATTCCTTTCTGAGGGGTTGGAAATATTGATGTTTTATTGTGTTTAATCTAGTGCCTAACTTAGTTTCCTTTTGGAAAAAAAAGAAAGAAAGAAAGATAGGAAAAAGAGGGGTAGGAGAAGAAGAGGGGGAACTGGGATTGGTATTTAAATTAAAAATTTTAAGGAAAAAGAAAAAAAATTAAAGATCCAAGTGTAAGTAGGGTACATATTTCCCCCTCCTTCTGAAAAATGAACTAGGATTACATGTGTCGATTTCAACTTTGTATAAACTTACTTTGTATCACAGTTCTAAATTTAAGTTGGAACAGAAGAAATGTGGTTTTCACTGGAAATACCCAGCACCCTCATATTTATTTCAGGGTGATGGAACAACGTGTTGTAAATCTTTTCTTTGACATTTTATAGGTCAGCCCTTGTCCTTGCTTGTTACATTTCAGATGACCACACACATGCTTGAGGTGAAGGCAGCATCTCTTCCCTAGGCTTCCAGCATACAGATAAAGGAAGTCTGTATTCCCACTAGCCCTTAGACCAGTTAGTCTTTGCTTTTCCTATTTTTGGATGTCCACACCCTGGATGAGTGAGGGAAGCCAATCTTTCCTGGGCTTACAATCACACTAGCCCATAGCCTGAATTACAGAGGCTCCAGGGAGGCCCCCATCATCAACAGATGCGGACTTTGAGTGAAGGCAGTGCATGCCACAGCATCTTCCATTGTGCTGATGCTTCACTGGGGAGGGTACCCAAAGCATCCCTTTCCCTCCTGTGTATCCTTTAGGAATACCTGAACAGTATTTTGCAACATGCGAAAGATTTTAAGGAATATCACCGGTCTGTGGCTGGGAAGATCCAGAAGCTGTCCAAAGCTGTGGCGACTTGGCATGCTAACACTGAAAGGGAGCAAAAGAAGGAGACGGAGCGGATCGAGAAGGAGAGAATGCGGAGGTTGATGGTAAGGGCCATGTGAGACTGGGAAGGTACTTTGCTTGCATCTGTCTGCATTGAGAATGTGACAGGAGGCATCAATAGAAGACACACACACACACACACACACACACACATGCACACACACTGATAGGTGCCTGTACTTCTTGAGGGTAGAGTAAGAACTTTTCATCTTTTCTACACAGTTCACTTAATTATCCAGAGTTTTACTTGAGGAGCCATAGTAGTTATGTGCCCTTGGGTACCATCATCATCCACCTATATAGCTTCTCAAAGAAAAGCAAGTGCTGTGTTGTGCAGGAGTTTGGCAATCACATCAGGAGGAATGGCAGAAGTGGTCCTTTAAATGAATATTTTTGAGATGAATGACTAAAATTTCTTTTTTGAATGCATACCTTACAAAGGTATTATCTTTGAATCCAAGATTCATATTTATTCTCTCCCATCCCTGCTATCATAATTTACTAATCATATACATTTACTAAGTCACCCCTCAGACTTAATAACTGACTTGAGTTGTCTCCAAAGTTGGTTTGCATCTTTACTTCTGCAGTTTGGTTTGAATGGATATACATATGCAGATAGGTTTAGATCATTGGCCTGAGTCTTGGGTTTTAAGGACACGTGGACAAATCACATCATGAAATTTAGAAAAGTAACAAAACTGTGCAGGTGATAAGAGACCCAAAGCTTTGCATGGGACAGAATTCCTGAGTGGGTCAGAATAAGCCTCACCTCATACATTCAGTTCTACAAGTCCTTAAGCTACTGTCTTCCTTGCTGGGGTCCCTGTTGGTGTTTTATTTTAATAATATGGGGGGAGGGCGGGTCCTGAAAGTAAACACCATTTGAGATGTTTTAAAATCTCAGCACCTTCTGCCCCTTCCCCTATTTCTGGGATAGACAAAGCTGTCAGAAGCCTTTGCTCTAGTTAGGGAGACTATTTTGTAGTAAGCAGACCAATCAACAAGGCAAATTTGTCTGATCCAACTGAAGGAAAACTGTATCAGAACTCCAGCAACAGATTGGTTTGCCACTAATGATTAAGCATTTGCAAATCATTAATTTTTGCAATTAAATGATGGGATATACAGATAATAGAGAAACTCAAGTTTTTTTTTTTTTTTTTTTTTTTTTTTTGCACTCTTTTTCTTCAAGTGAGATCAACCATAGCCAATAGCAATTAGAGTTATAATAGCATTGGAGTTCATGCTCATTCACGGGGCAGACAGCAGCTAGACTGAGTGATGAAGCTGCTGTCACTTGGCGCGTGTTGGGGTGACACCCTACAGCTGAGTCCCTGAGCTCTTCTGGGACAGAGCCACCTCTTAGAGATTGGATGGTGTTGTCCTCTTATTCAGGTGTCACAGAAAAATATTTTAGAATGTTCTTTCAATCGCGACATCTCGAAGAGATTTCTCTCTTAATGGCTCAGAGGATATCAAGAGTTTTCTTCCACTCGATCTCATCGTGCTACTTATGGGAGGTGGAAATTATGGGGTTTGTTTTATTACTCAGTAGAACCTAATGGAGCTAAATGGCTTGTCTCCAGTCACCTAGGCCTGTGACTTAGTGCACTAGATTTTGCATTAGTTTGGAGTAGTTAGAGAACCACAGAACAGGCAGGAGCTAACTCACAGCGCTTGATCTCATCCCACACGCGGTGGGGTTCTGTGCTGGAATTTTGCTACCGACGTTAGGTGTTATAGATCTCTACATTTACCAGCTTTGCAGACTCCACTGGTTGCTTGTGCAGCCTGGCTCATCCTGTTGGCCCCAGGTGCCACCAGATTCAGGCTGTTAACAGTAGACGAGAGTGTGACGTGAACCTGCCAGTTCCATGCGGTCATGCTGTCATCTTCCTCTCCTTCCTGAACAGGCTGAAGATGAGGAAGGCTACAGGAAACTCATTGACCAAAAGAAAGACAGACGCTTAGCGTACCTTTTGCAGCAGACCGATGAGTATGTGGCCAACCTGACCAACCTGGTTTGGGAGCACAAGCAGGCCCAAGCTGCCAAAGAGAAGAAGAAAAGGAGGCGGCGGCGAAAGGTGAGCTCTTCTTCCGGACAGGTTTAGCCTGTGGTATATGTCTACGGCTGGTTTTGGATGAGTGTCGCTCTCTGCCGAGAGTATCACTTCTGCCTTATGGGTGGTTTAGATTACTGACTTGCAGGTAGTTGCATATAGTAGTATGGTGTAAAAGCAGATGATCTATTAGAGACAAGGGTATTAAATAAAAAGATGGATTTCAGTGGAGCAGTTCATAGTCTGTATTCCTACTGTTTAATACAGTGTAACATTTCAAACCAAGTGTACACAGCCATTAGGAGAGAGAGGAATCTAGATGCAAATAAGCACTGTATAGTGTTTAATGCCAGTGTGGCAAGGATGTCCAAGTTAAGAGAAGGAATTAAAAAGTTAAGAAGAAAATGTAGCGTAGAGACAGTAGCAAGCCAAGGGAAGACACATGGGAAATTTTGGGATGCCCTGGACACACACATCTCATTCTGTTTGGACAGATGAGAACAACGGAAGTTATAATTCAGTTCTCCTGTCCTGGTGTCACAGTATGGGTTAGCATTTGACATCAGTTTGACTAGTTAGAAAGAAAAGGACAATCTTGTGTCACATGGCCTAATTGTTATAAGCAGTGAAGGACAAAATTTAGTGCTCTACTCTGCAGACACTGTGTTGCAGAGTGTGAACCAGAAAATCTAGATCTTCTTGGATGTTGAAGTGCCCCATTAGCATCCTACAGATAGAGGGCTCAGCATCCTGAAAGGAAAATGCATCCTCTGTATTGAAAATGTGCAGACGCTTCCCTGGCACTGTGTTCCGGACAGCCTTATATAGCATTTAGGTAACATATGTAGTCACGAGATGATTAAAGTATGCAGGAGGATGCAGGCAAGTGACATGGGGACACAGTGACAGTTGCCCAAGAAACTTGTGGGTCTTCAGATTTTGGCCTCCATAGACTTTGGTCTCCAGGAACTGTTGCCTGGTGGATACTGAGGCATAGACAGCTGCATTTTGTTTCCATAATAACTTCTGATTAGGCCAGGTCCACACACCAACAGAAAATTTTCATTAGAGCTGTGAAAATGGAGGGTTGGTAGCATTTAATCATATACTCTCTACACTGAATAATTGAACAGCATGTTTAAAAAAAAAATTCATGGCTCCTGAATTCTCATGCCTGTTTCGTAATTAAGGAGGAGGGATAGATGATAGAGAAGGCACTCTCTTGTACTGATTCTTCATCTACCATAGCTCACCTTATTGTGAAGATGAGGAGGGGTCACTCCGCACTTGGATTTAGACATTGTATCGCTGAGGGGTACCTAATTTTCTTGTCAGGGTAGCCTTATAGACATCGCAGAACTTTCAGAGCCAGTGAAAGGGCACAGAGGCAAACACATACAATGCTGGGATAGTCTGTAAGCAGACCCCATTTAAGGACAGTTCCAGTTTTTCCTGTTCTGCAGAGGTTGCCGCTGTTCGTGTTTGTAGCATTAAAGTTCCTTTCTATTTCCTTGTGATTAAAAGCTAATGGCCCAGATCTGAGATTCTGGTTTATAATTAATGGATTCCTGCTGTGGAATTAGATACTCACATCACCACAGGCAAAGAAAGAAATGATTGAGTGTTGACAATTGTGCCTATATGGTTTACATTGTTTTGTGCAGAGCTGGGGCATCTGTTGGGGTTTTTCTTGTGGTTCTGCTTATTCTATCAGATCTATAGATCAGTAGGTATGCTCCTTGCAAATAATCCTTTCTATTTTATGTTTTTATTTACCAACACTTAGATAGGGACCTGGGCGTGTGCTAGAGAAAAAGGAAGTGATACAGCCATTAATTAAACATGTACCCCAAATTAATACCTTTACCTGTGATGATATAGAAAACTGGAAGTCAAATGGGAGGTAAGGCCAGATTACCTGGCAAAGAAATAACAGATGCAGAGGCAACAGCTGTCCACTGAGAGCGCTCAGCACCTCCTGGTGACTGTCCCACTTGATCAATGTGAAGGGTGTTTATATTTCCAGCCACCTTCTTGTATGCTTCCAAGATGACCCAACCTGTACATCCTTTGCCTTTAGCAGGATTACAGTCTGTCTCTCCAGGCTAAGTGGGATGAGTAAAGGGGAAAGGAAGGGAGGAAGAGGAGGGGAAGGGATGGAGAGAAACTGGCTCTTCCTAATCCTTCCTGGACCCCCTTTCCTTCGCTGGAATGCTTTAAGGCTGCTCAGAGTAGACAGTTCCAGATGTTTCTTCATTGGACAGCAAAGGAAGTGGGTGCTTTTAAAAGCTGATTTCCTGACCCTTAGTTCTCTTGTAGTTTTCCCCTTGACAGAGTGAAGAACTGGGGCTTACCTCTTCCAACTTCTCTGTGGCGGAGGGAACATTAGAGCTTTAGCTATGGGCCGTGCCCACCACCCCTCTCCACTCAACACCCTCCCCACTGTAAGCTGCAAGCTGTGCCCCCCAGCATCTCCCCACGGTGTCTCCCCAAAGCTTTAGATAACATGCTGTCCCTGTTTACAATTTTGAAAATTAAATAAGGCATCAGTGCACTTTTTATTTCGAGAAAACCTGCTTTCCTCCGTGAAATAATAGCCCAGATCTGGTTGTCATAAAGATGCAGGCAACTAAGATACTGAGATTGAAGAGGAGCATGGCTGGCCTTGAAGTCTGATTGGATAAGGGTTACTTTCTACTTCAGTCTTAAACTAATATATAGTTGGTTCTTTTTTTCCTTTCTATTTTAATCACCCAGCTGTTCTTGGAGAATTTGTTGTTCAGTGTTGCTAGCGAATAATAGGGTTGGCTCCCTTAACATGCCTTGACCTTGTTAATTCAATTCTCTTCTCCACTTGGTGCATGTCTATGAACTGTATGTTTATAAATTACTTAGAATCTTCTCATTCTCAGCCTTGTCTTTCTTTGTTGGCCTTGAAGTGAAAGAGAGAAAAAAAAAAAGTCAATTCTGTGTCTGCCTTTGGGGCTAGTTATGTGAAAGCAAGCTCTGCCTTTTGGAGTGAAGGCTGCTAGGAGCCTTCAGTGTGGCCTTGAGGGCCCTGCTTCAACACACTGTTCCAATGCCTACAGGTGGCTACAAGGAAGAAAGAGAGAAAGGGTGGGGCTGGGTTAAGCCACCAAGCATGTACAAACAGGGTTGCACATGGGACCACCCTCCACACCATGCTCGCCTGTAGCCTTTAAAATTCAGAGCTTCATAAGAAAATATTTGCATAATAATATGCTATTAGCCCTTTGTAGGGTATATCATTAAAAAGTGTATTATAGAGTGCTCTGTGTATTACCCGTCAAGAAAGTCATTTCTAGTTTGGTTTCTGCTGCTGTGACAAAGACCTTGACCAAAAGCAGCGTAGGGAAGGAGAGGGTTATTTCAGCTGACTCATCCAAGTGACACACTACCACCGAGGGAAATCAATACAGAAACTCAAAGCAAGAACCTGGGGGTGCAGGCTGGAAGTACACTGCTCACTCATCCCAGCTAGCGTATACAGACAGCCCTGTCCCATCTGCTTAGGGATGGTACCTACAGTGGCTGGGCATTCTCCTATCAGTCAAGAAAGTTTCTTACAGACTGAGCAGATCAGTCCTCAGTCGAGACTCCCTTTTCCCAACTGATTATAAGTTGTGCCAAGTAGACAATAAAAAGCTAACCAGGACAAGGGGATAGAAATACTTTTTACCCACCCCCCCCCCAGCTCTGTTGTGAGGCTTACATAGCAACTTTATATAAAGCATTTGGAGCACTTGCTGGCACACGGTAATGCACACAGCAAATATTGGTTGCTACATCAAGCAATTTTGTGACAAATGGATGGAATGATGTTGAAATACACTTGGTTTTTCCATATGTTTGTTTGTTTTCCTGGTCTGGGGAGGTGATACAGCAGATTAAGGCATTTGTCTCCATTTGACTGCTGACCAGATACATGGTGGAAGGACAGAACTAATTTCTGCATTGGCCTGCATGTGTGTGATGTGGCACATGGACACACACACACACACACACACACACACACACACACACACACACACTCAACTTTTTAATATAATAAATTAAAAAATAAAGACATTTTCACCTGCATATTTTGTGATGTTGGATAAAGAAATTGCTTGTTTATTTTTATCTTCTTTTTTTTAAAAACAACAAGATCACATGTAGCCAGGCTGGCCTTGAACCTGTTACATAACCATGGATGTCCTTGACGTCTAACTCCTAAGTGCTAGAATTGCTGGCAGGGACCAGCATGGCCAGCTAATTCTTCTTTTCTAATCGATCATTGGTTGTATATAAGTAGAGGATGTCTTCTAGGACAGTCACAGACACGTTAGCTATTGGCCTGTAGAAAGGGTATAAGGATTTATTACTTTGGCAGACATTGATTGCCACAAGGCTCACTAGCAGCTCCTTTAGAGAGTTTTCTGATTTGCATGGCCTCTGCTTTGGAGTGCTTTCTGGTGATAAGGAAGTATTTCTCTTAGTGCTTTAGGCACAGTTTTTGCATAAGCTGTGGTTGGGAGCTCTTGCCAAAGGTACCCCACAGACTGCTTAGTTCAGTTGTCTTGGTGCAGCTTCAAGAACTATTTGATACCTAGCAAAAATTAAATATGGAGTTCTCCCTTCAACCTCTTCCATGAAGTGTCTACCAGTGGAAATAACATCCTTATTACATGTTTTTGACATGTCTTGAAAACCCATGATGTTAACGGACATGTGCTTTAGCCCATGGACATCACTGCCAGATTGTTGGCAGAGTTTTCCATCCCATCAGTCAGCTCTATCCCACCAGCTGGCTCTGCAAATAACCACCCAGAGACTTATTACTAATTATAAATGCTTGGTTGATAGCTTAGGCTTGTTCCTAACTAGCTCTTACAACTTAAATTAACCCATATTTCTTATCTGTGTTCCACCTCGTGTCTCAAGGCTCCTTACCTCATTTCCTACATGTCCTGCTTCCTCTGCATCTGGCTGGCAACTCCTGAGACTCCGCCCTTCTTCTTCCCAGGGTTCTCGTAGTCTGGCTCTCCTCCCAATCTCTTCCTGTCAGCTCTTTATTAACCAGTGAGAGTGATGCACATTTACAGTGTGCCTAGATTGTTCCTGGCCCCTGCTATTCTCCTATTATTCGTCTCTTTCTTGTCCCCGCCCACTCATTGTAGAGCTTCCTTTCTGTTTTTATGCGATGTATATGCCTTTGCACTCTGTATCCTGTCCTGAATGCCTTTGGGTCTTCTCTCTTGGTCGGTGTAAGTTTCAGAGCCTAGATCTGCTCTTGCACCCTGTATTCATATTATCCTTTTTTTTTTTTTTTTTTTTTTTTTTTTAATGTTAGAAGGCAGGGTCTCAGTATGAGAGAAAACATGTGTCTTCAATATAATCAACTCTTAAAGTCCTTCTATTCATCCTTCTCTGCCCCATGCCCACCTCCCATCCACTTTATAAGCACAGCTTGAGGCTTTGTATACATTGAAGGGGAGAACTTTCTTGATATGGTATGTTATTCATTACAGCAATTGGAAATGTGATTTGGGGGTGGGGGGTGTTTCAAGACAGGGTTTCTCAATGTAGCCTTGGCTGTCATGGAACTCACTCTGTAGACCAGGCTGTCCTTGAAACTCACAGAGATCCAACTGCCTCTGCCTCCCAAGCGCTGGGATTAAAGGCGTGTGCCACCACCATCTGGTGGACATGTGATTTTTAACCTTTTTAGATATTAGACACAACCATCAAAGCCTGCTGGTATGATTGTCAGTGAACCAACATTGAGATGTTCCCTGCATATTCAACTTATTTCCAACTTCTTCTGACTATTTTCAATCTACTGTTTTCCCAAAGATCCTATAGTCGATTACAGCTTTTCCTGCCAAGGCTCCATAGGTAAACCGAAGCTGCTTAGTGTTTCCTGTGTGGGTGTGAGGACCGTATGGCCAGCAGTGTGCACACTGCCAACTCGATAAGAGTCATTTGATCAGTTGAGTGTCAAAAATGGGTGAAACCAGTTTGAATCAAAGCCCGGTTTAACTGGCTTGACCAGTTGCCGGAGTCAGATGTTCAAATTGGCTTTCTCTGTAAGACATGACCCAGGCAGTGTGCACATGCCTGCTAATTTGATATTCCTGGGCATTTTTTATTGCCAGAGCACCTGTCGCGGTGCACAGAGGCCCACTTAAGTGACAGTAAAAATAAACCAAGTGGTTCCTGAAAGCTTCATTTCCAGAAAAGCAGAATGAGCCCTTAAGGTGCCCTCACATTTAACGCTGCTCCAGCACACTGGCAATACCTGCTGGGGGTAGAAAATGGGTTCTTTCGTAATAAAACATTTGATAGGAAACTGTTTCCTTACAACACGGAGGCTGCCAGCCTCCGTGTCGTAATCTAAACAGACTGTGCCACTGAAGTCTCCCTTCTTGAGTTCAGCTGACAAGGACTTTCCTATTTCTGGATGCCCTTCCTCCAGCCACCCTACTGTCCAGTTTATATGCTTCCCGAATGAAAGGTGTGCCCTGTGCTTTGTGAACATTCTAAAGTGGAGAATGTAAATTGACATTGGCTTTTGAAATTGTTAACCCAAATCTGTATGAGTCTTGGTAGTTTTCACTAATGGGTCATCTTAAGTTAGCAGTAATTTGCATCACACATATCCCCTGAGTAAGTTTGTGCTTCCATCCCCACATAAACAGAATTAGTTTGCAATGTTTTGTTAGATAGGAAGAAGCTGGTACAACAGTGTATTAGTTTGGTTTGTTGGGGTGGGCGGGGACAGGTATTTTGAGACAGGGTTTCTCTGTGTAGCCTTGGCTGTCCTGGAACTCACTCTGTAAATCAGGCTGCCCTCTAACTCCCAGAGATCTGCCTGCTTCTGCTTCTACTGCCTGCCCCTGTTGGGATTAAAAGCATGTGCCGCCACCACCTGACTAGTTTGGGTTTTTTGTTTAAATCAACAGGGTTAAATATAGGCACCAGCCAGCAGTATTAGAGCATGTGTTTGTGATTTCATGACACAGATCACTGCATGAGAAAATTTGTCAGGTAGTGGGAATACTGATTCTTCTGCCATGTTTGTGCTAAGCCGTCCCCTCTGTGGCCCAGAGAATGTCCAAAGTCAGTTCCAATGGAACCAAAAGGCACAGTCTCCTCTGTATTTACTGAAAAGGGGAAGGAATTTTGGTTTTGTTGTCTGTGTTGACATTAAAACATGAATTTAGTTTGAGGACATGGATTTCTGAAAGTGCACCAACTAGACATTAAAAGCCCGGAGCATGATGGGAGGGGCTGGCATCTCTCTCTGTAGAGTAGACTGCCACCTGGCTTCCATGTCTCAAAATCATGTGGCAGGATTGGATCTAAGGACAGGTGGGAATCAGAGAGGTGTGTTCTTTACCATTTTATGACTTGGAACATATTTTGGCTCCTGATTGCAATGATGCTAGCAATAACAACAACAATAATAATAAAACAACAGCAACAACAATAATTATTGTTAATACTATGAATTATTCATCAAGTAGATCCTAAGCACATTGCTCACAATGGTGATTTACTCACTTTTTTTTTTTTTTTTTTTTTTTTTTTTTTTGTCTGCTAAATGCTCATTTAGTGATTCCTAAATGTTGGGCATCCTTGTAGGTATGAATCCTCTTTGAACAAACAGAAGCTCCTGACCTTGTGGCCTTAGGAGGCAATTTTCAGACAGTGCCATTGCCAGTCTTAATTATAGGCATAGCAATAGCTCCTGCACTGTGGAAGTTATCCTGCACTAGGGAAGTGTTTTTGTCATGGACCTCGTGAGCTCTGGAATGAGCAGGATGAAACAGTGGTCCAGTCCTATAGCAGAGACTAATGCAAAGAGAAGCATATTTGCTCTAGGTTATATAGTTAAGGTCAGAGATGTGATTGACATGCTACTGGTCCAATCCCAGAACCCAGGGTGGATGGACTTCTAATAGTCCTTTGCTTCTTGGTTAAAAATAGATGTTTGGGGACTTTAAGCAATGAAAAGCTCTGATTATGAGGCAGTTTTTAGATAATGCTCTGGCTAGCTCATAGTATATTCATAAGAGCTATGCTGCGGAATAGTTTTGATTCTATTCATTTCTGGGGCTTCAAGCTTTTTAATGTGCTATTTATTGAAATGGTGATCCAGTTCCACTCGCTCGCTATTTCAAATTGGCTTTTTCATTGTCTCCTTGGATTTTCTTTGTTGGCCAAATTTGTAGCTTATTTCTGGTTTGTATGAAAAGAATGGTGGGATTAATTGACTTTCTCTCATTAATTAAAACTATCTCTGGAGTATAGTGCTTGAGAGTTCCAAAAATGGAACCTTTAGTGGCTGGTAGCAGGCTGGTTTCTCTTCTTAACACAAAGTTTCTACCATTGTTGGAATGCCTTTTCAGGCTAGGTGGGGAGCCCAGATAGGTGATTCTGGGTATCAGTCCTCTGAGCCTGTATGTACTTTCTCCTCCAGTAAGCACAATGGAAAAGACAAGTATTGGACAAATCCGTGTGGGAGTCTTTCTTTTCCTAATCTTTGGTAGTAACTCCATTGTTTATGCTGTATCATCACCCCCCCCCTTACACACACTATCTGTCTCTGTTCTCTGTCTCTCTGTCTCTGTCTCCCTCTCTCTCAGGGTGTGCGCGTGTGCGCACATGCATGCGTGCATGTGCATGTAATCGCATGCATGCATGCCTGAGTGGGGCAGGGGGAAGAGAGAAGGACACAGAGCGTATCTGGTTAAAAATTTATAAATTACATTGAGAAGAATTTTTAAAAGTCATACATTTATGGGACATAGAATTAGTAATAATTTTAAAATAGAGAATCTGGATGTAAAATATTTTACCTGTCAGGCATTGTAAATGGAAGACATTTTTGATCATTTTGTGTAAATCACATGAGACTTGGGTCTGTGTATAATGTGACATCATCCTAATTTCTCATTTTCTTGTCATTGAGGCACATAGAGGTTAATGGACTAAGGCACTGGAATATATAAACAATGATAGATGATGGAATTTTTCATGAGAACACAGTAGATACACATCGTTTTCTCCACTTCCACACTGTGGAAATGCTATATATTATGAAAGCCAATTAGGTAGAGTGGAAACCGCCCAGGGAACTCACAGAATTTTGTTTTGTTTTGCGTTTTTATGACTGAGGAGCAGTTCCGAGCTTATTGTTGATGGACGTTTTAGAATACTGCTCTTCATTACTCATGAAAACTTGCTTAGGGAATAGGAAAGTCAAGCTAATTATGTCAGGATTTGTCTTCAGTGCCAAAGACGAGAAAATGTTTCTGATTCCGCCTTCTGTCTGGATGGTGCCCAGTCTTAGGCTCTCTGGGTCTCTAAAGATATGATCAGCAGATCTCTAGTGGGCCGCCTTAAATCACATCTGGGTTTAAATGACTTTGGTGCCTGTTTTGTCTCAGCAAAGAGAAACAAAAACAAAAGACATTGGCATTTGTGCTTTTGAGAGGACAGAACATGGCAATGCAATAGTTACATTGGGAGTTGCTGTAAATTGCTGTCCTGTATCCTTGATGTATACCTAACACCCGCCTTTGTTGTTTTGCAGAAGGCTGAAGAGAATGCAGAGGGCGGGGAGTCTGCCCTGGGACCAGATGGAGAGGTAAGGAAATGGCTCCCATTGGCTCTTATGTTCTGCTAGGGGAGTCAGACATACCCAGTGGCACCATTCTTTGTGTACACTAACTTTATTTTCTCTGAGCTGCTCACTTTTATTAAAAAGGTATATTCATATGTATGTGTGTCTCTGCCTGTTTGCCCTTTTGCATGTGTGTATGTGGGGGAGGGAGTGCCCACAGAGGCCAGAGGAGGGTGTCTGTCCCCTGGATCTGGAGTTACAGACAATTGTAAGCCTCTGGATGCCTGAAACAAAACTTGGGTCTCTTGCAAGAGCAGCAAGTGCTTTGAATTGCTGAACCATCTCCTCAGCCTCGTACTTATCCTCTAAAAGTAGAAACAGTACATTTGTGGCTATGGAGATGGCAAGGTGGGTAGAGCTCTCGTGGTCCAAGTATGAGGACAAGTTAGAATCCATGGAACCCACGTAAAACTTCATGTTGTAGTATGTGTCTGTAGCCATAGTGTTTCTGCAGTGAGATGGGAGGCAGAGGCAGGGGAACCCGTGGAGGCTTGGGGACCAGCTAGCAGGAAATTCTTAGTGGCAAACAACATGAGGCCTTTCCCCAAGCAAGATGACAGATGAGATCTAACATCCAAGAGTGTCATCTGTCTTCTACACATATGCCTGCACTCATACACATGAATGAGCACATGCATGTACATACACATTTACACACACATACACACACACACATACACACACTCATACAAGGAGGCAGAGATTAAGAGCGGCTTCCTTCAAACCACGGCTATTAATATGATAGAAAATTAGAATAACACTGTCTCAAGAATCCTGATCAACTGTATATCATTTTATATACAAATAAACATATATCATGACTGTGTAGAAGGCGTAAGAGGCTAAAATGCTTTGGTGACTACATTTGGCAAGTAAATAATACAGAATCATAAAATACAGCCCAATCCCTAGTTTATTACTAATATGAAATCATAAATATACATAAGGCTAATAGTTCACATATTCTGGATTTTCTTGGGTATTTCTATAGTCTTATAATGTAGATTATATGTGGAATTACCCAGGCATTGTCCTTAATTGTATATCCTAGAAATTCTGATAGTCTCCTGAGCTCTGAAGGATGTATCCAGTCATATAATGAAGACATGCCAGCCCAGAAAGTTTGTTTTAAACAACCTTCACTTGTGGACACAGAGAGCCCTGCTTAGAGCATCTGGTGATGGGGGATTGCCATTTTCATTTTGGAATCATAGTCACATGGGTTCCATGTGAGTTCCTATGGCCAGATGCAGGAAGAAAGGTTAAACTGCTGATATGCAGAAACCTCTTAGAACTGAATGTTGACCTAGCCACTCTAAGCCATCACAGGGAAGGAAGAGATCGGTGTAAATGTTAATGTGTGAGAAACTCTCCACAGTATGTTACCAGGGTGGATGCTGTCTCAGGGAACTTAGAAGCAACAATGGTTTATAGGATTCCAGCCTTCTCTGAGAAGGCTGCACATCACCTGCAGTATTCAGGCACCCAGGGTGACTGAACACCTTCTTGTCCTCTCAACTCTTAATCTTGTGTGGAAATTAACTTCTGATCTTGGGCCTGTGACATATGTCTTTTTTTTTTTTTTTTTTAATCCTTAATTTTTAACACGGGTGATTTCCGTTTGCTGAAATTTGCAAAGTGGTCATCTTGCTCAGTTTGTTCTGAAATAATGCTCTTCCTTCTCATTCTGTATTTTTGCCAGGGTTCTAATTCTACTCACAGTGATTTCCAGTTTTTTCCGAGGTGTGACATTAGCGATAAAACTCGCTGTATTATAATAGCCCACGATAACAAGATATGGGTTTTTTTTTTTTTTTCCCAGGGAAATGGTAGCAAATGCTGGATTTCCCTTTTTCTCTCGAGTGTGTAGATGACCTTTTACATTAATGAGGAAGAATCATGTTGCCATGCAAAGCACTGCTACTCAGAACGATTGCTTTAGCCATCGAAGGAGCGAAGAAAGCTGACAGGCCGGGACAAGCCTTTTCTTTTAAAGTTATCTTTGTGAATATCACTGATATTTGTTCTGATTCTGGTGGTCCTTTTGTTGAGGGAGTAGAAGAAGAGAACTCCTGGGATTTGGGTTTCTTCATGGATATTTTCTCTAAGATATAGAAAGTAACACCAACCCATTGTTTTTCCTTATCATTTTTTGCTTAATTAGAATAAATTATATGACAATCTTAATTGCACCAGTAGCGTTGCATGTATCTGTTTGACCACAAAACTAATTAAGAGTAATGTAGGGAAAATTCTTTGAAGTAATGAATTGCCTCAACAGTCCATTTCACGACTCTTCAGAAAATAGATAGTGGGATGTACACACAAATGAAGTGTTTCCAAATGTCTTACCCAGGGCCCTGCTCCTAGAAGTCGGTCACGGTCACCCTACAATTAGTAGCATCCATTTGCATAGGGTTGCTCCATTTCCAGCCCTTTTAAGACAGTCTGTTCCCGGGGGCCATGTTATCTATAACCTCTGCAGTTTCGCATAACTTAATTTTCTGAGCAAGCCATTTTATTTTACAGAGTCTAATAATGAACTTCATCTTTGTCTTGTCAGTTCTTCAGATTTCAGAAGGTTTTTTTTTTTTTTCTTCCTTGTTTGTTTATCATACGCACAGTTCCAGTGGTTGAATTAGACCCCATTCCTGGGGCGGGGATTGATGTCAGATAAAGAACATTGTGTAGTAGATAACACGGGTTACACTTTGTTGTTCTGTCCAAAACCACAGCTTACAGTAATTGTTCCCTGGGGAACTGTAGCTGAAGGATTGGCGAACTATTAGTTCTAAATGACCTGAATTAGCTTTGTTTGTCTGAAATAAGAATGGAATTTGTTCCAGGGCAAGTATCCCTTGGCCTAAATGCTTGCAGCTAGAAGTGTCTCAGGTTGTGGGTTTGGGGCTTAGACCTTGGAATGCTTTGATATATATGAGATACCTTGGTGATAGGACCTCAGTCTAAGCATACATGTATGTTTCATATATATCTTATTTTTCTTTTCACATAAGCCTTAATGCATAGTCAGAAGGTGACTTTATGTATTGCTTTAGTCAGCTTGTGTTTTGACCAACTGTGGCTGACCCATCCCATAGCGCCAGTTATAGAATTTACCACTTATGCCATCATGTCTATGCTCAGGAAGTTTTAAATTTTGCATTTTGTGGTTAGAAGTGTTCAGCGTATAACAGGATAAGGGCTACCTGGAGAGTCTTTCTTAGTGCTCTAACCTAATTCTGTATTATCCTGTTCAACTGGTCGAGTAAAGACATGGCTGTTATTTGGAGCAGGCAGGAGCTTGGCCTGGCCAATGTCACTCCACTGGCATTGCTGCCACCTTGATTGGCCTCCGTAAGTATGCCTGCACCCCACTTTCCTTCATTTTCTATATCTTCTAACTCAAGAGTCTTGACAAGTACAGCCAGCTAGAAAAGCCGAGACATTGTACCTGTGCTTTGGGTGCCATGGAGGCTAGTGTGTTCAGATTTTCGTTGAGGATCAAATTCATATGTTAGACAAGTGCTGTACTATTTAACCACAGCCAAAGCCCCAGGTCTTTTTGAGACAGGGTCTCAGTGTGTAGCCTGGGCTGGCCTTTAACTTGAGACCCTTCTGCCTCAGCTTCCAGGGTGCGAGTATCACAGGCATGCCATCATGTCTACCTCTTCATGGTCTTGAGTGAGTGGTGATCTCTCCTTGTCCACCAAGACACATTAGGTACTGAAATGATGAAACACAGAAAGACATTTCAAATACAGGGCAACCAAGAGCCTGCGAAATAGCCATCACAGGCCTGAGAGAGTCTCCTAACATCACCGGATGACTTGATTTCTTTTTGCTCTTTCTAGCCAATAGATGAAAGCAGCCAGATGAGTGACCTGCCTGTCAAAGTGACACACACAGAGACTGGCAAGGTCCTCTTTGGACCTGAAGCACCCAAAGCAAGTCAGCTGGATGCCTGGCTGGAGATGAATCCTGGGTATGATGTAGAAACAGTTACTGGGGTTCTTGGGGCTTCTTTGATGAAGGGTGGGTATGGCATTCCTTATAAAATTCCCAAACTTCCCAAACAACACCTGTGTAGCCTTTGTTGAGAGTGGTGACATTTTGTGTCTGCGTTGGTCATCGGTAAGTAGGGTGTTGCAGTTAAGTCGCAAACACCTGTGTTTATAACTCAAAAATCAGCCCCCTCTTCTCCTCTGCTTGTCCCTAGTTATGAAGTTGCTCCCAGATCTGACAGCGAAGAGAGTGACTCTGATTACGAGGAAGAGGTATGTGGACATCGACCTCTCCTTGGGGTTCACTGGCTTGAAAGCTAATGGACAAAGAAGTGTCTCCTCGTGGATGTGGGTCAGCCCCCAAAGCCTTCGACCCTTCCCTTCTGGGTTTGTTCCCAGGTCATGACTGGGCCTGAGTGTCTGGATAAGCTCTGATGGTGTGTGCCTAGTGACTGTAGTGATCTCTTGAGAGAGCCTGGCTGGTGAAACATCTTGACAAATCCTAAATTCATTTGGAACCAAGGGGAGCAGCTATCCTTAGACTAGATGTGGTGCAAAGATTTTTGGGGGTGGGGGTGGGGGATTTGAAGATGGATTGCTTTGGGAAAGGCAGTGCCTTATCCCCAAGTGGGCTGAGTGAGAGCTAACTGGCCAAGAACTTCTAAAGTCTTCCAGGCCTTGGAGTTCATTAGAAGTTATGAGTCTAGGGCCTGAAATGGAAGAGGCAACATGGGCATTCATAAAGATTTTAATGTCCATCTGAACTTCTCTTTAAAAATGATTTTGAATTGTTGGATGTGCTGGATTCTCAAAAGGAAATGTATTTTTCTGTTTCTTGGAAGGAATACTTAACATGTTTAGAATGAAATGAGAAGTTTGGATACTTTTACTAGAGATTAAGAAATAGTAAGGGTATTTGTTGGGTTAATTCTGACATGATTGATTAGTACAAATGAAACGATTAAGTGATTTTATAGCCTTCGCTTGAATCTGGCTAGTACAATCATTAAGTCTGGTTTGGACCAGTGCATAGGACAGCAGTGCAGCATGCCACAGATGGATGCCAGGCAGTTGCTGACACAGCCTTGCCTAATAACTGACAAGGGTTTTAAGACAATGGCCATTTTCCTTCTGTAGTTTGGATCTTTGCTTTCTAAATTAATATACCATGAACATTTACTGCTTTTAGAAAACAATAAAAATTTCATTTGGAAAAGCATAACCATTAACGAGCAAATACTTTTGTGGCATGATAATATCTCCTAGCTTCTCTCTCTCTCTCTCTCTCTCTCTCTCTCTCTCTCTCTCTCTCTCTCTCTCTCTCTCTCTCTCTCTCTCTGTGTGTCTGTCTTGAGTGAACGGGTCCATAAGTGATCTGTTAGAAGGTTTTCCTTTCTGAGGAAGAGCAATTTAAGTAACCCTTGCTGCCTAGATGTTGACAGTTGCAGACACCTCCTGACATCTGGGAAGAGATGCACTCTGACCAAATGACAGGAGCCCCAGGCCACCAGCCAGTGAGTGACTTGTAGCACCTCATTTCTAGGAGGTACTTCTGAGTAATCTGATGTCATTGGCTTGTGCCACCATTGATACTTGTCATGTGTGTCCATTTTTCAGTCAATTGCTAGGAAACACATGTTCACTTTTAGACTGGCTTTGCATGTTAGGGTAGTAGTGGACATAATGAATATTTACTGCTGCTTCCAACAGGTAGGGAGGCAATCACATCCTTTGCCAAGGGAATGTTGCTTTTGTCTGAATACTCATGGATGTGTGATGTGAAGCAGCCTTAGAAAGCAGCATGCTCAGCAAACCTACAGTCATGGGGACCACAGAGTCCCGCATCATCAGCAGAAAGGGCATCCTCGGGAGGGTGCTAAGTCTTTGATATCTGCCTTTGGAGAGAGGAATATAGAATATAAAACAGCAGATATAGTCTATATATCTGTGTTGTTTGACCAAATAATTGCGTGTGTTTCTGGTATGATTTTTCACACACTTTTCTTGGTTGTTTGGGTCTTGGGACCCCTGGAGCATCATCCCCTGTTCTCTCTCATTCAGTGGTGAAATGGTGAATCACTTTGTTTAAGCAGTTGTTAAATTTACTTCCTCCCTTAATTGGATTTCCTTGCTTCATTTGTGAAATAAAATACTATTTAATCTCTTTGTAAAAAGCAGAAATCCTGGAACGTGCTTGTTAAAATATAGGCCTTGCTGTATCTCTGTTCTTCTTCCAGGATGAAGAAGAAGAGTCTAGTAGGCAGGAAACAGAGGAGAAGATCCTGCTGGATCCAAACAGTGAAGAAGTTTCTGAAAAGGACGCCAAGCAGATCATTGAGTACGTGCGGTGCCCTCAGAGTTTTTATTACAAATACAGTGTTGGAGGTTCATGTGGTGTGAGTTTTCTGTTTGCAAGTCCTGTTTAAAGATAGCAACAGACTTCATACTCACACTCCAACATGAGTGTCCCCTCAGCTCCTCACAGGTAGGTTATTTCTAAGCTCTGAACCACTCTGGTCAGGGCTTTGTGTTGCTCACCTCCCTCCCTCCCTCCCTCCCACCCTCCCTCCTTTCCTCCCTTGAGTTCAACATCCTATCTCCTGTCAGGTTCTTGTCTTGACTTCATGCCTGTCACTTATACTTCTATTCCAGATTAGGCTAATCGACCCCCTCGTTGGGGGGTTCTTGCCTTCCCTTCCTCCTTCAAAGCCATCAACATACCCAGAAAGAGCAAGGGTGAATACCATTCTTGTGTCATTCGGGCTGTCATAGCTTCATCAGCTGCCCACTCTGCCCAGGTCCAAACCTATCTTCAGCTTTCCCTGTCTGGGTACGAGGCATCATATCTGGCCCCATTCCAGCCCATCCCCTGATAGCAGTCCACACCCCTCATTGCTTTTGTGACTTTTATTATAGGAGCAATGTTTTGCAATAGCAGACAAAAGAGAACATTCAAACAATGAGACTTTCTAACAAGAAGAAATGAATGTTCTGATATGTGTTTCCCTTCCCAGGTTGTATGCCCCACTTTAGGAGCCTTTGTTTTCCACTGCACCCCTGGTTTTTAAGAATGGGCAGTGGCTCTTCCATGTGCATTGGGTAAAAGACCCCCACGAGGCTGAGTGGAAGGAAGAACCCCTTTCTTCTCTCCTTCCCCTCCAATGTCCTCTTCAGTCTCCCCTATTTGTCCTCCAAGCTTTCCTATTGTCCTATGGATGGGATTTATCTTTGCATCCAAAGAATACCCAGGACAGCTTCATTGGCAAAGGGCTGATATCCAGCTGTGCAGGCTGGTTTCTGAAGGTCAGGGCCCCTTTTGTCACTCTCAAAGTAACCTCTGTGAGGTGCAAGTTCTTCACATGTTATGATGTGGAGCTGATACGATGATGACCCTGCTCAATTTCTGTGAACTTTACAAAGAATGTCTTTAATGCAGGGCAGGTAATACCCACAGCAGCACTTTTTGACTCTCAAGTCATCTCTCGTGACAGAACTCACAGATTCAAATTGTTCCATGAACTTTCTACATTGTCTTCTCAGGACTGCAAAGCAGGACGTGGATGATGAATACAGCATGCAGTACAGTGCCAGAGGGTCACAGTCCTACTACACAGTGGCCCACGCCATCTCCGAGAGGGTAGAGAAACAGTCTGCCCTCCTCATTAACGGGACCCTAAAGCATTACCAGGTAACTGGCATGTTTGTGGCCCCGAAGCAAGCCTTGGTCGTGCATACATATCATCCCCAAGTGTGTGTGCTCCACTTTAGGAGCCATAGTCAACTTAGAAGGAGGTTGTAAAGACAGGAAGACATTCTGGGTTGAATACCTTAAAATGGGGAAGGTTCCCCTTGACTCTGCACAGGGCTTTCTTCAGAGTGTTGTGCTCAACATTGCAGCTACACTGGGTTTGTTTTTGTCACACTGGCATGGATTTGAAACAAATGCTGGCTTAATATTTGGACCAGTTTCACTGTGGTTCTTAGCAAAAAGAGAAAAAAGCATCTTGATTCCATTAGTCAGGGAACCTGAAGTAAATGCAGTATTACTTCAGCTTTAGTTGTGGCGATAGTGGGATGATAGGGGTTCCGAGTGCAATCTCCTGCACACATACCTCTTAAGGTACAATTAAATTGTTGGCCCACGTGCTTTGGTTAAAAACCTGGCTATAAATGTGTCATGTCTTCTGGCTGTAACTCATCTACCCAGTTACCTGAAGTGTGTTCCTTGAAGCATTTGTTTCACGAATTACTTCCTCAAAAATTAAAAACTAAAATGAAATAGTAAGCATTTGTGGTCAGATAAACATAGATGGTACCATTCCCTAGGGCTAAACTGTTGTAATTTAGTATTCCAAATGTGGATGCTTGTGAGGTTTAGTTGAATTCTGACTGCTGATAATAGAATAACCATGGACTGTACCAGGCCAGCTGAATAATCAGCTTGGTGGTGACTCCTCTCTGTCCATCCAAAGCCCCTACATATTTAATTGAGGACTGGGGAGATAGATGTGAACATTAGCACCCTGTAGAAAAGCAACTTTTTAAGCACAGATTGATACTGTAGTGCTCACCATCTTTCTCTACTACTGCCTGGGTCACTTTTATATTATCTCTTACTAATATAAAATTAGTGCCATCTAGAATGCATTCACAGAAGTGCTTATGAGCAATCATCTCAAAGTTCCTGAGGTCAGCCATTGCCTGCTGTCATTGCTTGGGTCCTGTCTGGACTGACGGCAACGCTGGAAGAGTGACATGCAGTACATGGCTAATATTACTAAAAACATTTTGTTCTCTTGGACTGTCTTGGGAAGTTCTTAGGATTTCCCTGGAGCTCCTGAAACATACTTTGAAAAATCACTGCCCTGTAAGGCCACACCCCCTTTATGAGGTCAGGGTATTCTTTTTAATTTTATTTGACCTCCTTGCTATCTTGGCAGTAGGCTCTGTGCTGTATTGGATATGGCAGATCCATTTTTGAATTATTTGTTAAACAAAACAAAACAAAACAAAAAAGAAACTTTTACTACTTTACATATTTGTGTGTGCGTGCGTGTGTGTATCTGTCTGTCACATCCTGCTCATGGAGGTCAGAGAGTGACCTGCAGCAGTTGCTTCTCTCCTTCCACCATGTGGGTTCCAGGAACTGAGTTCAGTCTCAGCAGGAAGCACCCAGATGGCCCTCATCAATAAATGTAAATGCCACACCGATCTCTCATGCCATTCTGCACCTGTTAGCACTCTTCATCTCTCCCTTTTCAAATCTAGCTCCTCCTTCCAGATGTGAATTCCTGCGTGCACCCCACCCCTAGCTGGGCTCTGTCCAGTCCTCAGGATGAAGTGCAACCTTTTTCCTCCTGTGCTTTTGACAGTAAAGCTCCTCTCCTGCAGTCTGATCACCCCCGCCTGCTTTATGATTTCTTTTTCTCACAACAAGTTCATCGACGGTCGGTCGCAGACCAGCTTTCTGTGGCTCCTTTACAAGTCTCACCTTGGTAGGCAGAGCTAGCTACGGCCTCCCTGCTGCCTTCCAGAGAGCCCTGCTCTGAGTCATCTCCTTCCCACGTTCCCCAGTCCAGGAAAGCACACGTCTCTTCCCACGTGTGTTATGAGATTCTAAGCTAATAAAACCCCTGTCTCTGGCTTTGCTTTTCTTTCATCTGGGATCTCCCTCTCTCTCTTATATCTCTTCCTCTCCCTCTTCTTTTCTTTCTCTTCCTCTCCCTCTCTCCCGCCTCGTCCTACCCCTCTTTCTTTCCCCATTCTTCCTTCTCCTCCCCTTTTCTTCCCCCCACCCCTCCCTTTCCCCTCTCTCCTTCTCCCACCGCCTCTCCTCCTTCCCCTGTCTCTCCCTCTTTCCCTGTCTTCTCCCCTCCCCCACCTCTCCCTTCTACCCTCCCTCCCTCTCTCCCTGTCTCTTCCCCTTCTCGGCCTTTGCCTCTGTCTCTCCCTCCTCCTCCCTCTCTCTCCCTTCCTCCCAATGTTTTTGGTGTTTAACTGACTTCACTAAAGAGGTGGTTAGATAGCAAACAACTTCTCTTTCCTACCACTATGGTTTCCATTATGTCCCCTTTACCTCTCTTTTTTAACTTGGTTTTTAGATTTAGCCTACAGGATCATGATTACATTATGGCATCTTTGTACACACATTGCTCTTCTGTTTTGTTTTTAGGACAGGTCCTCATATAGCCCAGATTGGACAGAACTTACTGCATAGTCAAGGATAACCTTGTGAACTCCTGATTCTCTACCTCAGCTCCCAAGTACGGGGCTTGGCTGTGGCCATCACCTGGCCTACTTTTTTGTGGTTGAATGTCTTCCTCCACTTGGTCCTTTTGTTCCCTTCCTCTCCCAGTTTACCCATTCTGTCTCTGTTTCTCTTATCTCTTTGTGTTGCTGTTCTGCACAAACTTTTAAGATGACTTAGGTCTTGTACAGGGCCCAGTTTGGCTTAGGAAAGTCTTCAGATGGTCAAGGTGCTTCCCTCAGGAAAGCTGTCACCTGTACAAGTTTATATACCTCTGTCACACGGGACTACTTGAGACATGAGAATGGTCATTGCTTCCTCCCTGACATGAGCTTCTAAAGGACTGTGAGTCTACCTTGGTGCTCATCTACTGTAGTTCCTTGTGAGATCCTGGGTAAGGAAGAGTTCTTTAATGAACATTTTAAGTGTAAGGTCACAATAGCTTCTCAGCATAACTTAATTAGCATGTTAGCTTGACTATATTGTGTGTATGCATATGTATGTGTGTGTGTGTGTGTGCCTGTGTGTGCCTGTGTGTGTGTGTATGTATATATATCACATATAATTGATGCTATCATTTAAACACAGCATTGCACCGTGATAGTGATAATCCGTGTTCTCGCCTCATTCTTCCATTGTGCTTAAATGAGAACCTAAAGCTGGGACTTGGGCACACTCCTTCCATGCTTAGAAAATGCCGTCTCCATCTTCCTGGCAGCCAGCTTCCAGGGAGTTGCCTTCCCAAAGTGCCCACAGTGCAGAGTTTCTGTAGGCTGCCTGGGGCCTTTCTTTGCCAGGAAGAGAAATGTCCTTCTGGAGGCCAGCCGAGTGGCCTTGGCTCCCCGGTCACAGGCTTCCTGCTGCAGGGATGGCACCCTGGGGCAGGCTGTTCATGATCCACAAAGTAGTTTCCGATGATCAGTGGTCTATGGGCCAGCTCAGCCTTCTGGTTTGTCTTTAATCCTCGAATTGGCTTTTTGTTCTTAGAGTGGTTGGAATAGATTTTGGTTTGGGTTTTCTTCATTTATAATAATTCTAGAATGTCATCTACTGTGAAATGTTAAGTATGGATGAGCAACAAAGCTGCTTGAAATCCCACCAGCGTGCTCTCGCCCATCCTTTCTAAATCTGATTAACACTGAGCACCTGCCAAGCAGCAGGGGCGATTATAGGCTCATCTTTTAAATTCCTTTTGCGTTGGTACCTCCCGCACTTTGCTACTGTGGGAAACCCAGCATACAGCACCAAGAAGTTAAGAAGTCGCAGTCTCACTTGAGTTGTATTAGTATTAATTACCTGTGCAGATCTTGGATAATTGAAACAATTACTCTTCATTTCAGCTCCAGGGCCTGGAATGGATGGTTTCCCTGTATAATAACAATTTGAATGGAATCTTAGCTGATGAAATGGGGCTAGGCAAGACCATCCAGACCATTGCACTCATCACATATCTGATGGAGCACAAAAGACTCAATGGCCCCTACCTCATCATTGTTCCCCTCTCGTAAGTACAGTAATTTATCCCACAGCCATCGCTCTGTACGCTGGAGATTGCCCTATCAGTGGCTTGCCCTTGTTTCTCACGTGAGACAGAAGAGTAGCATGGTGTTGGAGTACCAGGAATACATAATCTGAAGATTGGTTTTAATTTTCCACCCCAGCCCACCCACCCCACTGCAGCCTTTTGGCTGGCTAGTAAAGTATGTAGTCGTTCTTATTGGCCATTAACATTTTACACCCTGTAGAGCAGTCTCAACCTTCCTCGCGCTAAGACCCCTTAATACAGTTCCTCATGCTGTGGTGACCCCCCCCCAACCAGAAAGTTGTTTCATTGCTACTTCAGAACCGTAATATTGCTACTATTAGGAATGGTAGTGTAAATATCTGATGTGCTGGATATCTGATATGTTACCCCCTCCCCCAAAAGGGTCATGACCCACAGGTTGACAGCCACTGCTGTAGAGTAAATCCAGGTAAGTAGCTTATTAAAGGCAAAAGTGAGAGCATTTTTGGATTTTTCTAGAACTATTTTCCTTGTTATACTCACACACACACACACACACACACACACACACACACACACACACACCCGTGCACACCTCCAAAAGATAATAGGTTTGTACACCTTCCTTATTGAATCTTCTAAAATCATTGCTGTGATCTGTGCATTAAAGTAAACGTTGTATGCACACTTGGCGTTTCAGGGGCTTGCTGCTCTAGAAGGACCAGTCTTTGCTGTTTCTAGCACAGCCCCAGTGCCTCACCCACGGGGGACTGCCCCTGCTTTTTACCCAACACTCTTTGAGCCACCCTCCCTGGGAGTGCAGTGCTTCTAAGTATGCACATCAGGTTGGCACTTCAGTCACTGAGATCTTGTCACCCATTGCAGTCCTGAGACAACTCAGACCTGCAGGAAGAACAAGTCTATTGGTTTTGTATTTCCTTCTATTCTGTTTTCAAAGCCAGGCTCTGAGTTATCTGCCTCCGTAATATTTCCATGCCCTTTGTGTTGGATCTGTGTTTGCATGGTCTGACCTGGATATTTTTGTCACACTTTTGGGATCTTTTAAGAAAGTCATTCAGTAACTCTTCTTGCTTCCTTTTGATAGACCTATTTACTGTTTTCGTGTGGTTTTGTAATTTCTCCTCCCCATATGAATTTTCTCAGAGCTTAGGTGGCCAGTTGTAACAATCCCAGATCATCAGCGATTGTTGTTTTTCAGAACCATAGGAAAACTCTGGGGTTTTGTACTAAGTAGTTCTACACTTTTGAATTGTTTCTCAGGAGATTTTTGTTTTGACATGTAGAATTGTCCCACTTTGTGGCAGCTCGTTTCTAACTTACCTCCTATTTCCATACCTTTAACATAAAAGTGTATCTGGAGTGTTTCATATTATTTAGCCCCTTTTAAGGCAAGGACTAAAAGTAAGTAACAGTTTTTTATTAGCTGAATTTATATAAATATATGTATGTGTGTTTATTGTGTTTTTTGTTGTTGTTTTGTAGGACTCTATCTAACTGGACATATGAATTTGACAAATGGGCTCCTTCTGTGGTGAAAATTTCTTACAAGGTTTGGAGCTTTATATTTATATATAAACGTGGAAAAGCAAGAAAATGGGCCCCATTTTCTTCATTCCTTATGCACATCTGTGAACTGTATTTGGTTGTAAAGTTTTGTCATGTACATCATGTACTAAACAGTGAGAGTTAATCATCCCAAGAAGATTACTGTAATAAACCATAATTACTTTCAGATAGTGAAATGCAGAAGAAAATTGTTAATTATCATATTGCGAGGTTTCTGATGAGAGTAATACAAATGACAAATATCGCACTTTCTGTGTGCCACTGACTGCCTCACTGTGGGCTGCTACTGTGCCGAATGTACCTGCAAAGTCAGGCAATTACTGGGGCGCTGGGGCTGCCTGCTGCATGCTCCCACAGAAAGGGAGCTTTTCAGACGAGCAGCAGGTTCCCTGCTACCGAATGCTTGCTGCAATTTTCTTCTCTCTTTTCCTTCCTCGGCCTTAAGTGGGAAGCCTTCCTGAAAGGATCTGGAAAGGGTCAAGATATGTGTGGTTTAGCTACCACTTTCTTCACGGATAATAGAGCAGTATATGATAATACATTTATGTGCACATCACCTGTCTAGGTTCCATTAAGCTCCGAACAGTGAGAAATAGCACCTATGTACTTCCAGTGGGTAATAGATGTATTTTTCTTTCCATTCAGGGTACCCCTGCCATGCGACGCTCCCTTGTTCCCCAGCTACGGAGTGGCAAATTCAATGTCCTCCTGACTACTTATGAATACATTATAAAAGACAAGCACATTCTTGCAAAGGTATAATTTTTTTAAAATTCTTTTATTTCTAATTGTGGCTCATCTTACCGGAGTGTAAAGTATCCCTCAATTATACTCAATAGTATAATTTGATCATTAGATGGCTGGTTTCTTTCTCTTCTTTTTTTTTTTTTTAGGCCTGGAATCTTGGTCATGGGATTTAATATTTGATTAATCTTGGGCTCCTCCCTGCCCATTTTTAGTGAGTTCACATTCTTTGCTTTTTAATTTCCTTAATTTTAATTTTATGTGTATGAACGTTTTAACCAAAACATACATGTGCGCAGTGCCCATGGAGGCCAAAAGGGGGCATTAGGTCCCCTGGGACTGGAGTTACAGGAGGCTATGAGCCTCTAATTGAGTGCTGGGAATAGAAATGGGTCCCCTAAAAAAGCAGTCATGTCTCCAGCCCCAGTCCCACGTCTATTAAGAAAATTCACCTGGGTTCCTTTGGCGACTTTTCTCTCCAGCAGCCCTGAATGTGTCTGGAAAGAAGTAATTGTTTTTGTTGCCTTGGGTTATTGTCAGCCCAGCTTCATCCCTCTTGTGCCTCTCTCTCCCAAGGCAAGCAGGCAGCCCTCCAGATGGTGCCCTCCATCTGAGCATTTATCCAAGCTGAAGCTGGTGTGCTTAATCTGTGTTCATTTTTTTCCTGGTAAAACCCTGGACAATTATTGTTTAAATTACTCAGGGCTATTCCTGGGGCTTACTTTGCGCTGAGGAAGAGTTGCATCTGTGACCTACCTGGCTCCTTACTTGTATGTCTCACGTTGTTCTTTGGCCACAAATGGGGAGGTGTTCTTCCCATTTATCTCATGTTGTTTCCTAATATGATCGTGCAGGAGGGTGAATGTACCATCTTTCCCGGAACAAATCATGAAACCTTAATTCCACCCATCCCCCCCAGCCCCGTGGTAATTACCCCGTGGTGTTTGGAAACCTCTCATCTGAAACTAAGTTATGGTCAGAACTGAGCAAAAGCTCTATTTCTGGGGCTTGTTCCATCTCTGCATTAAACCTTTGCTCTGGGAACAGTGAGTTCCCTTCTTGGAATCACAGGAAATAACATAAAGGAATCTCATGGCCAGGGGTGGTTGAATAATTGAGATGACACTGACAGCAATGCCACCTTCCAGTTTCTCACGCTCTGAGATGAATTTGGCAGTGTCAAAAATGACGTGTCTCCAAATATTACTGTGGGAATGTGTTTGTGCCTTTGCGATCCCTAAAAAAAAAAAAAAAAAACCATCTAGTGTCTTGTGCATATGTATTTCAAAAGTCACTGGAGATGCCTGGTAATGAGAAGCTGTGCTTGTATTTGTTCCTGGAGAACTGGCTTTCCAGAAAGGGGTAGTAATTTTTCTAAGCAGAAGACCTAATTAGTACATACTCAGTGGCAGAAACAAAGGTCTCTGGTTCCTTGCTGCTTCGTAAGCTCAACTGAAGAAGAAAGTTGATTTAGAATATCTACTTAGATGGGTTTTTACCTGTGGACTTCTTTTCACTGCTGTTGGCTGTAGAACTTTGGTATTCTTACACACTTGGCAGTGGTAGAGATACGGGGCAGAGAATGCTGGTAATTTCTTTTATCTGCATATCCCAGCTTGGCAGATGGTTTTCTTTCTTTTCCCTGACTTCACTGAGGTGAGAATTATGCCATACTTGCTTGTCTCCTTCCTCTGACTCTTGCTTCAGAACCAGAGATATCTGAGCAGCAGACTTTTTTTTTTTAACCAATACCACCTTTGTGTAGGTCAGCGGTTCTCAATCTGTGGTTCATAACCCCTTTCACAGGGAACAACCCTTCCACATGGGTCGCCGAGGGCCATCTGAAATGTCAGATATTTACATTATGATTCATAGCAGTAGCAACATTACACTTTCAAGGTAAATAATGAAAATAATTTTATGGTTGGGGTTCACCACCACGTGAGGTTTAGTACAGTTATTAAAGGGTGGCAGCATTAGAAAGGTTGGTGTCGGCAAAGGCTAGAACCCTTCTAGTTCTCCCTTTGAGCAGTAAACTTGAAGAGGCTGAAAGGCAGGGTGTGAGAGAGGAAGGCCGCTAGCCTTTGGGAATATTATGCCATGCTCACTCTTGCCTTTTTAAATGTTAGTTGTGTGGAGGAGTTTGCTGTGTCTAGTTCTGCAGTTTGGCCCAGGTGGAGGGTGGTAGTTTTACACTGTATTTCTGCTGATGAACCTGTGATCATTTTGAGTAGAACAGGGTTCCTCACCCTGGCAGAAGAGGGATGTTGCATGAACTGAGGGGGCCTGTTAGTTTTATCTTTTTCTTTTCTTTCTTTCTTTCTTTTTTTTTTTTAAGAAATTGAATGTGTAGATTTTCGTGTGTAACATGTCTTTCCAGTGTTAGCAACCCAAGCCTGAGCCATTCCCTAGAGCTAGTAGACCACTGTTCTATTAGGAAAGAAGTCGGCAAGGCAGGAAGGCCTCGGAGATAGTGCCTCCACCGTTGTTTGCTACAGCTACGGGCAGGTGAAGAAACAGGAACTACAAAACTCAACAAAACCCACGTGGAGTTTATTGGGAAAGGGATCAAAGGGAGGGTTAGGTGTTGGCCCACCAGGAGCAGAGAAGGAAAAAGAGAGAACAGGCGGGAAGTGCTTGCTTAAAAGGGAAAACTTGCACATGCGCAGAGCACTTATGCAGCCACATAACGTAACCACAACCTGGCCCTTTGAGCTGTCTAAGTATCTGCCTGAATGCCTGTGTGCATGCCCTGCCAGTTGTCAGGGGCCAGGTCAGCATAGTGCCGGGATAGCAACACCGGCATCTTCCAGAAGCCAGTCATTAATGCCTGCTGCAAGAGGCTGTAAGTTCATGCTGTACACAGAGGTAGCATGACCACAAAAGTCTGGAAGATCTGCCATGACGCAGTAGTAACAAGAGGACAGTTGGGTGGAAAGAGGCCAGATGTAGTCTTAGGCGTGCCCATTGCCCTCTGGGCCTGATTTCTTCTTCCTAAAGGTAGATTTTCCTAAAGGTGGATTGGAATCACTTGTCCTGGGGGGGGGGGAGGGAGGAGCATTGTTGTTTTAAGTCTGTCCGGCATGGGCAAGGCTCCTTTGGTTGGGATTCCTTTCTCTTAAAGAGTATCATTCTGTATCCATATGCCAAATTGAATTCTTTGTTTTTCCACACACATACCCTGCCATTTGGAAATCACTGTATTTCTGTTTACCAGCCACATACTGGCTCTTCCTCTTGTGTTGCAGATTCGGTGGAAATACATGATCGTGGACGAAGGCCACCGGATGAAGAATCACCATTGCAAGCTGACTCAGGTCTTGAACACACACTATGTCGCCCCCAGAAGGATCCTTTTGACTGGGACCCCGCTACAGAATAAGCTCCCTGAACTCTGGGCCCTCCTCAACTTCCTTCTCCCTACAATCTTCAAGAGTTGCAGCACATTCGAGCAGTGGTTTAATGCTCCATTTGCCATGACAGGCGAAAGGGTACTGGTCAAACTCTGTGTGTGTGTCGGGGGGGGGGGGGGTGGAGATGAGAGTCTCTGTGTGTAAGAGAGAGAGTGAGACAGAGAGAAAGAGAGATGAGAAAGAGTCTCTGTGTGTATGTGTGCATGTGAGAAGAGAGATGAGTCTGTGTGTGTAAGAGAGTGTGTGTGAGAGAGAGAATGAGGCAGAGAGGAAGAGAGAGATGAGAGTCTGTGAGTAAGAGAGAGAGTTTTGTGTGTGTGGGAAGGAGAGAGATGAGAAAGCGTGAGAGAGAGGTAGGGAGAGAGAGAGAGTATGGGGGAGGAAATGAGAAAGAGTCTGTGTGGAAGTGTGTGTGTGTGTGTGTGTGTGTGTGTGTGTGTGTGTGTGTGTGTTTTCCACTGTGTGGTGGGTGAAATAAAAGCCAAGGACATAGAACTTGGAATGTAAGAGCCACAGAAACCTCCCAAGGTGATTACAATGTTTTTTGGTCAGTGGATGGGATCTGGCCTCATTTGGAATTATGTTTTTCTCCTCTGAATCTAGATTCGTATGGGACATCCCAACCTCTTTGCCGTTTGTCAGCTTTTTCCTGACCGAAAGAGGGTTCAACCACAGCACGCCAGAGGGGTGGGGTGGGGGTGAGCATGGGGATGTTGGCTTGATCAGTATAACCAGACCAACTCAACCAATCCAATCTGAGCCCAGAAATCTTTCCTGTTATAAACGCAGGACTCCCCTTTGACATACTTCCACACAGAGTTCAAGTGTAACACATTAGTTTTCCACACATTTTTTTTTTTTCCGATTTTAGTGTAAGCCTCCATTTTTATCTGTATATAAATACTCCTTCAATCCTGGAGTATCTATTCTCAAATGTTACATCATCATCATCATCATCATTATTATTATTATTATTATTATTATTATTATTATTCCTTTAACCATCTCCTCTTTGAGCCCATTAAAGGCAAGCATGGACTATTACAAGAAAAAATAATCCCCAGAAGGGACACATAACCTTTTGATTACCATTTCCTTGATTATAGGAATGAAAAGCCACAAAATGCTTCAGAGAAACTATGAACTCTCAGCCCTTTCCTCTTGAGGTTCCTTGTAGGTACATTTGCTGCTCATTAACTGATTTGCCCACTTAGAGAAAGCAGTGTCAATTAATTCTGCCCCCTAGAGGCTAACAAAGGCAGGTGAACGAAGGGGAAGGAGCCAAGAAAGGGAAAGGAGCAATGATGGAGGAGCCTGGAGCCCTTCCAGCGTGAAGAGCACTCGCTCTTCTTCCCGTTTCCGTTTTCAAGCACCCATCCTTTTGTATATTTCTGCACTGGACAGACACAAGTCAAAGGCTTCCATTGACACAGGAGCACACAAACGCTTGCCTCCTTTCCCCATTCTGTCAGTCTCAAGTTAGTCCTTATTTTGTTGCCCATAGTCTGTGTTTGGGGCTGTTCCTACTACTAATGTGAAACTTGGTTCCAGAGCCCACAGAACTAGATTCTAAGGCAAAGACACCTATTTGGAAGTCATTTTATCCCCATAGGGAAGGGAGGCAGTTGGGAAGAGGATTTGGAGGCGTTGATGGCTCGAATAAACTTGGCTTTATAGCGTGGGAAATCTCAGTACGCATTGAAACACATAGTGTGTGTAACAGAGTTTCTCTGTGTGAAACTTCCTTCACGAATTCACCTAAGGCTGTTCTGTAGGTGGACTTGAATGAAGAAGAAACTATCTTGATCATCAGGCGTCTGCACAAGGTGTTGAGACCCTTTTTACTGAGGAGACTGAAGAAAGAGGTTGAATCTCAGCTTCCAGAAAAGGTCAGTTGCAATTTTTTGCCCCCTTCCTGTGCGTGCACTTTTAGCATCCATCTCTGAGATTGCGTGACTAAAGGCAACAAGCCTAGAGTTCAGGTGCAAAGTATCCTGAAAACATCTCCGAGGACTCTCTGTGTTTGATAGAGCTGGGTGGGGGTCACAACATTTTCAGTCTGGTTTCTAGAACTTTAGAGCTGGTTTAGTAAAATAATCAAATTCATGGAGTCTTATTACATTTTGACTGTTTTGTTTAAGTTGCTGAGCTTGTGCAGTTGCACCTGGAGGCTCTTCACGATTGCCCTGCTTTAAGGCAAATAAGGATTGGCATTTGGTACTGTGTCATCACTGAAGGGAAATTGAAGGGATCAGTAAGCATCTGCCAGGTTTCTTGAACATTCATTCAGTGTTCACTGTGATGTTATTAGTTTGATAGAGAGAGTTGCTTTATATGGCAGACTGCAATGTGCATTTGTGTGGTGTAACTAAGTTCCTGTAGACAAACTTACCTGGGAGCTTCTGGGCAAGTAGTTTTCACATTGCTCTTTGGAAATAGTTTTCAGTTCTGTTGAGTTTCTTTGGACCTGGCTTGGTTTTGTACTTGGATTTCAGTTACTGTACCTCTGGTCTTAATCCTGGTACCACCTACACCTGAAGTTCCATCTTCTGAAAGGTAGCTTGCTTGGGGTTTAATACTGGTTTTAGATTTTTGTTGTTGTTGTTGCTTGTTTTTGCATGACATCTTTTATTTACATTTCTCTTGATGGGTTAAATCTCAGCTGCCCTGTTATTTTATGGTTGTGAATTTTTTTGGGGGGTGGGTAACAACTACTGGACAGATTGGTGCATCCTGTCTCTTGTAAAGCAGGAGTTGGCAGATGGCTGGGCAGAGTTGATCACTTTGCTATGTGGTAATTTTATACTTTAATCCCTTATTCATTAATAGTCACAAAAAAATTAAAAATAAAGATCTTGTACTATGCTTATCCTAGTAAAAGTCTAAGCATGTATTTTTACTTTGTCAGTTAATGCATCTTGGGGGTTAAGTGCTGTTATCATTCCCTTCGACTTCCTGTGGTCTTGACCTCTGTAATAGCGATGCTCTGTGTGTGATACAGTCTGTGGATGTCTTTCTGGGTATCCAGGTCTTCAAAGGCAACCACTTTCCCTTGTCCTGGAGGCAGCTTGGTGGAATTGAAACTGTTGAAATTGTTGACTCTGCCCATCAGTGGATGAGGGACCCCCTGCATTCTCCATTGCTTATGATGTGAATGTTGTCAAGCCATTTAGATCAGGGTAGCCTATTGGTCTCATTAGTGACCAGGAAAATATGTAACATCCGCCTCACGGGACTACTGTGAGGTCTAATAGTGCTAGGCACATGAGCACAAACCTGGTACAGTTTCTGCTGTCCTGGTGTTTTGTTTTTGTTTTGCCCTCGAGTGTCTATCCTGCTCCAGGTTTCTGTTGTTGATAGAAGCTCTACTCTCTTGTCCATCTGCAGTTTTTCCTCACCATTCTCTGTCTTTACTCTGCCTTCTGTGGCCCTCTTTCAACTCTACCCATAAACCACCTAGAGCATGTATGTGGCTGTTGTTGACCCAATTCAATCTCTGTCCATTCTCTACTTTCATTAACTTGTTAGTACCTTTAAAAAAAAACCTGGGGAAAGTTGGAACTTTAACTGTCATCCTTGGGGGTGAGGAGTTTTTCTACTACCTCTTGCTTTAACTACAGTACAGTGTGTATGTCTTACATGGTCTGAGCCAAAATAAGCTACATTCATCTATAGTATATTTTATTCTCAAATGTTTTCATGAAGAAGGGTTAGGAAAGTGCATTTTAATCCTAATTTTAGTTTACAGCTAGCAAAATTTCTAGGTAGAACCATACTCCTTTTAATTTACAGTTCTGTGATCTAAGCAAACGTCTACTTTGCTGGGTTCAGAACCAAACTACACAAGTGTTCCTTCACCTAACCTCTTCTCTTTTGTATAGCTATACCAGTACTGTTTTGTACCTAGAGTACAGTATCCCCGTGTTCATTATCTTTCTGCCCTATGCTTAGCCTTATGTGTGGCCCCTGAGCTGTTCTCTATCCCTAAAGAATGCCAGTTGAGTAAAAGCAGAGTGAGTTGTTGCTTGCAGCTGGCTTATTTCAGCTTGTGTAACGTGTTTGAAAAGTCATCCAAGTTGTTGTGCTTACCTACAGTGGGTTGTGTTTGTTAGTTATTGTTTGTTAGTTAAGGTGTGTGGGTGTGGGTGGGTATGAATGCCCCTACATGAGTTTTTAATGTACCACATGATACAGATACTTATGAAGACCAGAAGAGTGGTCCAGATTTTCTGGAACTGGAGTTATAGGTGTTTGTGAGCTGCTGCTCAGTGTGGGTGCTGGGAGCAAACCTGTGCCCTCTGTGAGAGCAGTAAATGTTCTAAATGCTGAGCCATCTCTGCAGCCCCTGACAATGTGAGTAGAGCTGCTTACAAATCTACATTCGGACTTTTGTGTTTCACTTGAGTTTTGTTTCACTTGAGGAAACACCCTGAAGTTTGATTGATTACTGGGTTATTTGGTTAATGAATGGTTTATAAAGGTCTTAGGAAACTATGTGTTTTCAGTACCTTTCTGAACTGCTTGGTAGTCCTACCATAAGGAAGCATTCCAGTTCTTTCCTCATGCTCATCAGTACTCGGTGTTTCCAGATGTGTCCTTATTGTCATTACAGTTGGTTTTTAATATTTTAGGAGGTATGAAGTTGCATCTTTAATTCCATTTCTTTGCTATTAAACAGTGTTGTGTTGAGTATCTAAGTATACACTTGGGTGACACTAAAGGCACCTCTGCTGCAGAGGAGTGTCAGCTCTCATGGTGGGCTAACGGAACACCTAATGAGCATGGGAATACACTGTGCCCCCTGCCTATGGCAAAGTCCACCTCTCATATTCAGGAATGAATGCCTGTTCAAAGAAATGGGATTATATAAGGCAACTTAAATTAAATGGCAATGTAATTCTTCTGTTGAGCTCCCATTGAGGTTGTCTGTGCAGATTCTTTTTCCTTTGTGAGTTCATAGTCTTGAGAACTCATGATAAAGTTAGCTGTGTGTACAGTGGCATCTCTAGGTGTGCATGTTCACTGTCTGAAGTTGATAGGAACTTGGACCAGATAGCATCAATCCTGATTTTTATTTTTATATGTAATTTGTGTAGAGCATAGGAAAAAGCTTTGTGTAGATGGAAAACTTGTGTATTCATTATATCAAAGCTGGGAATGCTTCATAGAATTAACCATTACCACCTTTCCTCTCTCATGTCATGGATTCTGAGACCTTCATTAGTTGAATTGTCTGCTGAAAACTCTCAGTTTGCCACATGGGACTATGTTGCACACCGGGTCCAGGTTTGTTTTTCTAATGGCCTGTCCTTCTGGAATAAACATTTTGAATGAAGAGCCTGAAATAGTGTGAGCACAAAACAATGAGAAGAAAGCCTCGATGTTTCTTCTGTGTTCCTCATGGGGGTTTTCATTAGCTGCTCGTATAGTAATCAGATTGGAAATGACAGAAAAACATTAGATATCATCATACTGGCATCATTGTATAAGGACACGAAGCATCTGTCTTTAACTTTGTCCCGCTGTCCTATGGGCCTCAATTCTTAGCTTTGGATGTTAGTATTACTACATATGTATAGTAACGCTCAACAAAATCTATAGCCTAAACAAAAGTCATGCAGCAAAAGTAAGTTGTCATCAAACAAGGTCCAGGGATTTTTTCTTTGAGGGATACGAAGGAGGAAGTTGTTGTTCATTGATAGGGCTCTTGGGGAGAGTTTTTAAAAATTACATTTATTTATTTATTTGGAACATGAGTGTACACACTCAAGTGCATATGATATGATCGAACTGTGTCCACACATGGCATGGTGCCTGTGGAGGTCAAAAAAGAACTTTCCAGAGTTAGTTCTCTCCTTGTCCTATGTGGATCTCAGGGGCTGCCTTCAAATCATCAGGCTTGGAGGCAAGTGCCTTTCCCCACTGTGCCATCTCATTGGCCCTGGGGGTAATGACAGAATTTAAAAAGGATCCCTAACATTAAGAAACCTAGGCTTAGAGAGAAGAGGAGGAGCAAATAAAATCGGCAGGAATGCAGGTAGAGCGGGTGGTGATATCTGGCTTGTACAAATGAAGCCTGTCTGAAGGTCAGAGAATGCAGCTTGCCACTAGCTAAGCATAGAGGTCTGGAGGTCTGTACATACAGACAGGAAGTGAGCTAGTTGGGCAGAAACAGGATATAAGCAGGGAGAAACAGGAACTCACGCTGTTGTCTGCTGAGACACTAAGGAGGTAAGGTGTGGCGGTGGCTTGCTCCTTCTCTCTGGCCTCAGCATTTTCCTCTATATCTGACTGCGGGATTTTTATTACTTAGACCAATTAATTAAGAACTCCATCTACACCTGTGGAGCTTGTAACAACAGATTTGGTCCTTGGATCTCTTACCCTCTTGATGTAAGGGAAGGCCTTGGGTGTCTTCTTTCCAGTGTAGCTATGTAGCTGTCTAGAGCAGTGTTTCTCAAAGTGTGGGTTGCAACCCCTTTGGGAGTCTCATATCAGATATCTTGCTTGATTACCCATTATTTGCATTATAATTTGTAAAGGCAGAATTACAATCACAAAGCAGCAATGGCATCATGATTTATGGTTGGGATGAATACCACCCCAACAGGAAGAGCTGTATTAAAGGGTCTCAGCTTTGGGGAAGTTGAGAACCACTGCTCTGTTTGGATGCTTGGCATCCTGTCTCCATGCTGTCATCAGGCTGCCTCCCTTTTTCATGAGCGGCAGCTGACTGGCAGGTAGAAAGTTTTGCTCTTGACTCGGGATCTTCCATCTCCTGGTATACCTTTAAAAAGCAGAAGCTGTGTCTTTGGATGAGGCAGCGGAGGGGTGACACCGGCAAGTGGGAATACCAGGCCGCACCTGTGAACCAGCCTCACTGCCTAGTGTGAGTCTGAACGAGCAGACATATTTTGAACTTGGAGTGTAACCTCCTGGATGCTTGGTTCTTTGTCTATGAAACGAGGACATGTGACCACCCCATGCAGAGTTTGTAGGGATTAAATGAGAAAAGGCATATGAAGCACTTGACATAGACCTCAATATTGGCCTTTGATGTCATCACTGTTAAACCACTTAAAGTCTGAACTTAACATTTTTTTTTCTTCACCACAATCAAATTTTTGCTGGGAGTTGAGTGCTCTTGAAAAGCTAGGATAGTGGTAATTCCTTCGCAGTGAGTGTGTGGAGGAAAAGATCCCACTATATCCATTAAATATGTGTAATCTATGTCAGTTATCCCTCAGGAAAACTGCACAGCATAGGAAAATGTTTAAAGAAAAGGAGAATAAAGAGAAGACACGATCAGAGAGGCAAAGCACTAAGTGTGTACTGATTTGTTAAAGATTTGTGTTTCCTCTCTGACCTGGTTATTAACCAGCCTGATGGGTTACCCCATTTAGCTAACTTTCATGCAGAAAAGCAAGTCTTTTCTCCCCGTAGTTGCCCAGTGTAAAGAGACAACCAGTTGTGCCTTCCAGGCCTTGGGCTCCTTTTAAGGTTACAGTGGAATGAATTTTCAGCTCCTCTTCACCTGTGGCCTTCTCTCTTTGGCCCTCTCAGCTGAAGACAGCCTGATCATTTGTACACAGTTGATTAGACACCAGGCAGTTGGCTGATTTCCTTCAATCACGTTCTTAGATATCCAGGTGGTAATCTGGCATTTGCTTTGAAATGTGTGCGTTTGTATTCCTGTGACTAAGGGAGAATGGCAACATAATTACATCTTGTTGCCTGCACTTGGAGGATGCTAAAGACTTTGCAAGTGTGTGGTGGACCGTGGGGCGTGCGAATCCTTTTAAGTTGTACTTTGTTTTATCGCAACTGGACACACAGGAAACCCTGTTGTGCTTTTAGACAGCCATGAGGTTGTAGAAGTTGTGTCATGCTGTGAGTTAATTCTTCTTAACCTCTTGTCTTCACAGTGGTGTATCTTATCATTTCCCCAGAGTAGAGGTTAATGACAGTCAACCTAGGTCTGTTATAAATCTTACTATGAGATGAGTGCTGGGGTGACAGCATGTAGCCACTTAAAGATGTTTTTACAAAGAAAATCGTATGATCTGGGGGCAATCAACTTGTTTTCTGTTCAGCTCATATGGAAGTATACAGGACCAAGAAGCAGGAGCAATATTAAAAATAACTGTTTTATATAGCACAGTTGCCAAGCCACTCCCTGTCTCAAATATGAGTTCAAGAAAGTCTAGCAATCGGGACCTTATCTTTTCTACATGCAACCTTATGAAGGCCTTAGCTTTGCCATGGTGCTTCTTGACCTTGAGAACTCTGATCTATCTGCACATGAATCCCAGAAGGGGAACCAGATGCCTCCTCTGTGCTTCCAGGGCTGGTCCCAGCACCCCTTCTCCATTACTCTCTCCAAACAGCCCCCTTCTTTTCTGTGCTTATCCGCATCCTACTGTGTCCCCAGGTTGAATATGTGATCAAGTGCGACATGTCAGCTCTGCAGAAGATTCTGTATCGTCATATGCAGGCCAAGGGGATCCTCCTCACAGATGGTTCTGAGAAAGATAAGAAGGTATGTTGCAAAGGCTGGGAGACTCAGATACTGCAATATGTCTTCTCATCTTCTCATGGCTACAGCCTTGAGCATTTCCAGGAAGCCTTCCTATGAATAGTGGCTTGTTCCTGTAAAGCACTGGCTCTTTGGGATAGCAGCAGGAGCTGCCAGTGCCATCATTACCCTGCTACCTACATTGGGGTGGGACAAAAGAGAGTCTGTGCCCCGCTAGTGTTTCTGTTATCGAAGACTTAACACTGCTCATGATAGCTCAGCAGAAAACACAAGGTGTCCTGTGTTGGGTGGTATTTTAGGATATTTTAAAGTCCAGTTTCTCTCCTTAGCATTCTTTGTGCATGGTCTGCCAGAATCCTATATGTAATCCTATGAGTCTTTCTCTATTCCACCAACCAGCTCCCAAATAATGACACAGAGACTTATGATTAATTCTGAAAGCTTCGCCTTTTGTCTAGGCTTGTTACAACTTAAATTAGCCCATATTTTTATTAATCTACATCCTACTACATGGCTTTTACCTCTATCCCATTCTGTGTGTCTGACTCATTCTGCATCTGGCTGGTGTCTCCCCTGTGCCTAGATTCATCTCCAGTTTCCTCTTTGCCTAGAAGTCCTGCCTTTACAGCATAAACAAATACCCTGCAACACCTGTGGACAGACCTGACACAAAGCCATTGACTTGAATTAATTTTGTAAGATTTCTTTTTCTGTAGGATAAATTAATCACAAGGGCCACACTATCTCTGATCCAGAGATATCTAAATAACACCCTGAACTCTAGGTTCAAGGTGTGTGGGTACTAAGATGAGGTAGGGCACTGTGTTCTTTCTATGAGCTATCTAGTCAGTCTGTCAGTACTTTCTTCACCATTCCCTTTCTCTTTCCTCGATGCTAGACGTGTACTCAGACCATTCATAAGCTGGGCATAGGCTCTACCAGTGAGCGACACCCTTGGTCTTGAAGCCTAGTTTTTAAAAACTTGAAAATACTTGATCAATGAATAATTAATTCCATTCTTTTCAATGTATCTTTTACTCAGGGGAAAGGAGGTGCCAAGACGCTTATGAACACGATCATGCAGCTGAGAAAAATTTGCAACCACCCATATATGTTTCAGCACATTGAGGTGAGTCTGTATCTTGTATATCTTTATTAGAAAGACAAACCCCAAATATGTGTACCGCATATATGGGGATGCCAGCCTGCACGGTCCTGGTTTTTCTGGTAGAATTAATAGACCTGTTTCCTGGGTGTGGATTCGCTTTGGCACTGACTGCCTGAGCATCAGGGATTTTATAACTAAGAGTTTAAAGTAGTGAGGAAATGTTGGGAGTGTGGGCTCATTATGTGGATTTGGGTAAATGCTGTGAATTACCTTGTTACTGTTGGAGTTCTGAAATTGAAGATAATGACAGATGCAGCCAGCTGCCTCTGAAGGGTGCTGGGAAAAATACTTAAATAATGTGTTTATAGATATTGAAGAGAAAGATGTTCTCGAAATATTATCCTTGTGAGAGATGCTGGCTTTAGCCTATGGAATAGATTGATTTTTTTTTTCCCTACATAGAAGTGTTTCCATTATGATGATGTGGATTGTTGCTTTGTTCTGATGCTAAGGTCTCTAGAACACTGTTTTTAGATCATAGGACATTTTCTTCTCTGTTTGTTCCATGTGAATGAGATTCCCTCACTGACAAGTTTCCATTTAGTGGGGGCTTGAGCAGAAATATGAAGAAGCCACTTTCAGCGTCTGGGCCTGAACCACATGGGCCTGAAACAGTTGTCCCCACAAGGGCCACTGCTTGCTACAAACTAAACAGGAGAAATGGCTGAGAGGCGAAGCACTGTAGGGCTATGCACTAAATACCTGACAGAACCTTCCAGAAAACTAAAGCTCAATTGCAGGACAAAATGAGTTGAAAAATATTCTTAGCTTTGAGTATTCCTCCCCAAATGGCCAGATACAAAGGAAGGGGAATTTGCTTGGGACTCTGGAGCTCCAAGAAGGAGAGTAGTGCGGGGAAGTTCTGGGCAGATGCTCTCCAGTCAGTGCCTGTTTGTTTGCACTTTAAGTGGCTGCCTGTGAACAGACAGACACCCTGCATGGGTGCTTGTTTATACAACAGTTTCAAGGATGCTCCTAGAAACCAGAGAAACCAGAGCCAGCAGTTGTCACTGACTCTGTCTTAGTTAGTGTTTTATTACTGTGAAGAGACATCATGACCACAGCAACTCCTATAAAGGAGTCATTGGAGTGGCTGGCTTGTCGTTTCAGAGGTTCAGTCCTTTATGATCATGATGGGAGCACGGGGGCAGCATGTGAGCAGATGTGGTGCTGGCTACACCTTGACTAGAAATGAGCAAGAAGTCAACTGTCACACCGAGGGAAACTTGAGTTTAAAAAAAAAAGAGCGAGACCTCAAAGCCCCCTCGACAGTGTCGCACTTCCTCCAACTTCCTCCAACAAGGCCACACCTCCCAATAGTGCCACTCCCTTTGGGGGCATCTTCTTTCCAATCACCACATTCTACTCCCTGCCACCCCCAAGGCTTATAGCTGTATTATAATGCAAAAGAAAAAAAAAACAAAACAAAATATTCAGTCCAACTTCAAAAGTCTATAACAGTCTCAAACTTGTTTCGAAGTCCAATGTCTCTTCTGAGATGCATGGCAATTTCTTAGCTGTCATCCCCCTGTAAAACTCAAAATCAAAAAGCAGACAACATACTTCCAATATATAATAGCCCCGGGTATACATTACCATGCCGAAACGCTGGGAAGGGACCATAGTGAGGAAACACTGGACCAAAGCATGCCCAGAAAGCAGCTGGGCAAACTCCAAAGTCTGCATCTCCATGTCTGATGTCAAGACTCTCTTCAGGTGTCCAGCTCTGTTCAGAACCATTGACTGCAGCACACTTCTTTCTCTGGGGCTGGGGCAGCTCCCCTCAGCAGGCATTCCACAAGCCTTCAACATCAGGCCTTCACACAATGGCCTGTCTCAAGCCTTCACACAATGGCCTGTCTACTAGGCCTCCGTTCAGGGACACCCTGACACGTGCCTGGCCGCAGCAGCATTCCTTAGGCATAGAGTCAATTCCCATAACCCATTTCTTCTGTCCTTAACTCTAAAGCCAGAACCATTTGGCTGAAGCTGCCGATTTCTGCTGTTTTCTGGGGCTGGAATACGTCCCCCTTGTTCAATTACATCTTCACCTGCTTTCTGTTTTCCACCTTCAGTGCCAGATTATGGGGACCAATTATGGTGAAACTACCGCAGACTCTGGCTATTATGGGCTCAAGGCGGGCTCAAGATGCTGTGCGTGTTTGCCAATTTTCTGTTTTACCTTCCACACACCATGTATGGATTCCAAATAACTTTACAACCCTCAGTTTTGGGACTGGAGTTATCTCTCTGGGGATCTTCAAACCTGGTGTGTGGGGGGTGGGGGGAAGCTATGTTTTATTTTGAGCAGGGGACTCTTCTCTGTGTAGCCTACCACTCCCAGCCTATGTGTGGAACTGTATTAAAGGGTTGCAGTGTTAGGAAACTTGAGAACCACTGGTCTAGTATGGTTAGGGCTTTATTTGTAAAGAGGAAAGGGAGAACTGAGAGGGGGTACGTGACCGGTATATAATGGCTATTATTTCTATTGTTTACTGTTGTTGTGTTATGTTTATGCTGACATGATAGTTGTGATGGGCTTGTATTAAACCCTGCCTTCAGCTTGAACTGTGAGCTTGTGAGTGGATCCCTAGAAACAGCTCCACCTCCAGCTTCTAGCCAACCCATGCTCAGGCACTCTCTGATGGGACAGAAAGGGACCTCAGAGACCTGAGTTTCTGATTTGTTATTCCGGGATCATTTGCTTTGCTTTGACTGAGCTTTAGACATACTAGAGAAACCAAAAAGTTAACGATTGCATATTAAATTCACATTCATCTCTCTTTTCCAGGAATCCTTTGCTGAACACCTGGGCTATTCAAATGGGGTCATCAATGGGTAAATACTCCCCGCCCCTTTCAAGATGCATTGCTATTGGCTTTACCTAACCTCTTTCTGTAGCATCCAGCCTCCTTAGCCCTCCTTGCTCCCATGTAGAGGGACAGAAGTTGCTAGGCAAAATGGGGTATCAGCATTCGCTTGTTCTTTACCAGCTTCATTTGCAGCTTGCCCTAAGCACATGTCCACTCAAAGGACATAGATCTCATTTAAGAGACTTACTAGTGCTTTCACGTACTGAAAACATTGTTCCAGCCCCTGAGTGCGGTGACTGCAAACCTAAAGTATAACTTGGGCTTGAAGAGATTTTTTTTTTTTTTATCCCTACTAATTTCCTGTGGCTGTTTAGCCTCACCTGCCATAAGTAAGTGATCAGTTTTAAGTCAAGTTTTGGAGTATGATCTGAGAAGGATATATATATATATATATATATATATATATATATATATATATAGTTAGCATGAACATAGGATGGGGTCACACCTTGCAGCAGAGAAACAATGAAGCACACCCTACACAAAGTGTGTTGAGTCTCACCCCAGAAGAAATGAATGGGGTATATGTGTCTCTGCTGAATCGCAGGGTCAGGCAGGGTCAACGGGAACTGGATCCCACCGGGATTAGAGCCAGTTAGCTCTTCTCAGTCCTTGCTTCACTGGTCCCCTGGATCTTGAGGCCACTTCTGCTCCTGCCAGCATGGCCAGAGGTACAGGGGAACATGGCTATTAAGGGACAGGTCTCAGAGTATGTGATGGGTAGACAGGAAGATAAATATGGAAAAGGATCCATTAGGAACAAAATGTACCGTGGCATAAATTCTGCCACCTAGTGTTACATTTTCAGTGTTGTTAGCTGGATGTCCATGGGTGACTGCTGCAGACAGTTTCAGCCCTCAGAGTAAATTTTAGTATCACACAGCACAGTCCGGTTGATTTAAAAGCAAAAGGGTTATCGGGAGGGAAGGTCCCACCTCTTCCTCCTTACCATAGCTTGTCTCTCTCCTTCAATCATACTTTGCCTAGCACCCCTGCAGTAAGCCAAGACCTTATCCCTCCCCAGTCCTTCTCATACAAGTGCCCATGGCAACCCTGTGAAAGAGGTTACTCAAGGTCATGCTTCTGTTTACAACACATCAGTCATTGCCCACTGCACTAAAAACCAGAAGGGTCTACACAGGGCTCCCCAGTACATGCTCCATTCTCCCCTCCCAGGTCCCCCATCCTGGCCTCACCGAGTTACACTCACCATTGCTTGGTCCGAATTCATGAGGCATACCAGGCTCCTGCACCCCCCAGGGCCTATGCACATGCATCTTCCTTTCCCTGCAGTCTCCTCTCTATGTGCATGCCCTCGCTTCTCATTTACATGCCTTTTCACTTGTTATACCAGATTTTAGTGAAGTGTTCTCTCCAGGGAAGTCAGTAACCTCACACACTCCAAGTCAGTGATGGGCAAGGTGCATCGGTAGAGGCAGATAGGAAATACTTTCTCCTTTGTGAACCATAAAGCCTGCCATACCTATTGACATGGCTAGTGTAGGATGGAATCAGACAGACAGAAAGGCATGGGTGTGGCTGTGACTTCATTTCTGAAAGGACCTGCCAGGGCCTAGAACATTCTTGAGTTCTCGTTGTCACCTGCTTGTCTTTATAGTCCTGACCCCTATGTGCATGCCTGACCACATCGTGTTGGTACCCAGGGGTACTGAGAAGTCTTTAATGGATGCCTTAAATTAACTTGATGGCACACCATGAAGAATCTTAGAGCTATGGAAAGTCGCCTTTTCTTTCTGGCACATGTCACATATGCAGCATGCACGTCACACCCTTCATGGGTTTTGTACGGATAGCATTTTTTCCCTCTAAGTGTAAGCATGGCTTTGGAGCTGATAGCCATTTGTTCATTCACCCTTTCATCCACAGTTCTTTATTGAATGTTTACTATGTGCAAGGTTCTATCTGCAAAGCTAAGCACTTCTGGATCTCTCAAGAAGACAGCAGTAATACTGCCTTCTTGTTTTGCGTTTTTGGGTTCAGGGCTGAGCTGTATCGGGCCTCAGGAAAGTTTGAGCTACTTGATCGTATTCTGCCCAAATTGAGAGCGACTAACCACCGCGTGCTGCTTTTCTGCCAGATGACGTCTCTCATGACCATCATGGAGGATTACTTTGCTTTTCGGAACTTCCTTTACCTACGCCTTGATGGTAAGTTCAGGAGGCATCAGACTCAAACCACGGTGCTAAAAAAAAGGTGCCATGGGACCTGAGATGTGGTCTCTGCCAAAAAGGAGGAATAAACACCAAGAACTGGGCCTGAGGGCTGGATGTGGTCTGCTAGATGCAAAGTTTATGTCTTCTGATGCCCTTCACAACATGACATGATTTGCACAGTTGTTTATCTCACATATACACCAACACAGAGTCAGGACCAGAAGAGCTTAACACCTTAGCCCCAACTCTATGAGCCATGAAGTATGCTGACAAACCTTTGACTTATTTTAAGGGATGCACTATATGTCTCCTCTATTCAGAAACAGTGTAATGGTTCATTTATGAGTTTGCCACTGAGGCCTCTGCTGCTAAATGGGACATAGGTACGAGCCACATTGTTCAGAGATGAAACTTCATTGCTATTTGGTTTTGCAAACTGGCCTAATTAGGGTTTCCATTACTATGATAAATCACCATGACCAAACACAACTTGGAGAGGAAAGGTTTTACTTCATCTGATAGCTTTCATGTCGCACAGGGAGGAATACTCCTCACTGGCTTGCTCGGTTTGCTTTCTCATACATCTCAGGATCACTTACTCAGGTTGGCTCTGTCCGTAGTGAGCTGGAACCTCCTACACAACTCCCCAATCAAGAAAATGCCTTACAGGCTTACCACAGGCCATTCTGAAGAGGCATTTTCTTAGTCAAGGTTTCCTCTTCCCTAATACTTGTGTCAAGTCCACATAAACTAACAAGCACACAGCTATTTTAAAAAGTTATGTGAATTTAAGGATGAAATTAGACTGGCCCTGGTAGTGCACACCTTTAATACCAGTACTCAGGAGACAGGAACAGGTGGGTCTCTGAGTTCAAGGCCTACCTGTTCCACATAGTGATTTCTAGACCAGCCTGGCCTACCTATATAGTGAAACCCTGTCTCCAAAAGAAGAAGGGAAAAAACATGAATGCAATATAAATATCACATTAATAAGCAAATATTGAACAGGAGAAAATATGCATTTAGGGATATTCCCTAAATTACATGGCTAAATTGGATACTGACCAGAAACTGCCATTTTCAAAGTCCAGCAATGGACGATGTAGTCAAGAAGTGTAGGCTAGGTGGCCCATGCCTTTAATCCCAGCACTAGAGAGGCAGAAGCAGGTGGATCTCTGTGAGTTTAAGGCTACCCTGAGCTACAAAGAGAGTTCCAGGAAGGCCAGAGCTTTTACACAAAGAAACCCTGTCTTGAAAAAGACAAAACAAAAAAACAAACAAATTAAGTGGTACGTAGGGATTAGAGCAGGCTTTAGTGCAGGATGCATGTGACTCTGGGCGAAGACAGCCCAGCTTCCTAATAACCATTTTTATCTGATGCAGTGTAATGCCATTGTTAATCGAGTAGGAAATTAAAATTTATATTCCATTAGAAGGTTTTGGGCTATTTTCATTCTGATCCGCATACATGGTTAATTAGAAATAAATCACTTGGCAAATGTTTTCTTACTTGAGTTTTTAGGTTCATTTTCTGTGTGGCCTACCTCTTGGGGGTCTTAAAAAATTGTTAACTTAAACTTTTTAGTCTTATTTAAAGTTAGTTGTGCCATCAGACACTCCATGATCCCTTTACCCTTTGTCTCCAAAGTTGCCTACTGATGAATGGCTGAGTCCAAAGTCAACATGAATGTGTTTCCATAGATACTCTTAATCATCTAGTCTTTATCTCTCTTTCATCAAATCTGAGTCTTTCTATTGTTTTTTGGTCACCCCCCCCCCTTGGAGTGGAGCTCTCTCTTCCACTGTGGGTGCGTCCTATAATTGCTCAGGTAAAGCAGACAGGTTTAACCACTTCCGCCCCCACCCCCCAGTTGTAGGTTTCTAGCCACCCTGAGGTGCCTGCCTAACACTGTTGCTATTTCCTGTTACTTCCTTTTGAATCTCTATGTGAGGACTGTACCCTGGGAAGGTTTGAGTCTGTAAAACGGAAGAAGTGTTAGAAAGATGAAAACAGTTATAAGCACTTGCTGGATTGAGTTCCCAGCACCCACACAGCAGCTTAGGACCATCTGTAACTGTAGTGCTGAGGATTCTAGTGCCCTCTTCTGGCAAAGTGCACACATACACTCATTTAACAGCAACAGAAACATTTTTTTTAAAGTGGCAAAAAGTGATTTCCAGTCTGTTTGCTTGCCTCTTCAATTATTTGGTGGTGGTTCTTATTGTTGTGTATAATAGTAACCGTAACATGCATGACAAAAGAGACACCTCATGGGCATTGTTAATTTTCTCAACAAGTGTCTTATGCCTGTCAATACAATCTCCATTTAGAAGAATAGAACACGAAGCTGAGCTGTGAAACCAGCTTCTAACTTAGATTACCTAGTTCCAAAAGTGCTTGATTTAAGCATATTCAGGGAAGTACTGCCACCTTTGAAGTTAGCTTGTCCATCAGCAGCATCCTCAGAAGGATTCCGGGAGCAAGGGAAGCATGACACCTGGGCAGCTTGCTGTTTGCTTTCAGAAGAGATGAAGTTGTGCAAAAGGGGCCATGATGCCTAGACAGGCTTTCCCCACTACAAATGGCAGCCCCTCATTTTGGAAGTGGGGAGCATGGTACACATGGCTATGTTATTATTCACCCTTCTAGCTGCTCCCCACACGAGGTCATAAAAGGTCTTCAGATTTTCATTACTGAATTTGACATATCAACTCTGGCTTCAGGAGGAAAAATCACTTGCTGAAAGCTAAGCAAATGTTTTTTCTGCAAAGACTGTGATTGCACAGATAGATTTAGCTCCTGTCTATTGTTTTGTTGTCAGGGGAAAGGATTTTTTTCTTTTCCTTTGCGAATAGAAATGGTGAAGTTTCATCCAGAAGACAGAATTTCCTAAGACAGTCAAAAACTCGGTGAGAAATTAGCAGTCACGACAGATTGGCAATGTGTTCCATGTGTTCCTTCCAGCAAATTCTGTAGTTGTCAACACAGTTGCCCCTTGCTTTTACATGTATCCCTGGAATGGGTCATGTCCCATTCACCATAGACGCTAGGCCGAGCACTTCAAATCCCTGTGCACCTGCAGGGGGCCAGGAGCTCTTGCCTTTGGATGAACCCTTGAAGGGCAGTTTGAGACTCCCCTAGCAATAATGAAGAGGTTGCTGGTGAGCAGCAGTGACCTGGTGTGCTGGTGTCTACAGATGGACGTGACAAGCCAGGGAATTATGAGTCTCCTCATAGGAAGAACTGTACTGTGGCTTTGCTTGGAAAGTGATTTAATGGTTTTTTTTGTTTTGTTTTTTGTTTTGCTTTGTTTTGTTTTTCTCCAGTTTTTTTTTTTTTTTTTAAGCACTCAGTTCTGTGTTAGCCTGAGGTCTCTCCTGGAGAGCCAGAGGACAGCTTTGACTAAAGCATTTTATTTTTCAGGGCTCTGTTTTACACTCCAGGTTATTTCATCCTGGGTAGGCATGTTTCCCAGGTGGTTCTATTCATATCTTAAGACTTAATCTTTACCAGATCATTTTTCAGTGATTAAAAATGTTGAAGGTTGTAACCTCAGAGTATCCAGGTGCCAGTTTCTCTTCCTGGCTGCTAAGGAACCAATGCCATTATTTCTCCTTACACTATTTCAGAAGTATTTCTGTTTGTTTGTTCGGCTTGACTTGCAGTTTAAGGCAGAGGACAAACATGTGGGTGATGACTCCTTTGGAGTAATCTAATGCTGCAACTGGCATTACTTACAAAGAAGTATATTTCAAGACACAAAATGTACCTGGAGCAAGCTTACAATGTTATACTCTTCTCAAACTGAACCCTGTGTAGGATATCAACTGTAGGGTTAGGGAGGTCTTTAAGACTTGTAGCTTAGTAACGGAGTGTTTACTTACCAGGTCCTAGGTTCAATCCCTAACTTAAGGGTGGGTGTGTTTTTCGTAAAGAATTCTCCATTTATGGAGGAGTAAGAGCTCTAGTTTAGATTTTCACGCCCCCCTTCCAAGTCCTTTGTGTAAAATGTTTGCTCCCCAGAATGTCTTTACTGGGACATGGTTGAATCTATAAGAGAGGTAGGGCCTAGTGGGCCATCTCTGGGTCCATGGGGACATACCTTTCAAGGAGATGATGGCCCCCAGTCCCTCCCTTAGGTTTTTTTTTTTTTTTTTTTTTGTCCTAGCCAGCTTTTCTATGCACACACTTTGGTCGTGATACTGTTTTGTGAAGGGCATGTAACAAACTTGCCCATTAATAATGGAGAGGGGTATCTAAAACTGTGAGACGGTCATCAAACATTTCCCTTCTGTGTAGAAGACTGTAACTGGAAAGGCAGTATGGAGAAGGTCTCCTGCAAAGCGAAACATGTCTTCCCTTGGTCTGCATCATGGACAAAAAAAAAAAAAGATTTGCAAGTTTCAGACCCCAGTCAATAAACCACCCCTCCCCCAAGGTTAGATTCCTGCAGTTCCCCCTGGAAGGATTTGAGCAGTTCACCAAACAAAAAACAAAAAAACAAGAAACAACAACAACAAAAACTCTAATTTAGAAAGTAAGGCCAGTCTAAAGAACATCGCTTTGTTACAGGAGGAGAGCTCCCGACCACCGCTCCTAATCCCCACTTGCTGTATTTGGGGGACTGATCCCCCCTACCCCTCCCGAGAGTGCTCATTATTTCTACAAAAATGTGGAAACCAGATCCTCCATGCTTGGGAACTTGGCCCTAGTGAGTAACTTGATTCCTTTGGCTGGCGCCAGTTAAATGTTTTAATCCTCTGACATAAATCGTAGTATATTTTCAACCTAAAAAAAGAACAACTCATAGGAGCAACATGTGTCCAGTGGCCAGCCAGGGAGTATCATGTAACATGCTTAGCTGTTCCCCATCAGCCTGTTCAGAATCCAGCATCACTACATCCCTAGTGAAATGCGTTCAGGTGGGACACTGGTGAGTTCTGCGCTGTCCCTTCCACGTGGGTTTTATGAAGAGGCTAGATAAATCTGTTCCAGATGGCTAGAGCGGAGCACAGGTGTGCCCACAATTGAGCACCACACTCCGGGATGGGGATCGGGGATCTCTGCTGAAGCCTATACTCTTCAACACTCTTTACTATGACCATTCTGGCATCTAACAGCCTGCTTAGTTCATTGATGTTTGTTTAGCATCTTTTTCTTTTTCTTTTTTTCTTGTATTTATTTTATTTATTTTTTTTTGCAGTGCTGGGGATCTTTATTTAAATATTAATTTATGTTTTTACATTCCAATCCCATTCCCTCCCTCCTCTCCTCCTGTTCCCCCACACCCCACACCCCACCGCCACCCATCTTACCTCCTATCTGTTCCTGTCTGTTCCTTAGGTTTAACATCTTTTAACCTTTAAAAGTGAACAGAGGTTCACTTTTAGAGATCGTGGCCTAGAGTCTTCAGAATGGAAGCAGTAAATACGCCCTTGTTTTAATGCCTCTCAGGAAAAGTTGCTTTAAATCATTGTAATCACTGTTTTCAGGCATTCTCGGATACATGTACATGGGTGGCTTTTAAATTATTTATTTTCAATTCCAAAAACAAGTTCAGGAAATGTTTTTATTATATCTTAGAGTAAGAATGTTCTAGAATTTGTGAAGTTGCAAAGGTATCTGGTCAGAAACGTGTAAACATTCTTTCCTTTCTTTCCTTCTTCTTTTTTTTTTTTTTTTTTTTTTTTTTTTAATTGCAAAATGCTTTAAGTTCCTTCCAAAACTACAGAAATCTCAACAATTACCTCACCAGTGCTTAAGAGGACCATGGATGTATTTCTCAAGGAAGCAGGCATTTTGGTCTGGGACTCTGCCTTTTCCGGACAGGAGTTAATTGGCAAATTTATTTTTCTTATCCCCTCAGGCACCACCAAGTCTGAAGATCGAGCTGCTTTGCTGAAGAAATTCAATGAACCTGGGTCCCAGTATTTTATTTTCTTGCTGAGCACACGAGCTGGGGGCCTGGGCTTAAATCTTCAGGCCGCTGACACAGTGGTCATCTTTGACAGCGACTGGAATCCTCATCAGGTGCGCATACCTACTTGGGTACCAAGGCTTTTCCTCTGGAGAGGAAGGGGAAGATTATCAGTTTCATCACTCACATTTATAGGACAGAGCACATTTCTAAATGACCAGGCAATTTCTCCAAAGGAGAAATAGCCCAGCCAATTATTATGGCTGTTTTCTTATCTCCCTTGGAGCATAGCTATTTCCGTGTTATACCCAAGCCTGCCAAGAGCCCAAGAGTGGGCTGGAAAACTCACTTTCTGTCTTAATCCCATCTCTTGGGACTGCCATTGAACAAATTGCATCTGGTGAAGGATAAATCAAAAATGTTCCAGGGGCTGTCGGTGGAGTTCAGTGTCGGACCATGAGCTTAGCTTTCATGAGGCTCTGCCTTCAAAACTCCAGGACCAGTAATTGTAGAAACAAACTGAAGAATATAACAGCTAGCCCCCATTGAGCACTCTCTCCACACTGGCCTCCTGGTGTGCCTGGCTTCACTCAGTTTTCACAATTACCCTGAAAGAGCATGAATGTTACTATTTACATTTTTGCCATTAAGGAGACTGAGTCTCAGGTGAGTTATATAAGTTCTTCAAGGACGGTTTGTATAGGTTAATTAACCTTCTATTTTGTATCTCATTTAAAATCACCAGAAAAGAAATATCCTATCCAGAGTATTTGTTGGCCAATAAATGTTGGCCAAATCCTCTACGCCACAGGTTTCCTAACAACCCTAGGGCAGGGGGCATTTACCTGTAAGATACTGGGTAGAATGATGCCAGCAGAGGGTTTCATTCACAGTGTAACCACCCCTGGATTCCAACCGCTAAAAGGGGGGGACTGCACTTCTTATATGTGAACAAGAACGGTGTCCATCTCAGCCAGGCTCCTCAGCAATTGGCTATACTCAGTTAATCACATGCTCATACGGCATGGTGATTGGTTGGGAAGGTGCAGTGGCAGGGGCTTCCAAACAGTGCTGCTGACTGGAAGGGAAGTGTACATTAGAATTGATGGAAGCTCTTAAGAAACACAGGCCTGCCTCTTACTGACTGCCGCCCCAGCCCTCATTCAATGAGCCTGGGTACCTGTGAGTTGCACTCGATCCCAGTTATTCTCGGTGGATGAGAAGATTGAAACAGAGCTAAGAGTGGGAGCCGCCAGTAGAATCTGCTTGCTTCAAGTTCAGCAAGACTTTTTGGGTATTTATTTCAGTTTCCCTGGTTGCATTCTGCAGTTTCAGGCAGGGTTTCCTGTGGTTTTCTTCCTTCCTCTTTGCTTTTACTGTCTGACCTACATGGAAGTAAAGGGAGAATGCATAAATCTGGGATTACCAAATTTATCCTGCACTTACCAGACCCTTCAAAATGTTGATGAGAAACATGACTTTGGATTGCCATTTTTCAACTGGAAGTTCCAAGGCTGTATAACAAAACAAGTAACCATAAAGTGTCCAGAGGGGCCCTCTTCTTAACTGGGCACTTGAGTTCAGGTAGCATGTCTTAGTGTTTTCTTGCTGTGAAGAGACACCACAACCACAGCAACTCTTATAAAGGAAGACACTAAATTGGGGCTGGCTTACAGTTTGAGAGGTTCAGTCCATTAACATCATGGTGGGAAGCAAGGCAGCATACAGGCAGACACGGTTCCGGAGAGGAAGCTAAGAGTTCTACAACCGGATCTTAAGGCACAGAGCCTTACACATAAATGAGGGCCATGAAGTTTGAGATTGAAACCCAGACATAAACAAGACCTCGTGACACAGGTCCATAATGTCAGCTGTCAGGGAGGCAGAAGCAGGAAGATTGCGAATTCATCTGGTTTTAGGTTATGGAGTGACTTCAGGGCCAGGCTAAGCAATATTTAGTGGTACTTTGTCTCAAAAAGTAAAAGCCAGCAGGGTGGGGGAGGAAGCTGCATGCGTTCAGCCTTTAATCCCAGCACTCTGGAGACAGGGGCAGGTGGATTTCTGAGTTTGAGTATTATAGTATATTATGTATAACATTATGTCTAATATTATGTATGAGGCTGGGGTTTTAATCTCCAGCACTGCCACAAACAAATGAACAAACAACAGTAAAAACTAAGTAAAATAAAAATATAGAGAGAAATCTCAGAAATATTAACCCACCTAATAATTACAGCACTTAGTTCTTGTTTATACCATGCAGCCTAGGGACTCAGCATTCTGTAAATCTCCATCCTAGAAATTAGAAGTGCTAAACTGTGGCTACTTTCCAAATAGACAGGTGATCTAGCACACAAACCCAAAGTGCTGTCTCTGCCACCAAAACTGGTGCCACAAATTCCCAAGGACTCTTGTCCTTGTCATTTGCTGACACCTGCGTTTTAGTATTGTGGTTTTGTTTTTGGCCTCTTTTACATGGAGGGCAGAATATTATTACCCCTTCTGGGTAAGCCTGGTCTAAGATTACCCCTTTTGGGCAAGCCTGATTTGCTACCAGCTGAAAGAGGAGACTAGTTTTCATGTTTGGAGCAGAAATATGGTGATTGGTGGAGGGACTAGTCTCCTTGGAGAGAACAGTTTTTCCTCCTGCTCAGAGAGCCCAGGTCTTTACTAGGAAGGATCCCTGTGACAGAAATGATTGGCTCACCTTAGCTCTAATGGAGAGGTTGATGACAGAGCCTGTCATTGTCTGCTGCTTAAGCGTACTAGTGAAGATGTGTTGGAAGTGATGATTGGTTCAAGCCCTCCACAGGGGAGCACTTTAATTACTTATTTTACACTGTCCTCTTAAGAGAATAATCTGATGCTCTAATCCCCACTGTGCTCACGGTTCAGCACAAGATGTTTACATGAATTTGTTCACATAGTTTGTTCTGAGGACAAACTTCTGCCTAATTAATTGCCCAGTTTCAAAGGTCCCTGCAGCATGAGCAAGTCTCTTGGGCATACTTTCCTCCACTTGTGCTGCACAGATGGCAGGAACCTGGGCTGATTGGAAGAGCAAGCTTATAGTTGCGAGTCAGCCATGTTCAGAGTGTAATGCTAGGAATTCAAGAAACAGAGCAGCCGGGCATTGGTGGCACACGCCTTTATTAATCCCAGCGCTCTGGAGGCAGAAGCAGGCAGATCTCTGTGAGTTCAAGGCCAGCCTGGTCTACTGAGCTAGTTCCAGGACAGGCTCCAAAGCAATACAGAGAAACCCTGTCTCAAAAAATAAAAAAAATAAATTAATTAATAAATAAATAAAAAAGTAAAAGAAAAGAAAGAAACAGAGCATAGACCTTTTCTTAAAAAAACATGCCCAGACTATGTTTTTATTTAGGTAGCTATAGTTAGGTGATGGCTTCAGAAATTTATGAAAGTTTTTACTTAAAGATTTCATTAAAACCTTTTTCATATTATAAGATTAAGATGTTTAAAGTAGAAGAAACTGTTAAAATATGTGTAAACAAAATGCAAACTATTTTTTTAAAAAACACCTCTAGGGGCAGTGTGAACATTGTCAGTTGCTGGTGTTCGATGCGGTCCCTATTTTTTTGTGGCACAGGTAGATGTGCACACATGGGACCAAATATACATGCTCATTCACAGCTTTAGTCCCCAGGTACAGCTTTGTGTCATTGAGGCTTGTGATAATTCGTGTCTCTGCTGGTGCACACCACAATCTGCCGTAATCGGTAATCTGGAACTATTGATGGTTGGCCTTCTCATTTGAAAAAAATAAATAGGTATTGTTTAACAACAACAAAACAAACAAAAACAAAACAAAATGCTCATTCTTAATTTATGAGTATTTATGTATACCCATGGACCCATGGTAGTTTCTTCAGAATAAACTTCCAAAAATGAATTTTGAGGCAGAACCACACCCAATATTTACATCTTGGCATCTGTGCCAATATCTTCCCTCCCCTTCCTCCCCCCAATTCTCTAGTATGTATGTATGTATGTATAATAAAATGTGCATGCTTTATGTATGTATATACAATACATGAAAATGCAATTCAGTGAGATAATGGTTATTACCATATTGCAATGAAGAGATTGTGTGTCTTTCTACTTGAAAATTTTTTTGTAGGTCATAATCTAGATTTTAACTCTGGCGTTGGTCGTACTGGTGTTTGTTTCAGTGAAGGGTTAATTATCATGGCAAACCTATAGGCAGATAAACTACCTGTAAAGCAAGGTTTCAAATCCTGAGATGTTATTTCACATGGTTAATTTAAGTCTAGACTTCCTCAATAGGAAATGACCTTGAACTTTTCCAAAGACAGTAGTGGGAGGGGGTTTTTTGTGGACTTTGTTATTGTTGTTGTTCTTGTTTGTTTGTTTGTTTTACACATGAGCAAACTCTAGCCTTTGTAAGGGCTGGTTTTGGAACCCTCCCACATCTCCCTCTTAGGTGTTTGCTGGGTTAATCCAGGTACCTGGTTCCTCATAGCATATTGTTCTCAAAAACAGGATCTGCAGGCCCAAGATCGAGCTCACCGTATCGGCCAACAAAACGAGGTTCGGGTTCTGAGGCTCTGCACTGTCAACAGTGTCGAAGAAAAGATTCTCGCAGCTGCGAAATACAAGCTGAATGTGGATCAGAAGGTTATCCAGGCGGGCATGTTTGATCAGAAGTCATCTAGCCACGAGCGGAGAGCATTCCTGCAGGCCATATTGGAGCATGAAGAGGAGAACGAGGTATTACAGAGAGCCGAGTTTCTGAAATCTAGCAGTGACCTTTTGTCTCCAAGGGATTAAAATAATGTCTTTGTTCCTTCAAGAATTTTCTGGGCTGGTGTTAATTAAAATGACTAAATTAGCTGCTATCTTAATACCCCAAACACAGAAAACCTCTAAAGGTTATTCACAGAAGTGTCTTAAGAACTATTGCCAAAGAATTCTCTAAGCTTAGCCTATGGGATATTTCCCTGTCCTCTTGGGGGTTGGGTACACCAAGTATATTTTATTGCGTTGCGAGTGCTGTCTCCTATAGGCAGCCTGTGGAACTGCAGGAATTATACTTTGTAGAACTCCAATTACAGTCTAGGTTCTACTTCGTTTTTTCTTCTCTCATACTCCAAAGCTCCCCTCCCACTCCTCGACTCTGTTGCTGTTTAATAAAGGAAGTGTTCAACACACTTATAGGTCAGTCCTTTACAACATCTTTGGCTCATGAGTTTGGAAAGCTTGACCTTTACGTCCACAAAAGAGAATCTTTTAAGATCTGAGCCAAAGGGGAGAAAAACACCCAAGTCCTAAAGTCTCTATTTACAAAAATTGCCGAAGTTGTGCAAATGATATTTTGGTTGTATATCTTTTATTGAGTCGTTTGTTTTTTTGGGGGGCTGGGGGGTGGGGTTGCTCTGTATTGCTTTAGTGCCTGTCCAGGAACTAGCTCAGTAGACCAGGCTGGTCTTGAACTCACAGAGATCCACCTGCCTCTGCCTCCTCAGTGCTGGGAGTCACTTTGTCCTTTTAGATGACCAGTATCAGTCATTTTATGCTAAATATAGCTAAGTACAGCTCTATGTTAGAATACTTGCCTTTGCTTGTGTTAGACGCTGGGGCCACTCTGTACATACACAGACATACACAGAGACTCAAATTATCAGCCTAAAATGGACTTGAAGTACATTAAAGAACATATCTTACCATGAAGCTGTCCAGGGATGAACACATTTGCTTTTGTGTACCCTTGCTTAAAAGTTAGAGTATAAGTTTATTTTACATACATACCCAGAATACTATTCTCATTGCATATGCGCAGTTTGGCTTTGTGTTTTTGAAGTCCTCTATAAATTAAACATTAAATTCTTTTAAAGGTCTTTATTTTTTTCCTTTAAAAACAGATTTTTAAAAAGTATTCTAATTATAGTACCACCTCCTCCTAGATCCTCCCTAGCTGCCCACCCACCCAAATCACATCAATTCTTGCTCTCTTATTGTGAGTGGTTATCAGGTAGAGATAGCTTCCCGGTTAGGGATGTGGGGCTGTGTCCACTTCCTCCCTCAGAACTGGAATCCCCTCAGGCCCAGACCTGTACAGGCCCTATTGATGAGTTCACATGTGTGCCATTCTTGCTGTGTTTAGAAGCCCTGTTTCCTTGGTGTCCTTCATTCCCTCTGCCTCTTAGTCTCTACAGGGTTCAGGGAATTGATGGAGAGACCCCACTTAGGACCCAGTGTTCCAAGATCTCTCACTCTCTGCACATTGTCTGTGGGTCTCTGAGTTTACTCTGATGATGGCCGAGCAAGACACTGATCTATGAGTGTAGCAGGATGTCGTTAGAGTCGTTGTGTTGCTATATTCTTTTAGCAGAACAGTAGTATTTGCTTTTCCCCTCAGGTCCCTGGCCTGTTAATCTCAGGTTCTTGACCATGCAAGCAGTGTTGGGAATAGGTCCCACCCAATGGAGTGGGCCTTAAATTCAATCAGATGTTGCTTGGTTAGTCCCACAGGCTTTGCGACACTATTGTACTAGTGCATCTTGCGTACATGTCACCATTGTGAATGGAAGGGTATATAGCTGGGTTGGTGTTTACCTTTCTGCTTTAGTATAGCATGCAGAGTACCTTCCAGAACCCTGAACACTCGTCAGTAAAGAAGGCTCTAGGTAGGCATCCTCAGCTTGACTTCTCCATGTTCTGTGAGTTGTGTAGGTGTTGTCTTCAGCAATAGGGCCTTACCATCAGTTTGTGGAGGGCACCCAATAGTCTTAGAAATGTCCTGGGTGTTTGGAGGTTCCCATGGGGCCCCTTTGGCCAAAAACTCAATTAGATATAAGCCATTCCCAGAACTGGAGTCTTCATTTGGTGACGAGAGATGTCCACATAGGGACTCCTCTTCCCCGCTGCTTGGTGATTTCATTTAGATCACCATCATATATGTATGCACTTTAGAGTTTCCATGTGATCCCTCAATGGCCCTTAGTTTTAACTGCCCCTCCCTGTATTCCCTCCCTCACCCTTTTCTCTTTCCATATCCATCTGATCCTTCTGGTCCAGTCTCTGCCCCCATCGATCCATAGCTATTTTATTTCTCCTTCCTAGGAAGGTACATCCCTCCCCACTAGCCCCTTGCTCTGTATCTAACATCTGTGGTTGTATGGATTATGGCATGCCTCTCAAAGGCTTAAAAGCTGACATCCACATAGAATCGAATACATGTTTGTCTTTTGGGGTCTGGGTTACTTCACTGAGGGTGAATTCTTTTCTAACTTTATCCATTTACCTGGTTCCCTGGCCAGTGTGGCCAGCAGGTTTCTAAGAAAAGACTGCCTTGGGTGTTGGGCAGTGAGGCAAAGATATAAAATCTTTCTTATATAGTCTTCATTTCTGAAATGAGCCTGCATATGAAGTAGAGACTGATAGGTAAAAGGATCCTGAAATGAGTCTTTTTGCAAAGTGAAGAGTGTTTTGGTATGGTACCTACTAATTTATCTGATACATACATACATACATACATACATACATACATACATAATGATTAATTACCCATTGAATTTCAGGAAATAATGGGAAATGAAATTGTTCATGTGTACTCAAACATTCTCACACATCTAAAGCTTTTTTAAATCTCAAATAATTCACGTTTTTAAAGTTGAAGATTAGATACAGATTTAGGAGTTAGAATGTCAGGTGTCTTTTGCTTTTGTTTCTACATTTGACCATTTCCTAAAACACTATGGGCTAGTGAGATGTGGCTCAGCAGGTAAAGGTGTTTGCTGCCAAGCTTGTCAAACTGAGTTTGGGCCTCAGGACCCACATGTTGGAAGGAGACAACTGACTCCCACAACTTGTCTTTTGATGTCCTCACACACACCATAGCACATGGATTCCCATAATAAGTACATATTGAGTAAATAATATAAATATCAAATACATTTCAAATAATAAATGATATGGTAAAAATATTTAACCCACCATGCTAAATGACATCTACAGTGACAAAGCATGATGTGGTCGTAGAGCTGGCAATCAGCTAGGAATTTCCATTGCATTCTTGTATACTTTTTAAAGACCTTGTAAAAATGTTACCTGACCAGGTGGGATGGTAGCAATTAAGCTTGGAGTTTTCCAGACTTCCTAAGGCGCCAGGAAAGGCTGATCTCCCTCAGGCCTGCAAATCACCATGTAGGGCCTACTTGGGAGTTCCTTGCCAAAGGTTCCTCACTATTAGCAACCTGCTGGGGCTCCCCATCCCTTCCTGACTATGACTGTGTCAGGCAACTGTTACCAGGCTCTGGTCCATGCCCTGATGTGAAGTCAATGGGGGACCTTTGCAGATTACAGTGAATGGCTTCTGTCCCAGCAGTCCAGGGCAGTGCAGGGTGCCATAATCCCAGCTGGCATGAAATATGAGTACAAAGAACACAGCAAGAATCCTTGTAAACTTACAGACAATTTGTGCTCTAGGGACAGGTGTCCTGGCAATTTCTAGGAGAATCTACTGATGCCTATCTTGCCTGGGTACACCTATGGCCTTGTTGTGTGGGGGACAAAACACGGGTGGCTCTAGGGACAGTGAAGGCAAATGAAGACCTCTGTTTATTAATGCTTTAGCCAGGTACATGATCTTATAAGGGCTGAGCCCCCTCTCTAGCTAGTCTGCCTGCCTCCTCATAATGTGGAATGTAATATTTAGACAGATTGACTTTAATCAACACAGGAATGAATTAAATTGGAAGGGTTTTCAGTAGTAATTATTGTTTTGAATCATATATTTTATTGAGTTGCATTCCTTTATTAAGTCCCTGCAGTGTGCAAAGTGTCTTGGGAGCTGACATCATCTAGCTTAGGCTGCTGGAATTTTATTTAAATCTTGGAAGCCACAGCATAGTGTTAGTTTCTAAAACCTTGAGAACCATTGGTTTCTGAGAAATTAACAGATAATGTGCTTTTGTTTAGCTGAATGTAAAATTTAGGAACTTTTAGGCCTTATGTAATCACTTTTTGTACTTCATTAGATTGTTTTAATTGGGTAGAGTCTTGTGGTATTTTTGCATTGATAGGTTTTAATTTTGTCCTAACAGTAGTTTTAACCACCAGCAATAATAGTGCCTACTAAAGACCATTGACTCAACCTATCTCAAAGGTTCTATGTTTGGTACCTATGTGTGATTTTTTTCCCCCCTTGTCCTGGTACTTAGTGACAAAAACTCATTGTTTTGTGTAAATCTTTGAAAATGAAAACATTCATATTTGCAGTGTCATCAGTGGAATTAGTAGAATTATCATTAAGTAAATCTTTTGCTGTGGGTTTCTATAGTTTAAGGCTGGCATCCTCCTGTGAAGTAGATGTCACGCCTGTGTTGCTGATGAGGTCATGGAGGCGGGGAGACATTAAGTAGCTGGCTTTAAAAGTTGCAGGAAGATCCACACCCAGGAGAGCTGATGTTTCTTAGAGAGCAGATTTCCCCTCCCTAGACAGATTTCCTGCCCGAAAGAGTTTGAAAAGCTCGCAACATACGAATGGCAGGTACTAAACTGAGGAGTGCTTTCCTTCCCTTTCCTTTCTGTCTAAACAAGACAGAATACACCACCACCACCACGCCCTCCCCCCCCACACACACACACAAACTCTCTCCCATCTCTGTTCTTAAAGCCTGTTCAATCATTCTGTTCTTAACTCAGGAAGAAGATGAAGTACCAGATGACGAGACCCTGAACCAGATGATTGCTCGCCGGGAAGAAGAGTTTGATCTTTTTATGGTAATGTTGCAGGAATCATGGGAAACCACTGCCTTCCTCTTTTCCCCCTTTTTTGGTGTTCATGGTGCCTGCAGCCTGCATACCGGGTAGAACCCTGGCCCTGGAGCCTCTGCATTTCTTTTGATTCAGAGTCTGCATGCAAACTGGCTGGATTTAGCCTGCAGACTTATTGTGTTTGGCCCACATAGCAGTTCTTAAGATTTTGTATTTGTTGCCAGCATGAAAAGAATCCTGATGTCTGGCTTCCTTTGGAAAATGAGATGGGGCAGTGTTGGTCCCGCAGCTCTGTATAGAAACAGTTGGCCAGAGCTGAGTCACAGCTTCACCCGCTGGTCAGGCTATATGGTCCACAATTTCCCAGGGACCCACTTCTAATCCCAGCCAAGTGTCAGACTGGACAACACCCTCTTCTCAAAGCGTTCAGCTTGCAACTGTACCCTAGTCAGCTTCCCTTCAATAGGAGCAGGTGAACAGCAACAACCCTTAAAACTGTCCCGGGGAATATACATAAGCAAGTGAATACAACCTTTGAGGTGTGTGCATAAGAAGATAAGGCCGTGGTTCAGAGAGCAAAACCTGCTTCCCATTACAGAACATTGGTATTTTAGAATCTGTTGAACATGGCTTTCACCTTGAAGTTCAGTGATCTACATCATCAATTTGATTTACATGCAGTGGAGGTTGGGGGACAAGCCCCATCTGTGGGGGAGGCTGCTCAGCAACTATAGAATTGTGGGTCCTGCCTTCTTCAGGCTCTTCCACTCTGTCTTAAGTGGCCAGAATGGTCCTGGGTATGCGGTCGATATGTGACAGATCTTGGAATGAGTGGTGAGCTTCGCAGTTTCAGGCTTTGTCTAAATGGGAGGGCAGATCTGGACGGTAAAGTGTAGGGTTCACTCCAGGACTTGCAGTCATTCTGATATTCATCTCAGGCATTTAGCCTGATGGTAGAGGGACAGAATATGGGTGCCCCACAGCTGCAGTGTTGGAACACTGTAGAACCCTGATCATAGGCACCAGTTGGAAAGCCCTGAGGTCTTGGATAATGCACTCTGCATGAGTAAGACACAGTGAGGAAAGGTGTGTTAAAGATTCTATTACTGATGCTGGGGCTATACGGTGGAGATGTGAGACCCCGTTAGCCAGAAATCACAAGTTTCGAAGAAAAGCTAGGAATCCACACAGTTTGACTCAACCTCAGCATTAAAGTGTGCAACTAAATTCAGGACTTTTACTAATATTATTCTATAGCATTGCAGGCCAAAGGAAACAGAACTAAGCCAAATATGACCCAATGGGTTTGCAATCTCTGCCTTTTTAGCTTAGGAGGGCTCGAAATAGAGCTAAGGCTGAGCGGATGCTTGCATCATTTGTGGGGGGGGGGCATTGTTTGTTTGGATGGCTTTTGTCCAGAGAATACAGATTGTGCCCACACATAATGACTCCCAATAAAAGATCATTAACTCTCAGAAAAATGCAGGCATCCATGGCCATAACTCCTAGCTTAGGAAACAGAATTCTTCCCTACCCAGATGATGCCATTTTAGAGAGACAGAACAGATGCATGGTCTTCTGATGTCACTGTCCACATTTACACATCAGGAATAACCATCTGTCTCTGAGGAACTTAGACATAGGTGACTGGGGAACCCTGAGGCAGAGGCTTCCCTGGATGTAACCCAGCGCTGCCTTGACCTCAGATACTCTCAAATTAGATTTGGCTCAGAGACAGTCCCTGGTGGCGCTGAGATCAGGGAGAAGGAGTGCCTCTCCTTCCTTCTTTGAGGCTGGACTTTTGTAGAAATTGACAACCTCAGGCCAAAATGACAAGCGTGTCGAAGGCCGAGTCTTCCTTTGACAAGGAATGAGTCCGTGTCCCACGAAGAATAGGCTTGTAACGGGCCAGACTGGCTAAAGGACCAATGTTCTTTTGTAGACACCTTAGCTTTGTGAGCTCTCGTACCTGTCTTTTAAGTATTAACCTCTACTTGGGGAGGGGAGCCACACAGGTTTTTGTTTGGTTGAATTTTGAAAACCTAGCTGTCTGGCTGCCTTTGGCCACTTTGCTGTTTGTTAGCACCCTCCACCAGGGGGCAGGAAATAGAATCTGAGTCCACGCCAGCTACTCTGATTAAAAGAGTGTAGTGAGAGACGAGAATGAAATGTGAGCTGGCCAAGTCTCTGGGTCTCATATATCTAAAGTCTCTATTTATTCTTAAGAATTATTTCTGTGCCTCACATTAGTATAGACTTATTTTGATGTATAGATTCTGTAAACAAATAGTGTCTTTAAAATAGCAATCTTTTAACAGTGGTATTGCTTTCTCTATCTAAAACCAAGACATCAAATAACTCACCTTTTATACTGATAACCTGTGAGTTTTATTTACCTAAAAATTTTATTGGATAGTAACACGTTTCAGATATGTATGTTGAGCCAATATGTAAACAATATGGACTCTTAGAGGCCATATTTGCCACAAAGGCTAAAAATAATTGTGAATGTTAAAGTTTATAGTAAGGCCTTAAGGCAAATATATCCAGATAGTAATTCAATCAAAAGTTAGTCTTTTTACCCAATACTGACTTAAAATGCTACAAGAGGTATTATGGGAGTAGAATCTCCAGAGAAAGACACAATCATTAGGACTTGTACCTAATCATATTTAATTGAATCCACCTTTCTTTTAAAAAAAAATCACATATATGACTTATTTTTACCAGAACAAAAAAGGTGACTTATTCCTCAGTTGTCAACCTACTGCTGCCATTAGGAAGCAGGGATTATCTAGCTAGAACTTGAAGTGGCAACATTTTGTCACAGGGCAGGTCATGGGGAGATTGTGTTCTTACTAGTTACTTGCTAGCTATTAGGAGGTTGCCTCATACAACCTCTGTCTATGTCCTGCTTAAGGAAAGCCTCCTCTTGCTCCCTGCCAAGCCTCCATGGCTAGATCATTTTTTCTGAGCCAGGCATTAGACAGCTGGATTAAGTCTAGCATTACAAGCTAAGTATAGCAAGAGAGAACAGGGTAGCCACATTTATCCGCCAGTGGGGTGCCACCGTGCCCCAAGTTTACCCCGTCCTGCAGAGAGAATGATTTCCAGAAGTGTTGAGGCATAGTTTAAAGAGCCTCGGCCCTTAATTTTTAAGTCACATTTGGGTTCAAGTAGCAAATATTTCCTTCACATTCTATCAGTTTCGGCTTTTAAGGAAAACAAAACAAAACAAAGCAAAACAAACAAAAAAACAAAACAAAAGAAAACCAAAAAAACCTGTTTTATTGACTCCTTGTTTCCCTATGGTAGTACCAGAGGAAGAAGGAGCAGATAAATGACGAATGCTTGATGACTTATTTCATTGTGGGGATGGTCTGTATCTGTGTAACCAGAGTATAGAGAGGGAAAGTGGTGCTTTGTTCTTTTACACATTATCAGATTGTTCTGCTACACTTGGGGGGGGGGGCAGCACATCATTTACTTAGCATAAGGCAGAGTTTCTAAGGAGAAAGTAAGAGGTAGAGGCACAGGCTTCCAGAGGCCACAAGGGGAAGCCATTCCCACATGTACCTTGGCCAGTGGAGAAGAGACTGACATCCGTTGTACTGTAATATTTTCCTAAGAGCTAAACATATAAAAAGTAAGAATTAGGGAATATGTTCCTTTCCTACCTCCATCTCCACTTTGTGCTGAGAAGTTGATGCGCTGGTGACAGCTGACCAGTATAAACATCTGCATCTGCATCCCCTCCACATGTAATAGTGGGTGCTACCCGGGTCCCTAATGCCCTCTCCCTAAATGTTTCTCCCTCTTCAATTAAAATCATAAACCTTCTTGCTCAAGGTTCATGCCCTCAATAGACTTTGTTTTTGTACATGTTGCAAGAATTCACTTGTTTTGGGGAAGCAATGAATTACACAGGCAAGGCTCACGCTTTGCTTTTATTCCCCGTGTATTTATTTATTTGTTTTGCATGTGACATGTGCATGCCACAGTGCATGTGTGTAGGTCAAAGGACAGCTTGCTGGAATTGATTCTTCCCTTCCATCGTCTCGGTCTCATCTCAGAGACAGAACTCAGGTTGTCAGGCTTGGACGCAAGCGCCTTCACTCACTGAAGCCCAGGGCTCACAATCCTAAAATGCATTCTCCTTTTGAATTTTCCCACGGTTACTTGAGGTGGACTTTTGCACACACACAGTAAGCAGATGAGTCCTTAAATAGGGTATTTTCTTTAATGCAAAAGTAAATTCAAATGATGGGTATAGAGGAAGAAAGAGGTTTTACATGTTGAGATCTTCATGTAGACGGTGCGCTTTACGGAGGAATCAGAGCAGGCAAACTAGAATAAGAGGGACAGAAAGGGATACTCCTGCAGTGTGAAAACAACTTCTGAAGATTTTAAGTTCTGTCCCACAGAGTCCTCTTCCCTCTGGTGACACTGTTATCCCTGTCCCCAGCGCATGGACATGGACCGGCGCAGGGAAGATGCCAGAAATCCAAAGCGCAAGCCTCGCCTGATGGAGGAAGATGAGCTGCCCTCCTGGATTATTAAGGATGACGCCGAAGTGGAAAGGCTCACGTGTGAAGAAGAGGAGGAGAAGATATTTGGCAGGGGTTCGCGCCAGCGCCGGGATGTGGACTACAGCGACGCCCTCACGGAGAAGCAGTGGCTCCGGGTAGGTGTGGCTTTTTAAACTCATTCAATGGCTGGCGTGCTTTCTGTGACTTGGCTGGAATTCTTTGCTGTGGACGAGTTGCTGGTGGAAGGGCCTGGGCCCCTGAACATTGAAGGTCATCTTAGTGGTGCCGTGGTCACTCTGTGTTTCCAGGCCATGCTTGGGGAAAAAATAGAGTGGAATTTTTTTTTTTTTTTTTTTTTTTGAGGAGAATTGGCCATAAGAAGTAAGGATCAGATTATTAGGGCTGCGAGACACATTAATGTTTTATGGTCAATTGTCTGGCATTGTTTTTTAGCTGTGTGATTTCATGGTGATAGCACATTTAGATATGGAAGGTTCTTTGGAGTATTTGGTTTTGATGAAGAAATTGAAGACCAGAGAGTGTGGGTGACAGTTGGGAAAGAAATACAGACTCAGTGGCTATCTGACATGTGTGCATGTGCAACATTGGCCCGGCATGACTTTATCTGTTTTAAACACCAATGATACCCGGACTAGACTCATTAATGCTTAGGGGGAAAATGTTATTATTCTAAAGTGTGTGGGGATTTTTTTCTTCTTTTCAGAAAGTGGTAATTTCTCATTTTGACTTGGGACTAAAGTCATAACACTGTTCCTTTGGGACCCCAGAAATAACAGCATACTTGTAGCAGCCATGTGTGGCCAGTGGGGTTCTTTCATTCAAGGGTTTAGCTGTTGTTTCTCATTCTTTTGAGCAGACTTAGTACCTAGCAGGCAGAACAGCCTGGGACATGCTTTCCAGACAGGGCCAGCAAGCAAGCGCTGGAAATAGTATGTGCAGTTGGGTAAAAATCAAACTGAACAGAAGCCAGTGCTGGGCACCATCCATTTTCTCAAAGGGAATATAATTCCCAGGCTTTGTGAGCCAAGGATTTCAAGGCCTGGGTCACGAGTGGGTAGAGAGGAACTGGGAAGGGTGGTGAGATCGGATATCTGAGGCAGATGGTCTTGGTACCACTCAAGGGATGATTTTCTCAGGGTGTTGTGTAATGACATGGATGTGACCTGAATTTCAAAAAGATGGTGCCTGTGGGATTCTGCAATGTGAATTTAAGAAGGCATCACTCATATTTATGGTTGAACAATTGCAGACAAAATAAAACTTGTGTGTGGACCCAGTCAAGGGTTAGGGTAGCCTCAGAACACAGCTCTGTGAATTCCCTTTGTTTTGCTGTTAAGGTTAAAGCTGTATAATTAAGAGTCATTCTATAATGTAGTGTTTTGTTTAATATTCATTTCTGAGCTTGGGAGTAATTAGACTTCCATTCTGTTTATTTAAGCAATATATTAATCACCTGGAGTGTTATTACAGGAGATGAAAGAATCATAATCTAGGCCCACATTTTCAAATCGATTTTTTGATAGGAACAATCTCCTGATGTGATAGGCAAAATAACCCTGCTTGTTGGTCAAGATTAGCAAGCTTATCTTTTGTTTATAATCATAGTGAGTTACTCTTAAGAAGAGTGACAGCATGAATCCTAGGAAGCCCTTCGTGTTAGGATAGTGCCTTGTCATTTACTCTCTCCCTCGGTATGCCGTGTGTAAAGCAACCTAGTGCTTGTGGAAATGAACTATAAGTCTTAGAAAAGCGAAAGTCACTGGCTTCCCAGTAGTGCTTGGAGAACGTTTGTAGAGCGTGCAGCAGTTTCCTGTTTTATCCACCATAGGCACATTTTAAAACCGAAAACGAGACTGTTCTAAAGAACTAACTCCCCTGTGGAAACTGGTATTTATGACCTTTACCCCTAAGGTGCCTGGCAGTGTATCAAGTCATCCAGGAGGGCCGAAACTGTTCTCTGAACAGCTTTAGTGCAATGTCCCTTATTGGTATTCTTTTTGGAAAACGTATCTCATATTCTGTATGGTCTGCTTTCTATTAAGGAAAGACACCTGACCCCTTGATCTAAACCCCCGGGGGAGAAAAATGGACACTCACTGTGCTTTCATGATACTGACCTAGCAATCCTCTTTAATATAAGGCTAGTAAGTATTTGCTGCTTTCTAATGAAATCAAAGGAGCTCTTAGGGGCCTGGGTGTGTGTGGAGATGTTCTGCTGGCGATTGGCATGTTGGGTACTCACAGCCAGTATAGCCTTGAGAAGGGAGACTGGCAAGTACTACAGAGTAAGCTGTGTTCCAGCAAGGCTGAAGCCATTCCCTTTCCTGGCAACACTATTAAGTCTAGTTGGCTAAGGCCTGGAAGATGGAAGGCGGCTGAATGAGCTGGGACCATCCGTGCTCAGCCCACTCCCTCTCGTGCCCATGCCAGGGCGCTGGCTGTCCCCCCCAAAGACAGCACACCGTCTTGTTTTCTTCAGAGCCCCCGAAGCTGAAGGTCAGCCCTGATGATGGGTTCTTCCTCCCTTTGCACGGAATTCTCTTTTCCGCTAGTTCCTCCCCAGCCTTGATTCTGTGTCCTGGAAATAAGAGAACAATGTGTTTTCTGTCTTCACATCGCAGGCACATGGGTAAAATGTTAGAGGACTCAGGTTTAGTCTGGCATGAACTTCCCAGCCCCCCACTTTTGAACTTTCCTCCTCCTTCAAGGCTCAATTCATTGGTTGTTTCAGAAGGGACACTAATTGCACATCCCGTGTGCTTTCACAATTCCTTTGTTTGTCCTCCATCCCAGCACCATCCCAGCTTCCCAGCATCCGTGGGCATTGTTTGAGTTCTTGGCCGGTTGGTAAGCTGGGTCTGGAGCTGTACTTTGTTAGAATTTAGCACTTCCATGTGCAGCTAATATGTGCCTCTGGTTGCCACAGTGAAACACACTATAGGGTAGAGTATAGATATAGGTTTTAGGCCCAAAACATAAGTCAGGGTTATTTCTCAGGTATAAAAAGCCCAAGGTGATGGACAGTTCCTGGGTGAGAGCCCTTGTTCTCCATGGTATACTTCAGGTAGCCTGTTGGTGGACTTTCCTTTCTCACCAGGCCCCACTGCCGCTTCGGCCCCAAATAAACACACGAATGTGATATTAATTATAAAACTGTTGCCCGATGGCTAAGGCTCCTTACTGGCTAGCTCTGTCTTAATTATCAACCCATAACTACTAATCTCTGTATTTCCATGTGTTCTCATCTTACTGAAGAATGCCCAGACCTGTTACTCTTTTGGCGGCCCACATGGCTGCTCTTTCTGGCACCTCTCTGCCTACCTTTCCCAGAATTCTCCCTAATCTCCTAGTCTCACTTATCTTCCTGCCTCTATTGGCTATTGGCCAAACAGTGTTTTATGTATCAACCAATAAGAGAAACTTACACAGAAGGACATCCCCCCCATCAGTAGCCAGGCTGGTGGAGCAGCTGCCAGCTCAGGCAGCCTCTGACTGCATGAGCACTAAGAGATGGAAACATCGTAATGAATGCATGGATAGAGGAACCCGAGGTGGCGCCTCACCTTGTTCACACACCTCCACTTACATCCTGCTGTGTGAGCCGCCTCTATGCGGCAACCGCAGCTGCCCAGGGGATAAAGAAACATTTGCGGCTGTGAGCCCAGGAGAGCAAGCAGAGTTTTCATGAACACCTAGCCATCTCTGCCTCAGCATACGTGGGATAAATGTAAACGATACTGCTGCTTCCCTGACAAACTCCGTTTCATAGCAAACAGGTTTTACTCTATAATTGGAATATGCCAAAAATTCCCACAGAATCCTGGAGAGAGTCTGTTTAGTTGGAGAATTAAAAAAAAAAAAGCATTTTTTTCTCTTGATTCATGTTTTAAATGAAGAGAATCACAATTTCAAACACAGCTTTTTAAAAAAAAAAAAATAAAGTATTTTAAGTTTATTTAAAACCCATTTTCGTTGAAACTTAAATGCTTTCAGTGGCAGGCGGTTTCCCAGTCTTGGATTAACTTCACCACTTTGGTAGTGGTCAGTATAATGTCCCCTTACCCAATGGGCCCCCACGGGGCATCCATCATATTGGCTTTCCCAAGATGGTGTCTGGGTAAATGTAGAAGCTGTTTGTTTAAGAATGATCTTGGTTCTTCCCACCCATGAGTCTCTGTGAGAGTTGGTAGAAGGCTGATGGGTTACTACTATCCCGGGAGGCCTGGTCTCTTTTTATGCTCTTGGAGACCTTGATGACCAGTACTCCTGATGTCCAGGGTCCTGGTCCACCAGCTCCAGCCAGAAGCTGTTCTGTGTTCTGGTATTTCATTACGCTTCTGGTTTCTTTAGTCTCAAAGGACTCTTAGCTCTTTTGTTTCTTGGCTGCTTCTTTAATAGTGAGTTGGAATATGTGGGACATATTGAAAATGCCCCCTTCCTTAACAGTTACCAAGTTGCCTCTGAGGAGCTTCAAGCCTCCGATTTCTAGGATCTGATGGTTGGGCAAACCCAGGAGCTTTTTAAAACAAATGGTATGAAATGTCTGACATTTATAGATAAGTGTATGACCTTATGTAAATTATAGTGAGAGACTGTCCTAAAAGATGCTGAAGGCCAAGCCTCATTAGCTTCCTGGTGAACATAACTCTGAATATGCCTTTCTACCTCCTATACCTTGAGGGATTTTGTTGTCTTCCAAAAACATCTATTGATGTGTGTTTGTGCTTGTGTGAGTGTATGTGCACACATGTGTGTGGACGTATATCCATATGTCCACATGGCAGTCTGGAAAGCAGAGAGCTGGAAGCAGAGGTGGGATAGCCTTGAAGCCTGTGGCTCTGGCAGCCTACGTCAGCCAAGGAGGCTCTATTCTCAAAGGTTCCAAATCCCCATAGACTGTGGACCAAGTGTTCAAACACATGGCCCCATATGGGGGACATTTACAATTAGACAGCATCAGTCTTAGCCAAAGTAAAAAAGCAATACTTCTTTAAAGGCATGTCTTTGAAAAGGCCAACAGCTCACACTAGCTATTTCACAGCCCTTGGAAGGACCTGCCTCACCTGATGGCTAAGAGCTTCTCACCCTGGTTGGCACTAGTGTCTGCTGATGGACTCCTACTGCTGGGTTGCAA